AGGTCGGGGTGTGTTGGTCGAGGATTAAAGTTACATTCTACTTTTGAGATTCAGAATTATCATTATTAAGAGTATGGTTCACATATTAATTACGCCTGAATACTGAGAGGCTACTTAATGTTAAATTGTACTTAAATATCGTCGCATCTCTGTCATTTTGAAAGAATTTGTGGAGACAGAATTATACTTAAGCGCGACTTAAGATTGAGTAGTTTTTTTATAAACAAGGTGTAGTTTTGAACCCGTGTCATTTCTCGGAGGCGTGACATGAAAAATATTGACCAACAATTTTTTTTATTGATCGTACTCAGAATCGATGGCCCAGTTACCTCCTAGAAAATGACGCGGCTTTAACACAACACCTTGTATATTTGATAGGCCGACGATTTTACGGTTGAAATACGAATGTCCAAATACTCAACGGGTTAATGCCGTACTTTGTTAAGTAAATTGTAGAAAACACATGGTTTTTTTCGAAAAAAATGTGTTGTTGCATTAATCCCCAAAGAGATGGGGGAAAATCATTTTACTTAGATACTATTATAAAAGCGAAAGTTTGAGATTTTGTGTTTGTGTCCGTATTTATTACCTAATCACATCAAAATAGCTAAAAGAAACGGGGTGGATTTGGAACAGGGATAGATTACGGTCTGGAATAACACACGGGACCGCGGCCAAAGTCGCTGACAGAAGCTAGTATTCAATATAACATCCACTATTCACCAGATTGCATACATTTTGAAAAAGTGCATTAAAATACTTATTTTTATTTAGAAATATTAAGCCCTTCTTCCATATCCGTTAAAACGATAACAGATTACCTGGATTGCAGAGGTGCACATTACGGCACTTAATGCCACTGTACAATGTAACACCCACTTTTCACTATTTATTTTATGAGTCCCGTGTAATGGGTGAGCCTATTGCCCAACAAATTAAAGACCAAAATTATTGAAAATATTTTATTACAATAATTAACATAACATATTTATAAACAGAAAATAGATCTTTCACATAATATTTTATTATATTAATACACTGTGATTTTACCTTAAACAACTAAATTATCACAGCGGAGCGAGATGATGTGTTTGCATGCGAAACGCGTAACTGTGCGAGCGAAGACAGGAGGCGAAGCTAAAGAGGCTTTAAACACTACTATAATACATATTAAATCAAGACTTTTGTGAATTAACACGTTAAACGCCATGGGCGTCACCGGTGACCTACGTTACCGGAGGAATTAGCTACAACAGTATTCTATTAGCAATCAAAACCTTAATTGTGACATACTAAATAAATTATTATGTTTTCGACTTACTCACGCAACTACTTGACGAGGAACTCGACTAGTTTCAAGCCATGCTAGAGGCTCATATTCATGAGCAGCATTCCGCGACCCACGGCGCGGTGTCTGAGCGAGTTCCTTGTCAAAGCGAGAGTAAGCCGAAAATATAAAAATTAATCGTTTCTTTCGTTAGTACAATAAAAAATTATAATTATTTATTACTAACAAGCTCAATTATTAATTATTTATCGTAATCAAAGTTTATCAACTTATTCAATAAAGAGCTGCGAAATTTAGATACAGATCAGTTTTTTGATTTAACATAAGAATATTAATCGGCCATTTTTGACATTGTAAACAATGACGTCATGACATCTTGAAATTAACTTAATATTTAATTTTGATCATATTTGTCAACAACCGTTATAAAATTAGCTCCAAAGTCACGCTACTACTATACACAGATCTTTAAGATAACTATAAAAAAATATTGTTTTATAACTACCACGAAACATCTTAAATTCAGTTATATGCAGCTACGCGGTGACTCGATTAATTTCAAGCCATGCTATCCCTAGCCTAGAGGCCCTCAACATAGCTTGAAACTAGGCGAGGAAGCTCGTGAGTAAGCCGTATAACCTAACAAAATTAAGTAATTAATAAATAATTGTCTTCTTTATGTACAATAATATCATGGACTTTTTGAAAAATACAAATATATTTTATGATAACTGCATGTGTTTAACATCATTATTCTACTGATTTAAAAACAAATACAATTATTATTCATCTTTTTTACACTTTGTTATATTTTACAATTTTGTTATAGTAAGCATTTTCAAGCAAGAACCTATAAAGCCTACAAATTAATAAAGGTCAACAAACCCTATTTTCTTCTTTTCAAATTAACCGTTTCGAATACGTTTAAGCATCAACAATCGAACTTTGAAATCATTTCTCTAGACGATTGGGAACTTTAGTTTAAAAAATACATTTAAATAATCTGCTATTTTAACTAATTTTGGAATACTTTTGTGATCATAAAAGTAACTTGCAACAAATGCCAAAATAAAATCAACACATTAAAAGTTCCCGTTACTTTTCCACATTGAAAACCATTTCTTAGTCCCTGTGGACATCCCATTCTGTCGCTTATCGTCTAACAAGTGACAAAATTGAAGCCTTTGGAATACCCGGGAGAGAAAAAACACTTAACAGGGAATAATAAGATGGTTTATTTTTTGTTCTTAAAAATGTTTGAACTTCGAAAAGGTTTTGATCAAAACATTTGTTTTTGGGATATTACTTGATAATGGGGAGTTGAAGTTTAAAAGATGTTTTAACATTTTAGAATTTCATGTACGAATATTAATTTCATTGATTTTCTATCAGTTCCTTTTTAATAAACATATAATTTTGTTCGAGAGTGAAGATAGTTTGAGAACTAAAAAAATAACAGTAAGATATAAAGAAGAACGATTCTGTGAAACACACGGGACCTATTCTACAGCGTGTTATTGTTTTAATATATTAAAATTGTGATTTGTCACATAATATGTACGTTAATCTTAAAGGCACAGATCCGGTACATTACTTCATTATTGTCAAAAACTATACAATAAAACAAGCCCTTACAAAATACAATAAAAGCTTCAAAAAGCGAAAATTAAAATAAAAAATAATAGAAAATATATTAAAGACCTTTCACAACGTCTAATCACACCCAGACCCGTAACAAAAATGTGTGGATCAGACAAAGAATTGGCTAGTTTCGAGGGTTTAAAATACATTGTTTCAACATTTCAATGCAATAAATAATTAAAAAATAATCATACTCTGATCCATTGATTTGACAATTTACCTACTTTTGGATTTTTTCTCGCTTATTTTAAGAAAATAAGTATGATGTTTGACGCAGTAATATGATGACGTCATAAGTTGCGATCCAATACAAAACTCGTAGAAGTATGTATCATTTTGACATTTCAATAAAAGTATTGAATTTGACTACCTGTCAACTACCGTATTGTTCCGCGCGGACATCGAGCACAGCCCCTGCCGTGCAATCAAAGATCAGAGTTTATTTAGTACGAGTTTATTTACGATTAAAGTAATCGTTACGAGTTCGCGTTCGACGCTCTGATTGGTTGGTTTATTGGCGCCGGCTAATCAGAGTGCCGAATGCGTACTCGTTTCGAAACAAATTCGTACCAGTGGCGTGCAGTCCATATAGGCAAAAAGACTTTGCCTACCTTACAAATACCGTGAATAACACTACGTAATAAAAGATATAAACATTTTAATTTTACTACAGAATACTAAAATAATAATTATAATAAAATTAGTGAACGCCTAAAATAAATAGTATAGCAACAATGATGGCGCGCGATACGTGTTGCATTTCGCCAGGCGTACCGTATATAGCTGTAAACATTAACGCGCGAGGCAGGCACGCGGTTCCGTCGCCTGCAAACCATTCATAAATTTAAGCGTGTAGTGGTGAACGTCATTGTGTGCGTAGTGCACAGACGCGTTTATTTTATCGTCGCGAAGCTTGCCTGCAGGCACGGCCTGACGACTCGTGACTGAAGTTCGCCGCGAGCCGACCAATCACGTTCCGTGTCTTGGTTTACTCATTGGTCGCCTCGCAGCGAACTTCACGCCGCTCGCGCGTGACAATTTTTTTGTTTTTGTTTACGTGCGATGCGTGGATTTTCGGATAATTTTGTTATTTGATTTAGAATACGATTAGTAATTCTACGCAAATAATTTGTAGTAAACGGTATAAAATTGTCTATTTATATAAGTACATTTTATTACTGTGTTTGTTTATTTGTTAATTGATTTTGCAAAGTTATACGAAGAACTGTGAAGTTTGTATTGACAAAAGTTGGTAAAGAATTATAAACTATCGCAGACCATCGCTTAGTGATTAGATTGTGTGTGAGTTTTTCTTCTGATAGTCTTGTCTTGGTAAGTTCTATGAAAGTTACTTTATTTTAATGTGATTAGGTTATGTAACATAAGTAGGTACCTACGCGGAGCTTCCCGTCGCGGCAACTCAGTCAGTAAAAATAACGAAGCTTTAAGTAATATGTTATGTACTAATTATAAAATGAAATGAAGAAGAATAAGCTAGGTAAATGAATGTTTAATAATACTAAAAAATGTACTACCGCTTACTCGGCTCGGCCGCAGCCGGCCGCGCTCGGTTCGATTTTTCTATTAGTCATACCCAAGTTCTTAAAATCATAATATCTCTTGAATAGATGAACCAAACTTATTAATTCGAAGAATTAAATTAAAAGAGTAAAGAATTCGTAATATTCTTGTATTAAACGTGAGAAGGCTGGACAGGCCGCCAGTTCAGTACAATTTTTAGAATGAACAATTCGTTACTGCTACTGAATTGATAACATAAATTAGATTAATCGTTATACAGCACCTCGAGTAGGTAATTATGCAGATTAGTTTTACAAATCTAAAGAGAAAAATAGAATATTAATGTTTTTAAGTTGTTAGAGTAATCAATAAGTTGATGTAATACTTCACGAAAACAACGAGAGATGGCACTGTTACAAAGAATTGACGAAAGATTAAAAACCTCATAAGTTGAATTATGTTATGTATTTACGATGAGTTTAATCATAATACAATATTATGTTGCCTACCCTGTTCTAAAACCCTGTGCACGCCACTGATTCGTACTAAGGCCTCAGGACTAATTGGCTACTTGACAACTAGTCAAATTCAATGCTATATAATAATATTCGAATTGTCAAAAATGACTGTTTTCTATGACTTTTGTACGAGATTGTGTATTGTGACGTAATACTTTTTAGCGTATACTTATATGTCGTAAAATCATTTATTTATTTTAAATTAACGGCTGATTATTTTTTATTATTTTATTGTATTTTTGAACACGGAAAGTATCCATTAAGACATTGTAAAAAAGTCTTTAATTGTAGCTATAACTCATAGTCATCTTTCGTCCCTTATATGTATTTAAAACATGAATAAACTTGCATTTCATTAAGCAACATTCTATTTAAAGCATTTTAGTTACTATATTATGATCTAAATGTAACAAATAATTATTGCGATGAACACTCCGTTATAAAAACGTATATTTACAATTTAAAAAAAAATACGGCTCAAATATCGATTACATATTTAGTTGTTTTTAAAAAAGCAAATACTAAAGACTAGAATTAAATTTCTGAGTCGCTTTTCCTAATTATATTTTTTATTCATACGATATGGTTTTCAATTGATTTTCGACTCTATTGTCATTGCAAATCTTAGTTGATTTTCTAGACTATATTGTGTTTAAATCGCCACTAAATGAAAGTTTATTTTAATATCAAATTAAATTCACCAATCAGTTCAGAGTAGTATCAAACTCTGAACAATTTAAATCGATATTTAACTTTAATCGATTAAAATCTATACCCGATTTAATCGATTAAAATCGACATCGCACTTAATCTGTTTGAAAACATTGAAATTCATTAAAATTAATCGATATAAAAGCCATATTAAAACCTGTAATCGTCTTCTTTCGCCCTGCTCGCTCGCTAGTTACGTCCCTCGCATGTGATTGGACAGGTGGACCGTAGTTCTAGGAAGAATGGCCCCTCTTGTCCTGGGTAGAACGTGGATGGAGTCAGAATGTACCGGCCTGCCGGCAAACTGCGTAGTTCTAGGACTACAAAACCAGCCCTGTGAATGATAAGTATGATTTAGAAAATACAAATACCATAAACATAAGTAGGAAAGATCCTTATTTATATATTATTTTTAATATATTTAACACTACACAAAATGAGTGCCTCGTTGGCCGAGTGGTCGCAAGTGCGACTGCCAGGCAAGGGGTCTCGTGTTCGATTCCCGGGTCGGGCAAAGTATTACTGGGTTTTAAAAAAAAATCTCAGTAGTAGCACGGAGTCTGGAAATGTGCCCGGTATATGGCAATAGGCTCGTCCCTTATTACACGGGACTCATAACATAAATAGTGAAAAGTGGGCGTTACTTCTCTGTGCACCTCTGCCTCTACCGAAGGGGTCTTCGGTAATAAAAGGCGTGATGTTATGTTATTTTTAACACTTATAGCGTCGTAGCGTCTCTTTCTTTTTTTATCTCATTCACCATTAGACTGTATTGTAACAGAATCAAATTAACAACAAAACAATAAGGATCAGAAGACTCCTGTAACAACGGTGACTGACTGTAGGATCACTCATGGACTCGACTCTTGCATCGACTCCCATTCTGTACGGCTTTGCTCCTTTTACCTCCACGACTATATTGCTAAGAATCATGCCAAGCAAAAATAAACCCTAAAACTTACTTATAAGGTCCAGCAGACTACTTTAAGAACAGCGCAGCAACTTTACTTATAAACAAAATCGTACCAAAGGAAAATAAGCCTTAAAATCTCACCCATAAGCTCCAGAACACTCGTTTAAGAACAGCGCAACAACTTGACTTATTAACAAAATCGTACCAAAGGAAAATAAGCCTTAAAATCTCACCCATAAGCTCCAGAACACTCCTTTAAGAACAGCGCAGCAACTTGACTTAGAAACAAAATCCTACCAATAGAAAATAAGCCTTAAAATCTCACCTATAAGGTCCAGAAGACTCCTTTAAGAACGGTGCAGTGACGTTGGGATCATCTAAGGACTCGACTCGTACGTCGACTCCCATTTGGTATTGTTTGGGTCCTTTTAGTTCCACGACTATGTGACAAGGAGTTCTGGAGTCAGGGACCGTGATGATGAATTTCGGGTTGTTGGGATATGTAGCGCGGTGGTTCTCACAACCACCCGCTGTACGAGGTGTCCATTCTCCTTTGAGCTGTGAAGAAAGGCATATTGTTATTTGTGGAAAATACAAAATTGGTGAAAAAAGGCGTTAAAAATGATATTATTTACTAAATATATGTATAGTTAAGTGTGGAAGAGCCATGCTTCGGCACGAATGGGCAAGCTCGACCGGAGTGATACCACGGCCTCACAGAAAACCGACGTGAAGCAACGCTTGCGTTGTGTTTCGTCGTGTGAGTGAGGTTACCGGAGGCCTAATTACCTTCCCCTTCCCCAATCTCCCCAATCCCTGAATCCCCAAAAAGCCGGTGACGCACTTGTAACGCCTCTAGTGTTCCAGGTGTCCATGGGCGACGCCGATTACTTACCATCAGGTGATCCGTTTGCTCGTTTACCAGGTTAAGTATGCCATAAAAAAAAATAGCTACTTCCGCGCGGTTTTACCCGCTCTGTTCGGCGCCTATTAATCGTACCGTGATATTTTATAGCACAAAAAGAATTATTCAAATCGGGCCAGTACTTTCTGATATTAGCGCGTTCAAACAAACCAACTCTTCCGCTTTATATTATAGTCTAAGAGTCCAAGTAATAAAATACTTTATCACGAGATACGAAAAAATAAATTTATGCAATCTTATTGCTGTACAATGCACGGCAGGAATTAGACCTCAAACGGATTTATTGGAATCATTTGAACATAATTTTTAACACTTTTTATTTTCAGCTACACAAAACATTGTACAGTCTGTAATAATAATAATAATACAGGGTGTAATCGGAACGCTCTCTAAAAGGCTGACAAAAAAAGTAGTTACAATTTTAATCATATTTGTTTACGTATTATTCATACGATATCAGCCTTGAGTTGTTGATTACAACTATTATTACATAATAGAAACATTGAATAAACCTTCTTTTTGAGTAGTTGATCAGTAATCAAATAAATACTTACAGTCTTTTTATACGGATAAGGTTCCAATTTGCTCAATGTGAACGGACAGGTCGCGTACGCACGCAGAGTATAGAATATAGTTTTACTCTTTTCGTACTGAGACACAACTAGCGTGTATTTGTCAGCACTGCCTTCGCCGATGATCAGTTCGCAGAGGTAGTGCGGACTGTTGATCCTTATGCCGTCTTTATAAGGTTCAGGATCGTCTGGAAAATGATTTGAGTTAAAATGATTATTTTTATTCGAAAAACCAAATAATGTCACTCAATTCTTCGTCGCAATGGTATTGAAGGTGGCGTACTTAATAATGGATATTATTTTTTTTTACTTTGTTGATTATTCCAGGCGGCGAGCTTACAACTGAAGTCGGTATAATAGTAAACCCAATATTACTTTCGCAAACTAAGGGATTCCCGTATGACTTTCTTAAGAAAATAAGATATGAAATAAGGATTAAAATATATTACAGAAACGTGTCTATACCTCTCGAGGACATAGAAATGTAATCAAGAATCGATTTTGGATAAAAACAATTTACATTTCAAATTCACTTAAGATTAATAATCGCTTACCACCAGGCGACATGGTGGTCAAATGTAAGACTCGTAAAAAAAATATTAATAGAATTTTTTGCTCGTTCTTCTCCATTCAAATCTACATTTTGGAATGAGCACCTGGCTTCACCTAGCTTTACTGACGGACTGACTGACAGACTATTATTTATTTTGTACTAGATTTTACTCGCGGCTTCGCTCGCGTCACAAAAGAATAAAAAGTAGCCTATCAATACATAGTATAAAACAAAGTCGCTTTCGCTGTATGTCCGTATGTATGCTTAGATCTTTAAAACTACGCAACGAATTTTGATGCGGTTCTTTTTAATAGATAGAGTGATTCTTAAGGAAGGTTTATATCATGCATATTGCACCCGTGCGAAGCCGAGGCGGGTCGCTAGTGTGACATAAACCAATACACACAGCGCCATCTATACCAATAATTTCGTTTTCCCTCGAGAATATCAAATTTTTCCGAGATAAAAAGTACCCTATTATTTAATCCAGACTTCTAACTTTACGTCTGCAAAAATTCACAGCAATCGGTTTAGTAGTTACGGCGTGAAAGTGGAACAAACAAACAAAGAAACTCACTTTCCGATTTATAATATTAGTAAGGATTTGTTGACTTTTCAGAAGTACCAAATTATGGTTTAATTGAAATAAATGCTTTACATTGACTTTGACATGGCCCGCACCGTATCCAGAACAAAAAATAAATAAAACGCAAAATCTTAAAAGACTGACATTTGGATGGTTAGACAACTTACAAGGATAATAAACTCTCCTCCCGTTTTTATACACCAAAAGCGTGATATACTCCTTGTTGTCTCTGAAATCATCAATCTGTGTGATATGTCGGGTGAGCAGTAACCAGACGGCGCCCTTTCCTTGCACGTGTAGAGAAAACTGTGGGTTCTCGCCGATGTTGTAGGCGTCCTTCGCTGGACCTGTACCGGCGTCCCATTTTCTGTGGATTAGAACTCTTGGTTAGAAGATTTTGATGTTACAAAAAGTGAAATAAAAAGTGAATTGATTAGAAGCGTAAAACAAGTAATGGAACAGTTAGCTTTCCATAAAAAACGACTTTAAGTTGATTAAGTGCTCGTTGTGGCCCGGACGTTTAAGACGCCCGCTTCTCATGCATGAGTTGGTCGAAACCTACCACCGGCAAGTACCAATGTGACTTTTTCCGAATGTACTTTCAAGATAATTTAGACACCACTGACAAACGGTGAAGGAAAACATCGTAAGGAAATCTGGACTTATAATTTCTAATTACAAGTTTGAAATCTAAAACTCTCATTGAGCAAGCGTGGTGATTAATGTTCAAATGTTGATTAAAGGTGAGAAGAGGTTTTGTGGTCGAAAAGTCGAGTATCATTTTAATCTTTTAGTTCGAACAAAAACCTTAAAATTTGACATGACATTCGTTAATTATGACAAAAAAAAATATTAAATGAAAAGGGCACTACATTGTTATTAAGAAATCGGAATACTGATATAACGAATAATAAAAGACATTCAAAAAATGAAAATAATTGAATAAAACTTACTGATGTATACAATAAGTGTACTGGAACATTTCAGGGTTCCAATTGAGGTAGAAAACATCAAAGAAGTTTAGTATACTGGCGTAATCTATCCAGAACACGCCATTATCATACTGCGCAGCACTATCGGGATCGTAGTTCAGGAGTCCACGGAGAGATGGCGTCCAGTGCGCAAGGTCCAACTCTGAATAGTTACCCCGCCAACGGAGATGGGACCATGGGTTCTTTAGTTTTAGGAGTTTTACACCCTAGAAAAGATAATCTTATTTATATGGCACTTCACTGTCGTCATAGTTTATAGTATCTACTGCTTCGATAGGGTAGGCCAATAATTGCATCACTACATTACAAGTTTGTTAAATGGATATAATACTTGGATGGGAAATTTTGTTAAAAATTGCTAGCTAAGCAAGTTTTTTTTATGGAATAAGAGTCAAACGAGCAGACGGATCACCTGATGATAAGCGATCAGCGCCGCCCATGGACACCCGCAACGTTGCGTTGCCGGCCTTTTAAAAAGGAATACGCTCTTTTCTTGAAGGTTTGAAGGTCGTACGTGTATATTTATTACACTATGTGTCATCATAATTTATATTAAACTAACTAAAGTTTCATCCTTTTATCAATAAAAACTTTAAATAACTTAAATGTATTAAAAATACCGGTTTACACACGTAATTTATTGAGAACAGCTCTACTACTTTCAAGTCGCAGTGAAAGTCTTCTTCATGAGCAGCGGGTGTGGACGTGGCAACGTAGCGCAGACTAGTGTAGGTGATATTTGTGGATAAACCGGTACGTTCATTCAATTTAGTACGATAGTTATTATATAAAAAGCCTGTTAAATATTCACCCGAAGTCAAATCGATAGCAAAAACAATATGACTGCACGGTTGGTGTGGTGGCTGGGCAACCGGCTGCCGAGCAACGTGTCGCGGGTTCGATTCCCGCACGGAACAACTCTTTGTGCGATCCACAAATTGTTGTTCCGGGTCTGGGTGTCATGTGTATGTGAACTTGTATGTTTGTAAACGCACCCACAACACAGGGGAAAATCCTAATGAGGGGGGCAACGTTTTTTTTTAAATATTAAAATAACACACTTACATTAGCCAACCTAACATCAAGTACAGCGTAAGCATGGGTAGCCACCAGTCCGGTCCGTTCTGCCTCAGCATCAGACAGTGGTCCAGTAGCCACGGTCACTAGGACGTCTCCTTTCTCCAGCCGCGTCCTAATCTTCTCATAGAGGGCGTCCGCGTTGAAGTCTGCCTCGCCATTCCTTATAGCTGCGCGCTCAGGTATCCAGCCTGTTAAGGCGTGGAGATCTATGTTCTGAAAAAAAAAGATATAAGATCAGCAGCTGTAGCCAAATGCCATTTAGCGCTTGTCTACATGTAGAAAAGAAATATATGTATACAATAAAGGGATCGTGGTGGCCCGGAGTTCGAAACCTACCTACGGCAAGTACCAATGTGACTTTTTCCGAGTTATATTTACTTTTTAAGATTATCTAGACACCACTGACAAACGGTGACGGAAAAATCGTGAGGAAACCTGGGCTTATAATTTCTAATTATAAGTTTTTAATCGCCGACCCACATTGAGCAAGCGCGGTGATTAATGCTCAAACCTTCTCCGTGTGAGAAGAGGCTTTGCTCAGCAGTGGGCATTAATTTAGTAATTAATAACTTACACTATTCGAGCCAGGAAAGTCATAGCCTCCCATTACTTTCATATAAGCTTTCTCCAGCAAAGAGACCCAGAACTCGTTCTTATTACTCGAGTACGAACACAAGAGCCGCCCATGTCTACTATACGGTAACCTGTCATCTATAATCACCTGAAACAGAAGTAAATTATTTATTATTATTTAAGAGATTGTTCTCTTTCTCAGCCATAAGGCCGGCTTTAATGTCCTTCACGGGTGTCAACCAAGTGAAGGACATATAAATGAAGTATTTATTCTGCTAGAAGTATATTGTTATCTATCGATAGTGCTGATAATGGTGGTGGTGATGATAGTTGTACTAATGGTGGTGGGACTTCATTTTATTATTATTATATTTTTAGATAATATGTTTCCCCATTCTGCCTGCTTCGCTGTAGTAGCACGGAGTCTGGAATTGTGCCCGGTGTATGGCAATAGGCTCACCCCCTATTACATGGGACTCATAACATAAATAGTGTAAAGCGGGTGTTACATTGTACAGTGACATTAAGTGCCGTAATGTGCACCTTTGCCTACCTCTTCGGGGATAAAAAAGCGTGATGTTATGTAGATTGCTACTTTTTAACTACAAAACAATATTTACGTAATATGGTATAAATATTAAAACTGTTTTAACTTCCATACAATATTGTGTGCATTCTTCTTAAAAAATCAATAAGGTCCTGGAATATCTTCTGAAATGACCTTTAAAAAGCATACATCCACTGGTCAGCTACTGCCAGTAACCTTGTATATAGTCACTCCATTAATTTATCAATAACAACATAACATGACTTTTATCCCCGAAGGGGTAGGCAGAGGTGCACATTATACCACTGTACAATGTAACACCCACTTTTCACTATTTATGTTATGAGACCCATGTAGTAGAAAGTGAGTCTATTGCCATATACCGGGCATAATTTCAGACTCCATGCTACTACTAAGATTTTTTTTAAAACCCAGTAATACTTTGCCCGACCCGGGAATCGAACCCAAGACCCCCGGCAGTCGCACTTGCGACCACTCGGCCAGAGAGGCAGTAATTTATCAATACTGATTTCAAATAAACAGACAAAAAATCTTACCTTTCTCCGTACACCATTTAAATGTAGCTTAACCATATATTTTCCAAAGGGATTATAGATGGGCGACTTGCTCTTATTTTTAGGGTAAATAATAGACGTTATGATCTTCTTGTTAAACCTTCTTTCATACAACGCACTCACTGCCAAAGAGGCCACGAATGAGCAGTCTGATACTATCTGAAAATGGAGTTATGTTTCTAATTTTATTTGTTAGTACTTAATATTTTATTATTAATTATTTATTACTAAAGATAGAAGCAATACTATTGAAAACGATGGAAATTTATTAAGCCTTTGACTGCCTAGAGAAAACTGTTTAAGGCAAATCCTCCGCTAACTTAGGTCACCGGTGACCTACGTGGCGTTTAACGTGTTAAGGATGAGTTAATGTGCAACGGCTTTTAACCTTTGCCCACATATAGATTTCATCGTGTGAGTGAGGTTACCGGCGGCCCAATTACCCCTTCTCCTTTTACCAATCCCTGAATCCTCAACGATCTTCAAACTCCTAATCCCCAAAAGGCCGGTAACGCACTTGTAACGCCTCTGATGTTCCAGGTGTCCATGGGCGACGCCGATTACTTACAACAGGTGATCCGTCTGCTCGTTTACCGGTTTTAGTAGATAGTGTTAAAAACCATTCATTTTTATGTTTGCTAGTCATGTTAGATTACAGGCATTTTAATTTTAAAGCTGCTGTAATTATAATAGATCTGAACAGGTACGTAACTAGCCACTAAGATATATATTCATAACATGTTTATTTAAAACTTGCGACAGACACACTAATTAATTATTTTTTCGACTTCCTCACGAAACTGTTTGAGGAGGAACTCGACTAGTTTCAAGCCATGCTACAGGCTCATACTAGATAGATTGTCGCGCTGCTACTGCAGTAGTCGCCGCGTCGCGGCTTGCGAAATGCTGCTCATGAATATGAGCCTTTAGCAAGGCTAACTAGTCGAGTTCCTCATCAAACAGTTACATGAGTAAGCCTAAACATAATAATTAATATTCATAACGTATTAATTTCTATAACCCTTATAGATACTTTCTAAGTAATCGCGTGGTCGAAGCATAGAACAAAGTATCAGAAGATGTAATCGCTGCACAGAATGTTAACCAGTTCAAAAACTGACTTGACAGATACATGACATCGAATGAACTACTGATAGAAAGATAGGATACGGGCATGTATCAGTGGTCTCAACTGTCTGCTTAAATTAAATAATAATAATAATATTAACACACATAAAAGTAAAGTAATTAAAGTCAACCAGAGAAAGAAAAATGCTAAACCTAATAAGGCAATTACTGTGTTGTTGTTAATGAATAACATTATCGATAAATTATACTCACAGTCTGCTTAATACTAAAACAGTCAACATGATCCCCAACAACCATTTTAGGGTCAGCGCAGATTTCGTGCGGTCTCACCCAGCTATCAAACTCCCTCTCTTGTTTAGAAGACAACTTCAATTCACTAGCTCTATCCTCAAACGGAATAGCATATTGAAACTTCTCTGTCAAATCCACATCCATAAATGGTAGAAAACAGTTGTTATTTATATTCGATGTTGTACGTAAAACCTCTTTTTCTTCTTCAGAGTATGTGGCTTGTTTTCCGCTTACTTTTAAATGTATGCTTTGGTCCCGTTGTAGTACAGGTCTAACTGGAGATACAACTGTAATAAAGAAACAGAAAGACTGAATGTAATTTATTCCTATTTTTTTCAGAAGAATAATGACTATAGAATAACAGTTTTATAACAACTATCGTGATAGATACTGTTACCTGAAAACCGCGGGCTAGGTTACGCAACATCGCTGCAACCGCGCACGCTGCTCATGAGGAAGAACCTCTCTGTGGTTCGAAACTAGTAGAGCTTTTCTCCGTATATTCACGTGAGTAAACCGTCTTTTTAGTTAATAAAATAAAAGATCTTGAAGTGTAATGTTAACAATTTACCTGGTTTTCTTGGTTCATTGATAGAAAGAGAACCAATCCGCTTTATACCTTTCAACTCCTCTGCCCTGTCAAGTGCTTGTCCGGCTAAGTTTTTTATCTTTGTCTGCACTTCAGGGTCACTTGATTTCTACAAAAAAAAATTCCTTTAAGATAAGTATTGGTCCTAAAATGTTACCTTGTGGAACACCTAATTAGAATTGCAGCAGCAATTTATTACTTGTATTAGTAATTTTAAATTTCAATAAAATAGTTAATATTGTTCACGCCCAAAGATGGCTTATTACTGAAAGGTTACTCAATTTCTAGTTCTACTTAAATATTGTGCCAACTCCGTCATTTTACAAAGAATTTGTAATGACAAAACTATACTTAACCTATTGAAAATTGTTGAAAATCATCCCTTAAAGTTGTTTATACAAAAGTAGTCTGTAAACATTGGAAAGAAGGTCTATAATGTATTTAGTGGAGAGCGGTCACTGGTGACCGGGGATATATGGGTTAAGCATGACTTAAAATACATTAGTCCCAAAGAATGACTATTTTGCCAAAGTCAAAATCAAAATAATTTATTCCAATTAGACCAGTAATAAAAGGGAGTTTTGTATTAATAAATTTAAAAAAATATGACATTTCCTATTCATATGGTTAGTAGTGTTATAGAAGTCAAATGCTATAAAGTATACTCACGACCGAAACGGCTAATTCCACAGCTTGTGTGTATAATTTTAATGCATTATCTTTCAGATTAGCTTCATCCGCATCCAGAGCTTGTTGCATGAGGAAGTAACACTGTTGCATGGCTCGCTCACATTCTGCTTGCTGGGCTCTATCTGTTAATGAGACCACAACAAATTCAGTTTGTTTTAATAATTACTTGGAAAACAAATTATTATCAAAAAGTATTTAGAAATGAAGAATAGTAGTATCTATGCATTTCGGAATACTTCAATACAATACATTTCATTTGTCTTTATTTATAGTATGCTATTTACACAGAAATATAGTGTGGTTTCTTTAAACGCAAGCAATGTAGCTATCATAACCACAAAGATAGCATTCAAACTTGATTGCACAAAAAAGAACGATGATATCACCTGCAGATTAAATTGAAAGCCCACTGTGTACAATACACAGTTAGGACCATATGAGTCATAGACCAAACTAAACAAAAAAACATGCTACATTTATACTAGAATAGACTTGAAAAAACTGTTTTTTATGGCATACCTTGCTGTTCTAACAAGAAAGTGGCCCGTTCTAGATACTCCTGCACTTTACTCCTCACATCTTCTTGCTTTTCTGGAGGAAAACGATCACGAATCCTATCCAATAGTCTAGCCGCCGTCCGATAGCATTCCACAGCTTTATCCGTCTGTCCAGTCTGGTCAAATTGGACGGCTAGAGATGCAGCCTCTGTTGCATTAGCAAAATCACTCATTTTTCACAACAAATGCATTACAATCTCCAAAAATGTTTTGCAAACAAAAATGTACTGTTTGAAATGACAATCATAAATCAACGTCAGCCTCTCACTGACAAGAGTGACACAGGATTTGACTCATGACATTTAATAATCATCTGTCGTTAACGTTTCATTTAGCATGGCATATGTTTACTTACATTTTTCTATTAATTTCATTTTGTTCTTATGCTCAAATGTCAATTTATTACTTAATAGAGAACATTGTAATGTAGCTGTAACTACGTGTAATTTATTGGCAAAAATTAAGTGTCTGAGATTTTTTTAATCTGTACGCAGACTATACACCTACTAAAAAAAGAACAAATCAAATGTCATTTGTCGTTGTCAAAGAAAATTGATTAATTTTATCGTCTTTCGGTATTGGGATTTTAGTCGGTGTTTTCTCAATTTTATACTGTGCATACATTAAAATACACTTTAATCATTATTGGTAATTTAGACATTTCTTTTATATCGCTTATTAGTTATTTGAAGTGAAAATGGCTACGGAGGCGGTGGCGAGTGTGGGTGCGGAGATTCGAGAAAATTTGGTAATTAATTAATTAATTTTGTATTAAAACTAAGTAATTTAATACCTGTTTTGACAAGCATTGCATGTTTCTGTCATTAATATTAATGTTTCGTTAGTATAATGGTATTGCTAACATGACTTTGTAAATTACGTTCGATCGCGGATCGACCTTCGAACTGTTTGATACCTCTGTAAAATTTCTTTGTTATTTTTTATTACGTTCTCTTTTTAAGATTTTAATCTTGAATCTCAAATAACATGCGTATTTTTGCGTAGTTCATTCATACTTAAAACATTCTACTTAAAATTTTCTTATCATAATTACTTACTGTGAATTAATAACATTATTAAATAGGTCATGTTTTGGCAATATTGATTGTAAAGAATGTTCTAGTTCAAAATTTATCTCTAATATCCAGTGAACAAAGCTCATTTTACCTAAAACATCAATTAGATTAAATCTAGACAGCCAAAAGATTGAGACATGAGGAGAATAAATAGCAGTGAGAACTTAAAACAATGAACTGTAACACGAAACAATGGAAATTGAATTGTTTTGTGTGTGTTAATAAATCTGAAACTTGATTGTTATGAACTTGTATATTATTCCCATTCAACTACCTAATATGAATAAGCTGCCTATCGGGACTTAAAAACTATTTTTTTTTTAAGATATTCTACAATCAATACCTAAGTCCAAAGTACTTGTATGATCAGTTTTAAGTTGCAATAGAGATTCTGGAACTTACCGCTAGGCGAGATGGTGGGCCAATACCATTCTATTTGAATTAAGAAAATCGTTCCGATATAGTTATTATTTCAATATTTTTGTTTAGTTCAATGTTTAGCTCTAGAAGAAAATTTATAATATTACCTATTCAATAAATATATATAAAAATATGTGTACATAAAATCACGCATATATGTATACTATAAGCCTATGATGTATATTTTTAAGTGTTGCCATGACTCCACTTTCACTTTTAACAACATAACATTGGCACGCTTAGCCACTCAGCCTCATTATAATTTATGCCAAAAATCCTAACAAGATTTGCATAATAGATATCTTTATTTAAATGTTTGTACATTTTATGCTAACAAGCAAACAGGTGTATGTTACAATAATAAATAAAAAAAAAATCTGTTTTATTTTATGCATTTCTTTTTTGACTATACAAAACAAAAAGATGTAAACCTAAAGAATTGTTTACATCTATTCAATTAATGTAGAATGCTGAAATAGAAAAAAAAATACATTTAAATATTAAAATTATTTTATTTAACCAATCAATCAATGCCCTGTTGGCCCAGTTTAAAAAGCCCACTTCTCATGCATTACGGGGTGTTTGGAACCTACCAACGGAAAGTACCAATGTGACTTTTGCCGAGTTATATGTACTTTCTAAGATTATCTAGACACCACTGACAAATGGTGAAGGAAAACATTGTGAGGAAACCTGGTCTTATAATTTTTAATTATAAGTTTGTACATTGAGCAAGCGTGGTGATTAACGCTCAAACCTTCTCCGTGTGAAAAGAGGCTTCGCTCAGCAGTGGGCATTTATAGGCTGTTTTTAGGCTGCTGTGAACCAATCAATCTAGACTGCACGGTTGGTGCGGTGGCTGGGCAACCGGCTCGGGACACGATTCCCGCATTCCCGATTCCCGCACGGGACAACACTTTTTGTGATCCACAAAATGTTGTTTCGGGTCTGGGTTTCATTGTGTATGTGAAATAGTATGTTTGTAAACGCACCCACGACACAGGAGTGTGGGGCAAAGTTTTAATTAATAATAAAAAAAATATGAACTAATAATCTAACTAACATGAAACAACACTTGCGGTCCAATTATACCCCTTCTCCCTCGGAATCCTCAATCCTCAAATTCCTAAACCCCAAAAGGCTTTTGGGGTTGAACGTGTAACGCCTCTGGTATTCCAGGCGACCATGGACGACGCCGATTGCTTACCACCATTAATACATCAGCTCTTTACTAGCTTATCCCATAAAAAAAATCATCAGAAAGGTGCATATTTACTAAACAATAAAAAAATCAAATTAACAATAAACAATAAAAAATACTTTGATGTCTTGATCTTATGATATTATGTTTGATAGTGTTCAAACGACACACAATTGTATTATGTTGAATGTTATTGTTCATACAATAATTAAATTCAATACAAGTTACTTATGAATCTAATTGACATTAAATACTAAACAATCAATAAACACAATGCTAATTTAACTCGTCGAGTACCGGTTTTGTAGACACAATTATAGAACAATAGGTTGCGGTCACCGGTGACCGCTTGGTGTTTGACAGTTTAAAACCAATAGAATATATTCTCTAATCTATTGAATAGATTATAAAACTATATAAACTAATATGATTTACTACTAATTAAAAGTACACCTCGTGGCTACCTCGTGGGCCGAGTGATCGCAATTGCGACTGCCGGGCAAGGGGTTTCGGGTTCGATTCCCGGGTCGAGCACAGTATTATTGGATTTAAAAAAAATCTCAGTGGTAGCACGGAGGCTGGAAATGTGCCCGGTATAATAATATGGCAATAGGCTCACCCCCTATTACATGGGATGCAAACATAAATAGTGAAAAGTGGGTGTTACATTGTACAGTGGCTTGAGTGCCGTAATGTGCACCTCTACCTACCCCTTCGGGGATAAAAAGCGTGATTTTATGTAATTAAAAGTACGTTAACATTATTAGAAGTGATAGAAAAACCTCCAGTAAGACATATAGTTCACAATCATATTGTGTTAACTCTTATATTAGAGTACCCGCCTCGGGATAATTGGGATATAAATAATTCAACTGTTGCCGATACTATTATACCGGGCCCTATGTATAGTAGATATGTGACGCAGAGACCCGGAAAAGAAGATCATATGAGTTCATAATAAGGTTGATATTCGAATCGCATTCGCATTGTCAGAGCACGATGATGTCTTTCCTCTTTTGTCGGGCCTGTACCACGTTGAAAGATAAAGAATAGTAGCCTCGCAGTATGGCGCAGCTGGATTGGTCAAACTATAATTACTTAATTGGTAAAAACTCACTGCCTTGTTGGCTGAGTGGTCACTGCCGGGCAAGGGGTCTCCGGTTCGATTCCCAGGGCGGTCAAAGTTTTACTGTGTTTTTAAAAATTCTCAGTAGCAGCACGGAGGCTGGAATTGTGCCCGGTATTTGGCAATAGGCTCATCCCCTATTGCATGGGACTCATAGATGGTAAAAAGTGGGTGTTACATTGTACAGTGGCATAATGTGCACCTCTGCCTACCCCTTTGGGGAAAAAGGCGTGATGTTATGTTAGATCAGACTCAGACCTCATAATATAATTATGAAGGATGTAGTGGCCACCAGATGGCACTTTGGGGGATAAAAGACGTGATGTTATGTTATGTAAAAAACTGGATTTTACCTTTCTCTTACTCTTACCTCTACTTTACCCTTTCCGAATCTGATGTTATATATTTTTCCACAGGTAACAACAGCGGTACAGTTCCTGACAAATCCAAGTGTACAACGATGCACCTTGGAAAGCAAGGAACGCTTCCTACGTGGCAAAGGTCTTACTGACCCTGAAATACAGAAGGCTTTAGGAAAATGTGCAGAAATGATGGACCTTCCGTCCATGACTTCAGAGCTCATGTTCGTACATCAGTCACGGAGGTCGTGGTTCAGAGACAATGTGCTCCCAATCTTGATTTACGGAGGCTTCATGTATGGATGTTACTGGTTTTATAAAGTAAGTGTATATTGTATTATGGGTTTTTTTTTTAAGGGGGGAAAATCATCGAATGACTGCTCCCGCCTGGGTGAGGCGGGAGGGAGTGTCAGACTCTTACTGACTAAAAACCACCCCGTTCCTTCTCCTGCACGTCGAGCCGGAGCCCCGGTTACCCGTTAGGTTCTCCGATTGTATTATGGTTAACTAACATGTATGTCTTATGAGTTGATTTTATGATAATGTGAGCCCGAATTCTGAAAGGCTACTCAATTTTAAGTTGTACTTAAATATCGTGCCATCTCTGACATTCATTACTAAAGAGCCATCAGACCACCACGGATGGGGCCCAATAGGTCTGATGCCGATACGGAGCCGCCGAGGACTTAACGGGTTGCCGGGGCTCCGGCTCGAAGTGCAGGAGTAGGAACGGGGTGGTTTTTAGTCAGTAAGAGTCTGACACTCCTTTCCGCCTCACCCAAGACATTCGACGAGTTACCCCTTTAAAGAAAATCTCTCTCTTTACTTTCATTTTACGAAGAATTTGTAGTGACAGAATGACTTAACAATGAGTACCTAGTGTTTGAGTATTTGAACATAAATCCCTCACGTAACAAAGGGTTGTTTATTTTTATGATGAATAGGTACCTGGTTCTTTCTGATTGGACCCATTTAATATGTCAGTGTCAATATATTTTTATTAATATATTAGGTACTTTGTCTTCTATCTTTATTAATCTTTATTCAACATAGATATTATCTTGTTGCTAAAGATTTATTTTATAGCCAATAAAAAAGATATATTTTTGAACTTGCGACCTTGCAAACACAATCGTTTATCATAATTTCGTATTAATTTTATCAATGGTCCTCTGATAATAGAAAAATTATTAGATACCTAGTTGTGTAGGTACGAATTCATTTGATAAACGTTTAGATGATGTGAAATGAATTTAACTAAAACATTGACTAACTACTATGTTAGCAATTTTAAAACGAGGGAATAAATCATGTATATCAAAACGGGTCCATTGTTTAGTGAAATTCTTAATAACTCTCTATAACCTGGGTGTCTTCAAGGTCCGAGTGAATAGATATGCTTATGATACGACATGATCTATCGTAGGCCGCATCATCGCTTACCACTAAGCGGGATTTTTTTTAAGGGAGGAAAATCATCGAATGCCTGATCTGCCTGGGTGAGGCGGGAGGGAGTGTCAGACTCTTACTGACTAAAAACCACCCCGTTCCTTCTCCTGCACGTCGAGCCGGAGCCCCGGTAACCCGTTAGGTTCTCCGCGACACCACTAAGCGGGATATTGATCAAACGTCAGCCCACCAAATATAAAAAAAAAATCCGGGCGCCGAAGCCGGTCTCGTTTCGATTACTTTATACTAGTTTATACGTAGAACAAACTCGTTACTAAGGCCTCAGAACTTACTTTAACTTGATGAAACAACCCATGAGTTAACAATTAAATATTTCTTCCACAGAACTACATAAGGCATATCCTTTTCGTGCAGCAACCAAAGCGCAAGACGACAGAGGAATGCATCGATGAGCTGCGCAAGAGTGTCGATATACTCAACTCTAACTTTATGGCACTGCGCACTGAAATGCAAGCGAACGTCCACCAGAGTGCGATGCGATCGCAAGTCGACAGCATCAAGGCGGAGTTAACGTCTGTCAAGTCTATTATGTTAAATAGGTGAGTTTAAAGTCAAGGTTATTTGTTTTAATCAAACAAAAATAAGCAACTTTCGCCTATGAGGAAGAACGAGCAGTTCCTTATCACTCAACATCATCCGAATAATCTGAACAAAAATGACGTACAACTCGGAAAAAGTCCAATTGGTACTTGCCCTAGGTAGGTTTTGAACCCGCACCCTCATTCATCAGAAATGGGCATCCCAACCGCGGGCCACCACGGTATCAATGTTTTAGTACAGTGTAACATTTTTTGTGCTACAGGTATATGTAAAGTGTTATGTCTAGTGACGAGGTAGTAAAATGGTGTTATGACGAGTAAAGGGCGGTTTTTTATTCGAGAAAAATCTATGTTTTATGATTTAACTCGTCGAGTACCGTCATTATAGACACAATTATAGAACAATAGGTTGCGGTCACCGGTGACCGCTTGGTGTTTGACAGTTTAAATGCTTAACAGAAATCCGTGATAAAACGCTTGCGTTGTGTTTCGTCGTGTGAGTGAGGAAGAAACTAATGTTTAAAGTTATACTAAAATGATAGAATAGGCGACTGACCGATAAATTGATTTCAAACTATAAACACTAATCACCTACTTTCGTTATCTATAGTTTTGCTACTACAAATCAAATATAAGCTCCAACCTAGATTTCAATCTAAAATTTTAAATTACCTATCGAGAAAATTCGATTCATCAACTTTGGCATTTTAAACGAAATAATTAAGAATTTTTACACAAAATCATACCTATTATTCCCGAAGGGCTAGGCAGAGCATCTCTGTAAAAAGTATACTCCCGTAGTTAACTATATACGAAATCCGCGTTAAGAGTAGGAAGGTAGAACAAATGTATCATGGCTCACGGCATGTTTTATTTATTTATTTAGAAAACCATCAGCGTTACATATAGTTTACAATGGTTTACGTAAATTACAGGGATTAAGGCTAATAATAGGTTTCCCTTATTTCCTAGATTTTGTAAACATGCGACCGGACTTGATAAACTATTTATTAACTAATTAATTAACAAAATAAGACCAAGAACTAGAGATGGGATTTTACCCGGAAAAAACCCGAATATGGGAAAAAAACCGGGAAAAAACCCGGGGAAAATTCCCGAATGGGAAAATATTCGGGTTTTTTCATATTTAACACTTGTAACAAATAAGTAATGTGTAGATTATGTACATATCATATAGTACGTACTATTTAAGAACTATTACTACAAGTTAGAGCTAATCTAACTTTGTTTATGTTCATATTGCAGTAATAACGTTCTTAATATACCTACTATCAAATGAAAGAAAATGAAATTAAACAAAAATCCTGTCTGTTTGTGTGTGATCCTCCGCTCTTAGCGACAGGTAACCCGAAAATACGTGAGCGGGTAGAGGGGCAGGGAAGCAGGTAGTAGAGGGGCGAGCGCGTTGGTGATCTATCTATCTCACACGTTGTTTCGGCTTCATACTGTGCGCACTCGTGTTAATTTGTTGGTTTAATTGACGACTTGGATTTTGTTTGGTGGACTTTTGGTTACCTAATCCTTTGAATTGACAACAACTGCTACTCTTACGGACTTTGATACCTACTTTTTTTTACGAACGAAATTTACCGGTAAATTTACAGTTTTGTAACTTTTGTAATAAATGATTGTTAGTAAGAGTATCTCTCGTGGTTTTAGTTATATTATTTTAGTCAAACATTCTTTAAAGTTTAATAGGTATTTTTTCTGCTGTTAACATTCCATCACAGAGCGCAGTAAAAACTTATTATAAAACAAGAAGACGTCTTTATGGTGTTATAATAAATATGCTGGTTATGTTTTAGTCCTTGAAATAGACTACACATTTTAACGTTTCAAATAACAGACAACAGCTAGTGCCTTATACACGCTGGTGCTAAGTACATCTCTGTCAAGAAAGTACCGGGAAAAGATCAATAATACAAAAAATGTCTGTTATTCATCCAAATTTATTCTATAACCTTTAAACTGTCAAACACCGAGCGGTCGGTGTTTGAAAGTTTAAACTGTCACCGGTGACCGCAACCTATTGTTCTTTAATTGTCTGTAATGACGGTACTCAACGAGTTAAAGTATGCTCCTTTAGAGACGATACACTTGCGCCAACTAATAATCTATTCATCAAAACATTTTTTAAACGCTGCTTCCAGAATTGAGTTTAGTTCTCGCCGCGAATTCTCCTTTACGTCTTCTATCGATTGAAAACGGGTGCCACGTAGTGAAAATTTGAGTTTAGGAAAAAGAAAAAAGTCATCAGGAGCCATATCTGGTGAATATGGTGGTTGCTGGATGGTATTTGTTGAGTGTTTGGTCAAAAATTCCTTCACCTTGATGCCACCAATGATAGCCTTGTGCGAAGGCGCTTTCTCGTGGTGCAAAATCCAATAATTTTCTTTCCACAAATCTGGCTTTTTTCGTAGAATTCGCTCTCTTCAACGCCGCATAAAGCTCAAATAATATTCTTTATTTACCGTTAGACCTTCTGGTAAGAATTCAGAGTGCACAACAGCGCGATAGTCAAAGAAAACAGTCAACATGACTTTGACTTTTAAAGACTTTGGCGTGGTTTTTTCGGTTTCGGTTCAGTTGGAAGGCGCCACTCCGAATCTTGTTGACTAGTTTGCATGCCAAACTCATAAACCCACGTCTCGTCACCAGTAACAATGCGTTTCATGATTGTTGGGTCCAAACTGACTCGTTCTAGCATATCCTCAGCGACTTTCATGCGATTGAGATTTTGGAGAAAATTTAGATCTTTTGGAACTAGTCGAGCAGCAACATGTTTCATACCCTTTATTGTATTGTATAGATTAGTTAAAATGGTACGGATCGACTCGTGAGATACAGAAAGTTCGGCGGCTATCTCTCTCAGAGTGGAATGGGGATTTTCAGTCACTATTTCCTTCACTTTTGCGATGTTAACTACAGTTGCAGAGCGAATCAAATCTTCCATCACATCTCGACCGCTTTAGAACGCTTTGAACCACTCATAAGCACGAGTTTTTGATAAAGTCGATTCACCGTAAGCTTTCTGTAACATTTTTAGTGACTCCGAACACAAAATTCCATTGGCGATGCAAAATTTAAGACAAACTCTTTTATCGATATTTGAGTCCATTATGAAATTCACAATTTACATTATTTATGATATTTCTGAAACCAGCGCTGTATTTAATATAAATAACATATGCAACTCAAACTCCGCGCCAAAATGGAAAACAGTTGTGCCAATCTAACAACTACATAAAAACAAAAATTTGAATTTGGAACCATAAACAAATCATCCATTCCCGATACTTTTTTGAGTGAATGTAGGTATATGCGCATCACAAAGTACCTATTTATTTAGTTCTGAATATAAAAATAGAATAAGATCATTATAAATGAAAATACCCGCCTATTGGGTTTTTTCCCACATAAAAACCGGGTTTTTTCCCTTTGGGTTTTTTCCCAGTGCCCATCTCTACCAAGAACGAACAATGACTTACTTAATCAGTCACAAAAACTTAGATTTCGGAATGTTTTATAAATGAATCAGATCCATCCATTTCAAACTAAACTAAACCTTATTCTTTCTACTGCAGGAATCAATTTCCCGCGCTCAAGACCCGCACAGACCCCCCCTCAATTCCCGACTGGCAGCGGCAGTCAGAAGAAGCGACCTCAACCGAAGTACCTCAGGAAGAGAAGAAGAAGAAGAACAGAAGCCGCAGCCAGCGGTCCGAGTCCGGAGGATCCAACTCCAGCGAGGGAGAGCAGGCTACCAAGAATAGCGACAGTAGTTTGGAAATCATGTAAGTCAATATGTACTACCTGTTTTATTATTATTTTTTCTATGGAATAAGCCGGTAAACGAGCAGACGGACCACCTGATGGTAAGCAATCGGCGCCGCCCATGAACACCTGGTACGCCAGTTACAAGTGCGTTATCGGCCTTTTGGGTTTAGGATTCAGGGTTTGGGGAAGGAGGATTAACAGCCTGTTCTCGTCCACTGCTGGACATATGCCTCTCCAATGGCACGCCACACATCTTCAGCTCTACGCATCCAACCACTACCAGCCACTTTGCGAATATTGTCGCGCCACCTAGCTGGACGGCGCCCTATACTACGTTTGCCTAGACGCGATCTCCACTCCAGAACACGTCTACCCCAACAGTCATCGGTTCATCACTGCAGTTGACATTAGCTAATTTCCTATTGGAAGATGAATGATAGGGTCGTCGCACTGGTGCCATCTGGTGAAACTATGTTAAGCATGGCCACTAAATCCTTCATAGCTTATATTATGAGGCAGAGGTACACATTATGCCACTGTACAATATAACATCCACTTTTCACTATTTATGTTATGAATTCCATGTAATAGGGGGTGAGCCTATTGCCATATACCGGGCACAATTCCAGACTCCGTGCTACTACCGAGATTTTTTTAAACCCAGTAATATTTTGCCCGTCCCTTGAACCCGAGACCCCTTGCCCGGCAGTCGCACTTGCGACCACTCGGCCAACGAGATAATCTGAGTCACGTTTTTGCTACAGAAAAGTAAATTTCAAAAATAGTACTTTAGCTTGACTCATTCAAAAACCTTTGATTGAGGATCAATTAACAAACATATAATAATAATAATAAACTAACACATAATATTTTTCTTTTACAGCACATGAAAACCAATCCCATTGAAGTCGGCACTACGGCAACTTAAAAGCCTTTGCCAGAGATATTCTAAGGACAACAACCAACGCCCTGAGAAATCAAATAATTTAGTTTTGCGTTCTATTCCATATCATCCTCCGGCTCCTTGCTCCGGCTCGTGCTCGGCTGCTAATGATAATACTAAGACATGTAAAGCATCGTGCGCTATGTGCTCCGAAGCAAGAAAATCTTTACATGAATACACAAAGTGTTTGATGGGTGGCCGTGGTAATGTTAACCTGGAGTCCTCTACGCCTTCGATTGACAAATTGTTGACTCCACAATTATTGCACCAAATCAAGAACCTTGTACAAGCTGTTGAAACTGGCAATACCAAACCCAGCCAGTAAGTTCACAATTATTATTTAATACAACCCCAATAGTCGCTGGGTGTTTCTCCGAAAAACTAACTTTTTTTAAGTTAAGCACCGTAGTAATTTATTATCATCTGTATATTTAAATTAACTAAAATCGCGGGTTACTCACGTGAATATACTGAGAAAAGCTCAACTAGTTTCGAACCACAAAGGGGTCCTTCCTCATGAGCAGCGTGCGCGATCGCGGCTGTGGTTCGAAACTAGTAGAGCTTTTCTCAGTATATTCACGTGAGTGACCCACGATTTTAGTTAATTTAGTATGTCTCACGATAGTTATTATCAATCTATATATTTATTGGTATGATTAAAAGCAGAGACACGGCTCAGTATCTTGAAACCAAATTTTGTTTTTTATCCCGTGGTATGGAACGGACAACCACGCGAGATACGAATGTTTTTTCTTTTATGTAGCAGGTTAATCAGCAGCATTGTTAACCTTCTGTTGAGGATAATAGCGCCGTAAATTCTTTGTGACTTTTTTTTTAATCGCCCAGCATCATAGCGATCGAAGTACGGATTATCAATACCATTTTGTTAATTCAAAATCCACCCAATACGGATGTAATGGGCGCTAGTTTTTAAGCATACGACACAATATCAATGTCGATCGATCGAAATTGGATTCAAGAGAGTCCCCAGGCCAACCGTAAGTTTTGCTGTTACTGATTTTAGTACTGAATGGTAAAACGTATGGTTGGCCAATTTCAAATGCATCAAGAGCGAAGTGGCGTAGGATATCTCTAGTAGGAAAGTAAGTAGCCTTAGACTAGTGCGACTACGTGTATCAGGTATCTTAATGTATTAATTCAATTTAGTGACAATATACTCCTATTTCATTATAAAATATCAATAGTAGATACGTAGGTCAAGACATAGTGGGTTGTGAAGAAGAGATAGGAATGTCCATTTATACTTGGTCCTTATCTATTCTGTATGTAAGGACGAAAATGTATTATGGTGTTTTTTTAACTGTAACTCTAGGGTGTAAGGACGTCGCGCGTATGTTTTGTTTGCGCGTGGAAGCACGTCGCCGGGGCGAAACTTTGCTGCCGCGCCAGTTTCGCGCGCCCAGTGCCGCGTGGCGGGATGAGTTCCGTTGCGATCTCATAGCAGAATGGCAGCAACGACTAACGCCACCGAGGGCTGAGCTCGCTGCCATTGCAGCGGTAATTCCCCCTCTTTTGAGTGGCTTGAGAGACGCTACGGCGTCCTCACCTAACGCCTAACGCGAAGTTTCGGTAGGTCCCTGTTTCTGGTTGGGCGGGAGGAAACGCCCGGGCGTCATTACTGCGAGGTGGAGCATACGGTAGCCGTGTGCCCTACGTGGACTGAGAACTCTTGCGTCGTCCGGCTCTTGTTCAGGCCATGTTACGGAGTTAGGGGACTGGGATGCCGTCTCCTCCTTCTGCTAAGCAGTCGTGCTAACTAAGGAGGAGGCGGGGCACGTGATGAAGGAACCTCCTCACGCCCGGGAGACACTCCGGGCGTCGATGATCGCGCTACGATTTAGGCTAGGCCCGTACATACGGCACGCTCTGCGCGCGCCTCAATGAGCCATCGTACTACCACGGATGGCATTGCCATTGGCGAGGCTATTGTCATCGAATGGCCAAAGATTCATAATGTTGTCATCACTTTTAATTAGGTTCTTTCAAACACAACCCACTATTTCTTCATCATAAACCAAAAATACAAAAATAAAACTATAAACAGTGTCGCTTAAATCCAAGTATTATTTGCAATTGTAAATGAAGATTCTAAATCTAAGTGTTTAGAGTCTAAACTCCCACGATGGCTTCCATCATTAGACATTGTATAGAGGAATTTTGTCGTCATATAATCATGTCTTTATAAATAAATTTTAGTTAGCATTTATATGAATTGAAATTGTAGGGGTTTTGTTAATAAATATTACGTATAATGCGATGTATGTAAGATGCGTTTTGGGACAAAAAAACTTTATATTATAACCTTTTTTTAATGATTTCTTGCCTATTTAGACGCCATTTTGTTTTGTTTCCCGCCAAATATTTTGACAGGCCTAACTTTTGCATTATATAGTTGTGTGCATGATAATCAGTTCTAGTTTAAAATATTTGGCGCGGGTTGTACAGATAATAATTTTCTATGGCTCTAGTAAATTTCCAAAATGCTTGTTATTATTGTAATGGACAATTGGGCATGTGTCCAAGCCATTTTGACCCTTACGTGTTAAATAATAGCATTTATTCTCCTTCTCACCTTAATACTAATTTCTCTAAGATTCGCTATTATTATGTATAAATTGCCAAAGTTAAAAAACATGAAAAATATTTTAATAATATATTTTAAATTTTTATTCTAAACTTGTGATGGCTGCTTGGTTTAATTTGTCGATTTTTATTTTTAAACGTGTGATGGTTTTGTAGAAATATGGACTATGTTACTGTATAGATAAGACATAGTTTTGTTTGATACATGAAATAATTCGCCGCTAGATTTATGACTTGTTTTTACTAGCGATATTTTAATATATTTTATGATACGCTCTCTTTGACTTTTACGAGTGATACCTCATATATTGATAAATATACCTACATAGTTTCCCTATAGAAATAATTAAGTAGGTACTGAAAACTCAACAGTGCAAAGGGAGTATAGCGTAGCTTTATATTATATTTTTTAATTATAAAGCAACGCTACAAGAGATACTCGTATGGGTCAGATGTGAAAGTGCACATAAAATGCGTTTTGTGCAACCAAATATATAACAAAAATGGTTTGTAATAGGTATTATTCCATTATGTACTATTTACTAACAAAGTTGCTAAACAAATTTGAATTTTAACTACAATAAATCACATATTAAAATAACGCGAATTATTTTGTGGATCAAAAAAGAAACAAATTGCATAATCATGTTTGTTTCACAATAAAATAAATAAACTAATTAGTCATTACTGTGTACTATAGCTTTGTTGTTGATTTTATTTTTAATTGACTTTGTATGGGCGTAATAAAATTAATTTGTTAAAGATGTATCTCACGAAAGAAAAGCTAGTAATAATAATAATTATATCCTAAAGATGTTGTAATATGAGGTCATATTTGATCGAGAATCAATTTAAACTGTCAAACACCAAGCGGTCACCGGTGACCGCAATTTTGTTCTATAATTGTGTATATAATGACGGTACTTGACGAGTTAAAAATAATGAATATCTAACTGTAAATGTCTTACTGAAAAGCCAACGGCTCACACAAATATGGGATGAAAGCTTTTAATAAAATGAAGTCGTATTAGAGGACACAGTGGAATAAACGATGGCGGCATGCCCTTCATGGGCTGAGCACCGCCGTGTCCTTAAGGATGTGATCGGCGACGGCGACCTCTCGCGTCCGGCTCTAGATCGGGCCATGATGCGGAGCGAGGAGAACTGGGATGCCTTCTCCACCTTTTCCGAAGCAGTCATGCTAGTTAAGAAGGCGGGGCGCGCGAGGCACAGATTCACAACCTCCTTACAACTCAGCCATCCCGAAGGACACTCCGGGCTTGTATCGCGAGACGATCTCCGGCCACCGGCACGGGCCTGCTGACGGCGATCATGGGTAGCTCGCCGCCCGACCAGAACCAGATCCGACCGTAGGGCGCGTTGCGTTCCGCGGTTGCCTCGAAGAACCATCAGACCACCACAGAGGCAGGCAGGCAGATGCCGATACGGAGCCACGGAAAACGTAACAGTTTACCGGGGCTCCCGCTAGAAGTGCAGGAGTAGGAACGGGGTGGATTTTAGTCAGTAAGAGTCACACTCCCCCCTTAAAAAATCTATTGAGTCATTCACTTCTTATAGGATTCTCAGATTAAATATGTCCTTATAGGTATAATTTTCAATTATTTTATTTCGCCCATAATATAAGTATCCGCCAGTCCGGACTTAGATGTAATATACCGTGTTAATTTTTTACTAATTTTATTTTTCAATGTGAATATTTTGTTTCAAATTGTTTTCATTTAGTTTTGGTTCCTCCATTGTAATCGTATTTAAATTGCTCAGCGTTTGTATGAAATATTCAATAATTGTATTTAAAAGACTTATCGTTGTATACAGCATTCCATATTGGTGTTTTAGTGTACCCGCGTCGTGATAATAAACCAAAATGATAATGATACTTGCATGTGTTTTATTCCCGTGTAATTGAGTCTACATTCCCGTGTACCTGATTCTAGAAAAAATTGTATTGTTCTAGTTTCCTTCCTATTGATAACAATAATTTCCTTGTTTTAAAATAATAATAATGCTTGTATGAACTTGTGAATGTGATAGAAGCTAAAGAGAGTAAGGATCATACTAATATTTGATGGTGCTCTTTGTTTCTGTTTATCTCTAAGCTGGATGGAGCCTAGTATATCACTAAAGAATTTGCTATAGGCATATGATACTGTGTCATATGCACAGCCAATGATAGACATAAGGTAAATAAATTACCATTTACGAGATAGGTAAGTAAATTGGCTAGTTTTTTGTTTTGTTTGGTGCTTTCAAACTTATAATTAGAAATTAAAAACTATCTAGACACCACGGAAAAACATCGCAAGTACATATAACTTGGAAAAAGTAACATTAATACTTGCCGTTAGCAGGTTACGACTTCCGAATCTACATTCACATGCATAAGCGGGCGTCTTAAACCTCCGGGCCGCAACGACATTAACACAGTATTATTATTAAATTGATACACACAAAATATGTTATTTACGACTTTATTTATAAAAAATACATCACAAGGTATAATATTTTGAGCTTAATAATTGAAAGGTCCTTTATCAATATAGAACACACTCCAACAGTTTTTTTACCGATGAGATCAACGAGGAAACAGGTATATAAAAAGGTACAAATATTACACTAAATAACCAGAGTTGCTAGTCCATAATATCAATAACAATTATATTAATGCTAGCAATACTAAGCGAAAGATTGCAACAACCAAAAAAGAAGTCTTCTTATTCCAGCATACCAGCTGTTTGGAATAAAAACTCATTTTATTTAAAAAAAATATAAGCAGTAAAAGCGTAAGGGAGATAAATTTTATATCACGTGAAACCTTATATTCGATTTCATGAAATTCATAAGATAATTGCATGCCTCAGTTTCAAGACATACAAAGGAATCTAATTTACTATAAAACAATACAAATATTGTATACACAGGTGGAACTAAATATAAATTGTATACTTGCAACACCCTGTATAATATACAGGCGGTATAAAAGACCGTAGAAAAATTTTATGCGATAGTTGTGCGCCTCATTTATAATATATATGACGTTATCATTCCGTATATACTTATATAAAAAGGTCATATATATAAGTATTTAGTAATCACTCCAGTTATTTAGTGCATTAGTATCAAGGACGTTGAAAAAATGGCTAACTAATGTCACCTAGAAATGATTGAAGCACTGAAATGTCAGTGGTATATTAATGTGTCCGTGTACTTGCAACACCGTAATGTATGAAGTGTAATGACGGGCCTTGTCGCGCGACAGATGTCCTTCGCGACACAGTCATTGTTTCAAGAGACTATGTCCACCTTTTTTCAAAGTCCTTGATTAGTGTAATGTGGTCAAACACCGACATTTTACACGAAGTAACAACACCGATTCAGTGTAGTTTATGGCACACCAAATTTAAAGAGAAAATTCGGAAAATTCTGTACGAAGAAAAGATTTTACACAAGTTCCAAGTAATTACGTACTAAAATTATTTAATCCGCCATCGATACTTAAGATATGCAATTAATTTAAAACGTTTATAAAGAAAATGAACATCTTAAAGGTACTGTTAGTAAAATGTTTCGACTCTTTGAACGCCAATTCGATTCGTTAGTAAAGCAATAAGGATTAATTTTCTTTGACATCTATTTCCTCATGAATTATAAAAAAGTTGTGTGTGTTTTCCTCATAAAAAAAAATATAAAAAAACGCAGGAAATATACACCTAGTAGGTATTAAAAGTAACATGATACCTTATACCACAGAATATATTTGCAGACTATTGTCTGGTGGGATAAAGGAGCGACGTTCAAAAAGTGAATAATGCCATTAGAAAAATTAAACGTAAAAAATATTAATTATAAAAATACTTATTACTAAAAGCAATTAGATATGCATCGTACTGGGATAGACAACAGTTATAAATCACCACAAAAATATTTATGAATCCGGAAGAGGTATACAGGGATTGCGACCCTACTGCCTTCCACTCAAGATTGATATTTCGAAATTGAAATTTTTCATTGTTCGTCTTTGGTATTAAAAATATTACAACCTTCATGTATCAAACTTAGAGAAATTTGGGCTTTATTCAGTTAGCTATAAGAGCTACTTTCCTTCAACATCTGTGACTAGATAGTTTTTATTTGTCCAAGAATATATTTGATCAACCTTTAAAACCTACCATCTCTTCAGCAGTTATGTTCTTAGTCGGATTTCAATTTCGAAACAAACAAATTACAATATCTGACATATTCTCGTATTCCATGTTAGAAAGATATCGTTGCGAGACAGCGTTATATACAATCTGTGTGCGAGAAAGAGACAGATATACATCTAAGAGTGACGCCTTCAATCGCAACTGAAAGTCTAACATTAAAATACGTTCACAGAATAAAAATATAATCATTTAATGATTTCTATTTATTCTGGAGCCATGTATACGCTCTTCTTATATATTTATTTTTTTGTATTTTTTTCGTATCATTTCATTAAGTTACACGGATAAATATATTATCAAATTCAATTTATATCTTGTCTTATTATACGTAACACTAAATAAACATTCTGAAGTTTCAATCGAAAAATATTTCATTACAGATTGTGACTAAATAATAATAATAATAATGGTACTTAACCTATCGTGGATATAACATTTAACTTTTTTAATTTTCTTTTTAACACTCTAAATTAAGCCTGTTCATAAAACTAAGATTTTTATTATTTTTCCGTATTATTATTTAGTCCCAACACAACAATACTAAACATTCAGTACGGTTACAAACAATAGACAACATATACGCCGTAGTTCGACGTTCAAATTACGTACGTCCAACAAAGATGTTTAGCTATCCTTAAGCGTAGGAGTCGGTGGGCGGGGCTTGTGCATAACGAGACTTTTACTACCTTCGTACCCTATACCAACTATACATAAATATCTTGACAATAACTGAGTAAATATATGAGACGCAAGTTTAATAAAAATCTCGAGTCTCCCGCCACATTTCCGTACGCAATACGTACCTACTGTGCCCAAAACCCGGTGTCAATTTACACCAAAATTTTCTTTTCAAAATTCTTTACCTTCTCGTACTGCAGGCTGACCTCATCATTTTTGGCGCCCAACAGCTTTTTGGCCCTGTTCAAATCTTCGTAGAAGCGCTTACCTCTCTCTGAACGCATTATATGTACTTTAGGGAGCAAGTCTTTGGACAGATATGATATCAGTTTCTGCCAATCTTTGAGTAGAACGAAGGTCTTAGCATGTTTAGTTTCCTCGGGGACTTCGTCATTGGAATGATCGAACTTGACGTTGATGACCTCCTTAGTGCTTCTGTTGGCTCTCACGAAAGATAGGAGTAGGACATCGACGTTTTGTAGGGGACTTATTATGGGATCATCGTATATGTTTTTGAAGGAGTTTGCTTCCTTTGCGGGACCGACTACGTAGAGTACGTGTGTGGCCAGCTCGAAGGCTTTCTGTGCCCAGTTGTATGGGTCTTTAAGAGTGGTGGAAATGTCTCCATCGAACATAATGTCGAAGCCATACTCCGATCGAAGGTATGTGACGAACGACATCACGCATTCCGCGTGGAGCCGGTTCGCTGGGGAATATACTACCAAGATCTTCGGTGGTGTCGGGATCATAAGAGCTGGAAAGAAAATGTCCATTTTTAACATAAGCAATGTATTGAATAAGACGTTAAAATTTAAACAAGATTTGTAATATTTAGACGCAAACTTATAACTGTGTCAATGGGTAAAAGAAAGAACTAAGTTTATCATATCGCATATCCTACTCACAGCAGAATACATGTAATATTTCTCCCATTACAGCTAAGTCAAGAAACTTTTCTACAATCAAAGCACTGGAGAGCATATCTCTAATAACAAGTAACTATTATACTTACGTAATTCCTCTCTATATCTATCGTGGCAACAGTAGCGCCGCATGAGTCGCAGTACGATGTAGTATGCGAACAGAGTGGCCACGATCAGAGCCGTGATACTCGCTATGCAGATGTTAAGGGTCTGAGGCTCGCTGCCTGGAAGGACAATAATATTTCTTGTTAGCATTCGCGAATAAAACATACATTAATTAAGACATTGAAGCTTTGCATATAGCAAAGTAAGTATAGGATTTTTATAATAAGTATTGTGAGACATACTATATTAACCAAAATCGCGGGTTATTTTTCGCGGGTAGTATTTTTGTGTGAGAAGCCTATTTCACTATAAATATAAATTCGAAGTTGAACAAACGAAAATCACGATTTTAATCAGTATATCCTCGTCATCAGGAGAAATGGACTTATCTCTAATGCGTCCAAACTCGATGCTATGTTAAAACTAATAGCCACCTTCCAACTCCGTCATCAGACCAGCTCGATAGCACCATAATCATCCATCCATCCATCGCCATCCAATCAACATAAATACTTGCCAAGTTTCATGATAATACAACAAAAGTTTTATTACACAGTTCGTTTACAAATCGACTTAATCATCCACTGCTGGACAAAGGCCTCATAAAACCACTGCCAGCCACCTTGCGGATATCGTCACTCCACCTAGCTGGAGGGCGCCCTATACTACGTTTGTCTTGACGCGGTCTCCACCATAGCTGGGCATTAACTCGTTAATCCGTTAACATTACATTTTGATTAACGGATTAACTTTTAAGTTAACTTTAAAAAATATTAACGGACATGTTAACTTCCGTTAATTATGTAGAAGTCCGTTAATCGTTAATCCAATGCCTACTATTTACATAGCTGGGCACCGTTCATAAAATAGTTAACTTCGTTAATCGTTAAGTACACGTCTATCCCAACCAGTGGCGTGCACACCATACATGCAAATAAGCACTGCATACCCTACAAAATCATGGTAAACCTACATAGTCAAATACATAGTGTCACTCATAAACACGACATGAATATTTACTGATGTCATACAGAGATTTCGTAATTTTATTGATACTTAATTTGAAAAACTGGTAACTAACGCCATCTATCGAAAAAATATTGAAGTACTACAACCACTTTCTACTTTCTTCGATATATTGAAGCATTGCGCCAGTGGCGCCGCCACCTCGCTATTGTGTGATGGTGGCGGAAGCATGTACTAATGCGTAGCCGGTACAATTTGCTTGTTTTCTCGTGCTGATGTTGGATTTTTTTTTTGTTAGGTTGGTAATTTCTATACAACTGCAAAAGCACTGCTTCTTCGTTATCCGACTAATTTAAGAAGTCAACAAAACGTAGCGTTTGTTGATTGAAAATAGATATATTAATTTTGGTCAACTTATTGTTTACGTTTTTTTTGGCCATTTTGTTTTGGTTATGTTTTTATGTGCAAGTGAATAAATTGTAATGTAATGAATTATAATTTAAATGAACTGTTAATTTACCGAAAATTATGTAAAATTATAGCTGTGAGCTCTGTGCTGGTGATTTGTGTTGTTCAATAAATTAAATATGAGTGCGTTGTCCTTATTGTCGTTCGAAGAAGAAACGAAAATATTTCCAAAGGCGATTTTGCGTGTGTCGTATGTCCGGGCTAGGCGTAACTCAAAAAAGGTAATAATTTTATTATTTCTTTTAATAAACTACGATTTGCGATTATAGGTATAGTTTGTTTTGTTAGCACTGGTTGTGTACCAATTTCATTAATGTTTTTAAAATCCAGTCATCTTGATCTCGCTTTGTACGATTTTTCTATGCATTTAACGGTCAGTTTATACTGGTGTCGCATAGCTTGATGTGTAGCCATTTGTACTTCGCCGCTCCAAAGTAGGTACCTAGTTAGATTTGTAAAATAGATACCTAGGTATTTATGTTGATCAACTTTATACACGGATACTTTGAAAATAATTATATACCTAATTTGTTTATACAAATTAATAAAATACTTACTAAACCTAATTACTTACTCAAAATTATGATGTTTCGGGAGTTTTATTTTCCGAGATTAATGTAGACCAAAATTTTTAAATCATGCCTTCTGCCTACCCTACTTCAAATCTCTGTGCACGCCCCTGATCCCAACGGTTATCGGTTCTTCGACAAATGTGACCGGACCACTGCCACTTCAGCTGACTAATCTTAAAGAATGAACTGGAGAGCGATATGCCAGTTCTTTCTTCCAGTTCTTTCTTTTGCTTGCGATATGAGATATTCATATCGCATGTTCTCTGTCGGATCACTTCATTTCGCATTCGATCCTTCAAGACTCCTCCTACACTTCAAGATCCTTCGAGAGACTCCGAGCATAGCCAATCGACTTAATATAAAACCATGTTAATAGCAATAAAAATGTTTATTGTAGTGCTAGTCTTATTTAATAATTTGACAATGCACTAGTCTAATTGTATATGGCGACTTGCATTGTCTGGTAGTAAATAAGAAAATTATTCTGATGTTTTAGCTGAACTTAATGTATACAAGACGGCAGACTATAATAAGTAGTTGTTGTGACATAATCGGCTACGTGAAAAAAAAAATAGGAACTCTGCCTCAGACTACACATAATTTCACATGCGCATCACACCACACCTCAGAAGCGGACTACACCTACCGCGCCTTAGACCGGTGCGTATGGCGCGTCGATTTCCGCGCGAGCCTCAAAGAGCTATCAGACCACTACAGATGGGGCTGGATACAGAGGCGCGGAAGGCCTAACGGGTTGCCAGAGCTCCGGTTCGAAGATGGGGTGGATTTTAGTTAGTAAGAGTCTGACACTCCCTCTCGCCTAATCCAAGGCAGGAGAATGAATAGGATGATTTTAGCACTTCAAAAAAAAGCGCGCCTTAAGCAATGACATCATAGACGCTTCTAATTTCTAAATCCACAAGGCATGGCTTTAGGGCACGCGCGTCTCAGAACGCCCTCTATAACCTAGCTTGGCCTTGCCTAGTTTACATTAGACATAATAGGGCTCCGCCAGCCACAGCTACGTAAACACAGCAGCCGGTCATCCGTTCACAGCGCCAACCGTGAATATTTATTAGTACCTCTAGACACTGAGTATTGAATTCATAGTCCATTGATTAAACAGGGAGATAAATAGCATATTGTTGTTTTCCTGTTGACATTATTTAATATATGTACTTTAAATAGCAGATATTAGACCAAACATCGACAGTTTGTTTGTAAATTAAATAATTAATTAAATATTATGAATATTTATTATTTATTGAAATCAACACATCCTAACAGGTTACACCCACCCAATGCGATCAATCAATATAAAAACTTACAATACTTTTTTTTTTTCAAAAATTATAACAATGGACAACACTGGACAAATGGTCATGTAACTGGTATCGTATCGGTTTTAACTTTGTATATTAATTAGATCGGTCCGAAACCGATAAATGTAACATAACATAACATCACGCTTTTTATCCCCGAAGGAATAGGCAGAGGTGCACATTATGCCACTGTACAATGTAACACCCACTTTTCACTATTTATGTTATGAGTCCCATGTAATAGGGGGTGAGCCTATTGCCATATACCTGGCACAAGATCAGACTCCGCACAGACTCCGTGCTACTACTGAGAATTTTTTAAAAACCCAGTACTACTTTGCCCGACTCGGGGATCGAACCCGAGACCCCTTGCCCGGCAGTCGCACCTCGGCCAACGAGGCAGTCAACCGATAAATGTGGATGAGAGTAATTTGTATTATGAAGCATTTTGTTTTCAAAAAACATAAACGATAAGCGACTGACCCAAGAAAAGAGAGATAACATGAAATAGAAGATTATTACTTCATTTTCCTTAACTGATTTATTTGTTGTACTATAGTTTGTTTTTAGCTGCGTCATTGATGATTTCCAGGCCGCAAAAAGTATCTGAATACATGGTATTGAGATTTTCCAAGATTCTGGAATTGCTTTAAAATGTATTCTTCTTAAAAGTGACTTGTAACACTTGCCCTTTCGGAGAAAAATGGTGGATTTTTTATGCCTAACTTGTAATTTTTTTTTAAAACATTGCCCCACACTAGGATTATCTCCTGTGCCGTGGGTGCGTTTACAAACATACAAGTTCACATACACATGACACCCAGACCCGAAACAACAATTTGTGGATCACACAAAGTGTTGTTCCGTGCGGGAATCGAACCCGCGACACGTTGCACGGCAGCCGGTTGCCCAGCCACTGCACCAACCGTGCAGCAGTGCAATTATAAAGCCGTTAAACATTTAACAATACTTTTTAACTAAAATCTCGGTTTACTCACGGGAATATACCGAGAAATACTGCTCATGAGGAAGAACCCCTCTGTGGTTCGAAACCATTTTTAGTTAATTGAGTATGTCACACGATAGTATTTATAAAATACTTTATTTTTCATTAGACGAGGCGTTTGATGCCTGTCTCGACTGCTGGTAAGTGATAACGCGGCCTATGATGGAGCACTACCTATGAGCAACCCATTCACTCCGACCTTGAAACTCTTTCCCTTTCAGAAAACAAAATTGTAAGCTAACATTTGTTTATAATACATTGATGCGTTAGTTAATAAAGTAATTAACATTTCATTAATGCGTTCTTCTTGTTCGAAGAAAGGTTCCCGTGTTTTATTTATGGTGATCCCACAAATCTAGTATTTGTTGGAAAGGTGGCTAGAAACACTGAGGATTTTCTTTATTTTGTTATAAACAAAACTCTACTTGTTATTTCGACACTAATGATCGAATAATGTTCTAGCTAGAATAGAATCACGCAAATAACAAGAATAAGCCCGTTGATGTAATGAAGTTAACATCAATACGTTTGAAGTGGCAGAAGACATACTGTATCAACAAAAGTAACTTAGACAAAGAGCACGAATTAAAAAAATACTCACTAATCTTAATCCTTGGACTTTCCACAGACGTGCACCCGGCACCTTCCATCTCACATTGATCATGTAGGGGTGTCACTATGAAGCTGACGGACCCATTTGTACCGACGAAGTTGTAGTCATAGGTCACTTCTTCCGTATTATTCTTTAGAGGTACTCTAGCAGATTGCACGTCTCGTCTGACACCGACAGTGACAACCCTGATGCGGTAGGCGTTTATTTTCAATTGTCGAGGAGGTGGCATTACGTGGAGACGCATGATGCTGTTGAAGATTTCTATGTAGATGAACGGCTTCCATCTATCTTCTGTTGTTGTTAAGCCTGAAAGAGACATGAGTTTATAGATTAGGTATTAACATATAGGTACTATAGATTCATTATCGCCGCGGATTCGACTCCCGCACAGAACAACAATTAGTGTGATCCACAAATTGTTGTTTCGGGTCTGGGTGTCATGTGTATGTGAACTTGTATGTTTGTAAACGCACCCACGACACAGGAGAACATCCTAGTGTGGGGCAAAGAAGTATTAAAAAAAAAAAATCTGGCGTGGATGTGCATAAACAACATGGTTGTTACATTCAGTATATTCCTTATATATTTTAGCTCCAAACATCATCATCCATATTAAATAATAATCGCGGGTTACTCTCGTGAATATACTGATAAAAGCTACACTAGTTTTAAGCAGAGCAGCGTGCGCGGTCGCGGCGTTGTCGCGCAGCCTACTCATGAGTCTGCTCATGAGGAAGATCCCCTCTGTGGGTCGAAACTAATAGAGCTTTTCTCAATATATTCACGTGAGTAACCCGCGATTTTTAGTTAATTTAGTATGTCTCACGATAGTTATTATAAAATCATCATCCATAGCCGATGACAGTACACTGATAGACTATAAAGCCATCTTCACAAAATATTGTTTTAGTGTTTGTCATAATATCCGTGCTTAACATAGGGATTCAATACTTCAGTTTAAAGGGTTCAAGTTTATCGAAGAGCGGAACTACAGTCACTGTCTAACGTAGTCCCCTTAACCCTTAATCACCACAATGCCTGGGTAACTTGATATAAAAAAGACAAAAATCATTTTTTTTTAAAAAACGTTGCCCCACATTAGGATTTTCTCCTGTGTCGTGGGTGCGTTTACAAACATACAAGTTCACGTACACAATGACACCCAGACCCGAAACAACAATTTGTGGATCACACAAAGTGTTGTTCCGTGCGGGAATCGAACCCGCGACACGTTGCACGGCAGCCGGTTGCCCAGCCACCGCACCAACCGTGCAGTCAACTATTTAATACTTACTAAGCATCTCAGCAGAGGGAATGTTGAAGTAATATTTTCCTCTATTAACAGTTTTATCATCAGCTACGGCTTCGAAGTCCAGGGTATGGCTTTGTCCATCTCTATCATCTGTCTTCGGCCAGTAACAGTCGTAGAAAAGCACGGATTCATCGTCGATTGTGATGTCATTTGATATGGTTATAGTTCTGCAGTGGTTCTTATTTTCTCTATACTTGTCTTGGAATCGGAACTTCATGGCTGCAAGGAAAAAATAATATTTATTTATTAACCTCTTGTCTGTAGATGTAGATAAATGAGACACAATAGAAGACACGCGTAGCGCATCGCGTAGATCAAGAGACTAAATCAAACAAGAGGTTAAATCTTATTGTTATCAAGACGTCAACTGCTGAACATAGGCCTCTCCAATGACTTCTACCTCTAGATAGGTCGGTTAGAAGCGTCCTGCTTCCAGTTTTCATTTTACGCTTGAAATAATGTCAATGAACTTTTACCATGGATGTTATTGACAAGTCTACATTTAGGAGTTTTGGTAATGCAAAAAAGACTAACACACATGCCAATGTTAAATACAAAAACAAATTTCTTATATCGACGTAAAAAAATAAAATATTTTCGTCCAATTTACTTAAATTCTTGTACCTAATTAATGCACACACGAGGTACGAATGAAGTTTAGCTGTTCTTTACGAGTACCCGTCTCGTCGATATTTGTGATTGAAAAATAACAAACCCGTTGTAGTTGCATATAAAAGGCACAGTCTTATTAAGACCCACCACAGACTGGACATAACATTTGGGAACAAAATGGTCAGTATTTTGTATTTTATATTTATGTTTAGCTGTATGTATGGTGTCCCACTCGGTAATTAACTAAAAATCGCGGGTTACTCACGTAAATATACTAAAAAAAACTCACGTGAGTAACCTGCGATTTTAGCTAATTTAGTATGTCTCACGATAGTTATTATAGAAACACTCGATAATTTCCAAATTGGTATTTTACAAATTGTTGGTATTTGTCACATTCATCCTTCCTTCTATACCGCAATATTTTTAGCAAATTCTTAAAGTCCAATTATCTAACAACAATTGGTAATGGTATATATTGTAACTTGCATTTGTGCCTAATTCGGATTATTTGTGTAATCATCAGTCAATCAGAAGTCATTAGATGACTTCCCTTCTTAAAAAAAATAGTGCGTATAAATACGCGCGTTTGTGTGCGTAACACGCAGCAAGCTCATTCATTGGCATGGCGCCATGCCGGCCAAAACTGGGCGTTCCCTAGCGTACGCAAACAAAGACAATGTGCGTGTACATTTACCCACACAAGTATGGCGCACCCGCGCTCGTGAGATAAAACATCTATAACACAAACATTGGTAATTGGGGATAATAATAATTCTTGGAAACAAAATAAAGATGCATTAAAATTCATAACAGGTGGGATATCTTGTCTGACCTTTGACTGCCCAAAGTAGTGCAGAGATGAACTTAATAATAGTAGATACTTGCACACTTTTTTACCAATAGGGTCGATGACTAATTTTTATTTTAATGTCCGTCTGGTAGATTACTTTAAAACATTACACATGTATTTTTTATTTTTTTACAGAAACGAATACTTTCGACGATATATTGATTTGAAATGTCACGTGACGTCACTTCTATGTACCCTTTATACGTTGAAATGACGTTTTAGCCCCCACTCCTAAACTTTGATTCGTTATATCTAAGTCTCATTTTAATATACAACAAAATAAAAAATACGTGTCTAATATTTTTACATTACTTATCTGACGGACTAATTAGATTTTTAATTTTCATACCCTGTCATCATCCTTATTACCTATGAGTAGGAAAGACTAAAAATACATATAAAATGTAGGTATATTTATACAGGTCATGTTTATATATATAAAACATTATGATGTCATGTCTATAGATAAGTGCAGTTGTTATTGTACAATACCCGTTGGATGCCTCATTTAATCTAGTCGCAGGCGCAAGTACTGAGATAGGTCTGGGTCCGAACAATGAATTAACGACCATAACTTTATAGTTTTTTTTTAAGGGGGGAAAATCATCGAATGACTGCTCCCGCCTGGGTGAGGCGGGAGGGAGTGTCAGACTCTTACTGACTAAAAACCACCCCGTTCCTTCTCCTGCACGTCGAGTCGGAGCCCCGGTTACCCGTTAGGTTCTCCGCGGCATTATAAAAGGGTTGGAGTGATAATATTCTCAAGGTGGCTAGATGTGAAGAGCTGAATATCAAGCAGTATCGACAACTGTATTCAGCAGTGGACGACAACGACCTGGTGCTGATCTGCTGCTGGTCTTAGCGATCATCTACATAAGTCTGAAGATGCCGATTGCTGAACAGAAGAATCTCCTTAGTCCACCACAGTTCGAAATAATGTTGAGTCAACAAATCAATAAGATCAAAAAACTAACAAAAGGGACATTGCGCAATCAACATTCATTGCAATTTGTACGTACTGACATTCATTTCAAATATAATTATGACGTGAACCATTACGTGAATACTTATAATGCGATCGCGCTATTTATCTATCCTAGCATGTCGAATTAATGCAAGTATGATTACGCCAATATTATAATGTAATTTATTTTGTACGAAACTTGTAAAATGGTGAAACTTTATTCTCAAAGTTTGGAAGAACATACCTACTTATCTTCATGTCATCATCCACTACTGTGACATGGACCAACTTGTATCTATAATAATATATTATTATATAAAAATGAAACCCGTTTTCCGTTGTCACGACTTAGCATGAAAATGACTAGACCGACTTGACCGAGTTGTATTTGTTATTAGATATTAGGAAAACGTTCTTAAGACAGGAAAAATCCTGAAAATCCTACGGGAACGGGAGAAAATGGGATAGCGCGTACGAAGTCGCGGGCAGAAGCTATTAGTAGATAAACGCGACCTTACGCATAAACTATTAGGTACCTATTTCTAAAAAACCAAAACATGTACAACCTGTAATTCACCATTGTTGATCAATTTTCCTATCAGATAAAGAGTCAAAGTAAAAAATATTGACTCGGGAATTAGGGCAATATGTATGCAAGTCTGTCACTTTGTTCCCATAACAGTTACTTGCTTGTTTCATTCAAAGATCAATACTATCGTTAATTGTCAATTCAAATCACACCAGTTGGGAGAATCCCTTCAAAATAAGGTGCGTCATTCTAACTCATGGCCGAACTTCATTGCACAACTCTTTATTCAAACAATATTTGCAAAGCCATACTGAACAAATTCATTTTAATCTAACAACTTATTGTCCTCTTTATCCTTAGGTATATCTGACTACTTATCGTGTTTATATGAGACAGACGAGTACACCGAAAATCCGCAAGCGCCATTTCGTACCAATCATATCGAACATAGCTCTTGCACGTGAACATCGTTTTAGAATATAATTAGTCTATAAAAATCAGGGAGTGTGTGAGACAAGGACACGATGAGGAAGGCGTCAGCAGGTAACTACTACCTATCTTTGAGTGCTACACGTCTTTAGGCCTTTGGGACAAGATCATGGTGATGTCAGTACTATGAGAAGTTTTTGTTCCATTGCAAAGCGTCATACAATGTAAACAATAGTACATTAACGTTACTGCATTCCAGCACATTAAAATAAATGTTTCCCAATTTAAAAACTAAATTTCATTGGTTTCGATGCTTAGTAGGTACTGAAGTTTACCGTCACTTTGTGGATATCACCACTTGTTAGCTTGAGGATGACCTGCACTAAGTTTAATTAATTCCTTCAAAAAAACCTCTACCGAATGAGGGCTATCGATTTTGTGGTCTGGATATTGGTCTAGTAAGGCGTAAGGACCCTCTATGGCTTAAACTGATTATGATTGTCTAACGAATGATGATAAACTAAAGGCATTAGCAAGCATTTATCGCTCTATAGACCAAAAACTACACTAGCGCCACTAATGGCGCGAAAACTCAATAAAGAGACAGGCCAACTGTGTCTTTAGACAACCTTTACCAAACATTTATAAAATGATTAAAAAACTTACTCTTCCATTTAATATTACTGAAAGTAATATTCAGGACCGTGTGGTTGACGTAGAAGGTGTTGTGTCGCATGGTCACGATGTATGGTTTGAGAGTCACGCCCCCGATATGAGTGTTCGGAGATAATGGTCCGAAAGTCATGGCGCCACATTCATGACTGTCCGGAGGGAATACTTTCATCTTACAGGTGTCATAGTCCGTGCTTCTTTGGCCGAGGATCTGGAATAAGGAAATAAAACGTTATGAGTATTTTTTGGCCCTGGTCTTTTCCTAACAAACAACTGTCAAAATTTACAGGCGATTTTAATCCAATTCCTCTGGATCGGTGCAAGTTTTCGACAGAAACTCTACAGAACTAATGTCAAGGACCTACCTCAATCCAAAGGTTGACATTGATTATTAATATCGGCCTTAATTTGGGTTCGACAGTGAGTACTGAGACTTAAATAATCTCGACGGAATGTCAATATTGGACATGAAGTTAAGGGCCATCTGCCCTTCACGACCGGTTAGGTAAGTATGATATCGTAAAAGACAAACTATTTCTTTTTTTTTGGAATGAGACCTTCAGACATTTCCCGTCAACTAGTTATAAAAATATCCAATGAATTAAACTCGATGCAGACTTGTGATATAAATAAACTGACTTGGATCTCGTATCATCAAATGTGAGTAGGTACGTAGAATCGATCTACCAACTTTAATAACTATTTAATTTTGATCAAAGAGCATTGTTGATCAAGAGCAACATGTTGTTAGTTTATTCTCCGTACCTCAGTTTTCGCAGATTTTCTACTTAAACCCTAAGGTTGACTGGTAGAGAATGCCATATGGCATTAAGTTCGCCTTATATACCATAAACAAATTATGTACATCATCATCATCATATCAGCCACAGGACGTCCACTGCTGAACATAGGCCTCCCCCAATGACTTCCAGATAGGCCGGTTGGAAGCGACCTGCATCCAGCGGTTCCCTGCGACCTTAATGAGATCGTCGGTCCACCTTGCGGATGGACGTCCTACGCTGCGCTTGCCGGTACGTGGCCTCCACTCGAGAACCTTTCTGCCCCAGCGGCCGTCGGTTCTCCGCGCTATGTGCCCTGCCCACTGCCACTTCAACTTGCTGATTCGCTGGGCTATGTCGGCGACCTTTGTTCGTTTGCGGATTTCCTCGTTTTTTAACCGATCTCGCAAAGAAACTCCGAGCATAGCCCTTTCCATAGCGCGCTGAGCGACCTTGAACTTCTTTATAAGGCCCACAGTAAGAGACCACGTTTCTGTTCCATAGTTCATCACTGGTAACACACACTGATTATAGACTTTCGTCTTGAGGCACTGAGGTATGTTGGACGAGAAGATGTTGCGTAGTTTCCCGAACGCTGCCCATCCAAGTTGGATTCGACGATTGACCTCTTTCTCGAAATTGGACCTACCTAGCTGGATCACTTGTCCTAGGTATATATATTCGTCAACAATTTCGAGGGTAGAGCTCCCAACTGATATCGGGTAGGGCGTAACATGGGCGTTCGACATGACTTTCGTCTTGTCCATGTTCATTTGGAGCCCTACCTGTTGAGAAACTCTACAGAGGTCATCGAGCATTGTGCTTAGATCCTCCAGCGATTCTGCCATGACCACAATGTCGTCGGCAAACCGGAGGTGTGTGATGTACTCGCCGTTGATGTTGATGCCAGATCCTTTCCATTCCAAAAGTTTGAAGGCGTCTTCCAATGCAGCGGTAAACAGTTTTGGAGATATGACGTCTCCTTGCCTTACACCTCGCTGCAGAGGAATATCCCTCGTGTTCCGGTCCTGTACTCGGACCGACATAGTGGCGTTTGTGTACAAGCACTTTAAAACCTCAATGTACCGATAGTCAATACGGCAACGCTGGAGAGATCTTAACACCGCCCAAGTCTCGATCGAATCAAAGGCCTTCTCATAGTCCACAAACGCTAAGCATAGTGGCAAGTTATACTCCTCGGTCTTCTGTATAACCTGCCGCAGTGTATGGATGTGGTCTATGGTGCTATAGCCTTTCCGGAAACCGGCTTGTTCGGGAGGCTGGAAGTCATCGAACCTACGTGTGAGACGATTCGTAATGACCCTCGAAAACAGCTTGTAGACATGGCTCAGAAGTGAGATGGGTCTGTAATTTTTCAGTAGAGTATTATCTCCTTTCTTGAAGAACAGCACCACCACACCTCTGCCCCATGCCGCCGGCGTTACTCCTTCGAATATGACAGAGTTGAAGAGCTTCTGAAGGACTCTCAGTACCGGCGTTCCGCCCGCTTTCAGAAGCTCTGATGTGATTCCGTCTTCACCCGGCGCCTTGTTGTTCTTAAGCTGCTTGAGGGCCATTCTAATCTCGTATAGGCTGATGTCCGGGATATCCTCGGTATAATGTCGGGTAAGTCTAGCTCTTGGATCTGCAACTGAGCTAACAGGTTTAGTGACCGATGCGTATAGCTGACCATAAAACGTCTCGATCTCCCCCAAAACTTCGGCTTTCGTCGACGCCACACTACCATCCTCCGCCTTCAGCTTCGTCAGCTGGCTTTGCCCAATAGACACGTCCCTAGCGAACACTTTGGAGCCTTGGTTCCGCTCTATCGCTTCTTTAACCATATTGACATTAAAGTTGCGGATATCGTGTCGCAGGGACTTCCATATCTGTCTATTGAGCTGCCGATGTGCTTTAGCATCGGCAGAGGTCTGGAGCACCATAGCACGTCGTTCTGCCATGAGTCTGAGGGTATAATCGGTAAGCTTCTGCGGTCTGTCTTTTCGGCGGGGTCTAAAAAACTTCGACCCAACCGCATGGACAGTTTCTACGAACCTGTTGTTAATCTCGTCCACTGACTCGCTATTCTCCAGGCACTCAAAACGATTTGACAGCTCGATCTGAAAGCTCTCGGGGCAACCGATATGTGCATTTGAAGGTCGGAGCGTGGACTTCATCAGACGGGATCTTTCCAACTTAACATTGATATTCAATGTGCCTCTGACCAGTCGGTGATCGCTACCGGTTTTTACCTTATGGATTACAGAGACATCATTGAATATCTGTCGCTTTGTGGTCATGATGAAGTCGATCTCATTTTTCGTGGAACCGTCCGGGCTCATCCAGGTCCATTTCCTGTGAGGCGGCTTCTGGAAAAAGGAGTTCATCGCAAAGAGGTCCTCCTTCTCCAGGAATTCGGCCAGCCTCTGTCCTCTATGGTTCCGTTGCCCACATCCAAATTGCCCCACTCTCAGCTCGTTATCACCTCGAGTTCCCAGTTTCGCGTTGAAGTCCCCCATAACAACACTGAAGTAGGTTTTATTGGTATGTATGGCCCTACTAATGTCCTCATACATAATCTCCACTTCCTCATCTGGGTGTGTCGAAGTCGGTGCATAAACCTGGATGACCTTCAACGAGTATCTGTTGGATACTCTGAGTATCAGGTACGCCACTCTGCTCGACACACTTCCGATGGTAACAATGTTGTTGACGAGGGACCTGTGGACGAGAAAACCGACACCACCTTGGGACAGTTGGTCGCCCTCCCGGTAGTAGAATAGGTTGCCGGACCCTAGGGTTATCGTGTCCTCGCCCTCTCGCCGGACTTCTGACAACCCCACAATACTCCAGTGCAACCTACCCAATTCCTCTTCCAGCTCAACAATCTTCTCGTCTGTCCTCAAAGTGCGAACATTGTGTGTTACCAGGGCCAGTCGTCGTCGGGGGTGGTAGCCTTTTTTCCACCTCCGGGGATTCTTAGCACCCCGTGTCCCGCCGTTAGCCTGACCGCTACCACGGTAGCCAGGAACGGCGGGACTGCCGGAGACTGGGGGCCTAGTTTTATCTGAGCAGTCCATTGGGGGGGTTTTGCCAATACTCGCCACGCTTGGCAGGCGGGTTGGCGAGCGCAGTTAGGTCACCGATAGTTTTGTAGAATGCTGCTCCCCATTCCTCGGTGTCTGGTCGCAGTTTTAGGACGTGCCCGGGTCCAAATTATGTACATTAAAGAATAAATAAATAAAAAAAAAAAATAAAAAGTACCTAATAGGTTGCATAGAAACAACTGTCAATGAAATTATTCATTTCCTTACAATATTTGAAGCTACAAAGTCAGGCAAAATATAAATCAATGCGCTTTTTAATTTGTAAATTCCAGATAAAGTATCTCGTGGTGACGGCTAAAGGTATAATAAAGTTTAATATTCCTGTGATTAAGGGTGAGCATTACCTTAAGATTACGCAAATAGACCCGTTTAGCGTTAAATTACGGTGCCATAAAGGAAAACGAATCCGACACTGTCTTATGTGTAAGTCCAAGGACTATTTATTTTAAGGCCGTCGAGATGGTAAACAACATTTTTGCTGAGCAATTCCCACTTACAGCTTTTTTCGTAAATTAAAAAATATACTTAACTATTAGCATAAATAAAATAATTACAATTTGATAGTATTGTAAATTGTTGAGTAAATCACCTATACAAAGATTGGTTCTATGATATACATTTTGTATCCCCTAGGAATCAATTAAACAAATCGAATTCGACGTTTCCCGATTTGCGGATTAACTGTAACTATTATAAATAATTATTTTATAAATTACGTTTAGAAACCCAATATTAACTTTAAAGGTTAATTGATAAATTAAACCATTCTCCTAAATGCAACAAATCATTTTCAACAAACTGCATTAAAATCGGTTAAGCCAGTCGCGAGATAATCACGCACAAACATACAAACAGGTCAAACTCAGACCCTCCTTCTTTTTTTGAAGTCCATTAAACATAAAATAAAAAAAATCTCAGTAGTAGCACGGAGTCTGGAAATGTGCCCGGTATATGACAATAGGCTCACCACCTATTACATGGGACTCATAACATAAATAGTGAAATGTGGGTTCTACTTCTGTGTGCACCTCTACCTATCCCTTTGGGGATAAAAGGCGTGATGTTATGTTATGTTAGAAACATAATATTATGCATGAAACAGAATGCGATTTATAAATTATCATAAAAAGAATTCGACAAAGTCCGAAATGTTGATAGTTTGATAACTGACTAATCAGATAAGTTTGCAAATCTACCTACACAAAACATTTTAAAAGCAAATGAGTTCATCAGATAAATGACGTCAATTTGGAATCATTGACAACTGAATAACATTAATTGCACCTCGACAACAAGTTTTACTACACTTCTGGACACATCATAAAATAAATAAAATAAAATAAATAAATAAAATCTATTAGCCCACCTTAGGGTTAAGGCTTCGATGGCCCCTACCGAAATATGATTGCTAGATTGAACAAAAACTGTTGATGCAGTTTCAAACCTGATAAATGTTACCGTCTTTTTCGATCGTATTTTTTTAAATTTGAATTCAGAATAGCATATGACATGGAGCTACGCCTAACAAATCGGATATGCGCCTTGTCAAAGACAATTGATTTTTGAATAAAAAACATACCGTCATTATAGACACAGTTAAAGAACAATAGGTTACGGTCACCGGTGACCGCTCGGTGATTGACAGTTTAATGTTGGCAGCCGTGGTCCTGTAACAACCTCAAGTTGAGTTTTTCCGCTCGCGGATATATCGCCCCAAACAGTCCATGAGCCACCGCCATAAGCAACCCTCTCTTCAAAGCAACATTGTGCGAAACGCTCTCCCTTACGTCAATAGACCTTCTTATTAAACTATTTTCTAATTACTAATTTTTATTTTAATGCCCGTCTTGTAGATTATTTTAAATCATTAGACACGTATTTTTTATTTTCTTACAGAAACGAATACTTTCGACGATACATTGATTTGAAATGTCGCGTGACGTCACTTCTATGTACATTTTATACGTAGAAATGACGTTTTAGCCCCACTCCTAAACTTTGATTCGTTTTATCTAAGTACTAGCTTCTACCCGCGGCTTCACTCGCGTGACAAAAGGATAAAAAGTAACCTATAGATGTGACTATCCATCCCTTCAACTACATTCAGTTAAAAAATCACGTTAATTAGTACCTCCTATCTAAGAGTAAGTTTAAGACAGGCAAACAAACAAATAGCTTTCCGCTCGCGTGGTATTCGGTTATATCGCGCTATTTAGAATTTTCCAATTAGTAGGTAATTCGTTGACTGGTTTTAAATGACTTACAGCGCCATCTATACCAATACACACAGCGCCATCTATACCAATATCTTTGTTTTCCCTCGGAAATATCAATTTTTCCAGGATAAAAAGTGCCCTATTGTTTAATCCAGACCTTTACGTCTGCAAAATATCAAAGCAATCGGTTTAGTAGTTACGGCGCGAAAGCGGAACAAACAAACAAACAAACAAACAAACTCACTTTCCGATTTATAAGTAAAGAAGTAAGGAAGTAGGGAATATAAGTAAGGAAGTAAAGATAAGGAATGTTTTATTATATGACAAAATAAAATAAATACGTGTCTAATATTTTTTCATTACCTAACTTACGGACCAATTATATTTTTAATTTTCGTACCCTGTCATCATCCCAATCGCAAATTCTTAAAGTTATCACTGATAACTGATGTATGTGTCTGCAAAAATATTTGTATGATAGGTTATCAAAGACGTGTGATAACATAGTAGTGGCCCAAAATAACTTCATATTTTCATGGCAGACTCTTTGTTGTATTCTCATTAGCATACTTAGCAATAGAAACTGGGTTAGGATGACACCATGTACACATTGTTATGTAAAATAAGATGTAGAATGCATAGATGTCGAGATAGTTGGTTCATACCATCAAGGGTAAAGTGGGTGTTACATTGAAAATGTCAACCTCTGTGTATGCTCTTTGGAACTGTCAAACTTCAAGCGGTCACCGGTGACCGCAACCTATTGTTCTATAATTGTGTCTACAAAGACGGTACTCGACGAGTTAAAAGGTGTGATGTAATGCACTTCCCAAATACCGGGTCTCGACTTAACAATTGGGCCATCATAATATAATAGGGACTCACTACATTCTTATCTTATTTATAATATTTCCAATACTACCAGTATTTTGGGCGAGCCTTTTATAAATCCTTGATTAGTATGTAATTAATGATGCAGCTATTCAACTTACGAGGTATTAATCCTTTAATATAAATGGGAAAGTGAGTTTGTTTGCTTATTTGTTCCGCTTTCGAAATTTTGAAATTTTCTTTTGAAATTTTGCAAACGTAAAGTTAAAAGTCCGGATTAATAATAGGGTACTTTTTATCCCGGAAAAAATTGATATTCCCAAATGAAAACAAAAGTATTGGTATAGATGGCGCTGTGTATATTGGTATAGGTATGTCACATAGGCCTCTTGTTGTCCTTTTGTGACGCGAGCGAAGCCGCGGGCAAAAGCTAGTAAGTTAAAGTTATTTTAAAAAAAATTGTAGCATGCAAAGAGTTGAAGTTCGAGATCAGCAACATGATATTGGTCCAGTGATGGTTATTCCCATTCAACCAGTTTAGGTATTTTAAAAACATATTTATCAACAAATTAATAGTTATTTCAGCTTGTAAGATGACAAAGAGTTTTATTTTTCTTAAACCAATCATAGATAATTAGTCACTGAATATTTCCATGTTTGAACAAAGACAGTTTTCCGAGAAACTTCATACCTATGTTTGCAGTCTTGCAGACTGGTCTGGTAAACATACTGATGAGTTAAAGGTATGGTTTCATATGTGATAATAAATGCATTTTTTGCAATATTTTCTTACACTTATTAACCCGTTGAAATCCATCCCCTAAATTTGGTTATACAAAAGTAGTCTCTAAACATTACAAATAAGGTCTATAATGTAATGTAATATTAGTGGAAAGCAGTCACCGGTGACCGCTTGGGGATTTATGGGTTAAGCTCAACAATAATATCCTAACCTTTTATCTGTTGAAACAGAAACACCGGCTCCGGTATAAAACACATTATACCCGCAACTTTCAACAGACAAGAGGATAATCAACAACCAAAGACTGTCAACTACAGCACTATGGGGACTGTCTGCCAAACAAGTAGGAGATCACAGTTTAGCAGAGAATACTACCAGTTAATTATACCAGCAGAAATTGGTGTTCCATAGTCTCTGCCTACCCCATGGGAGACAGGCATGAAGTTATATATGTATGCACTACCAGCTACCCAGTCTCTGCCACCCACAGGAAGTGTTAGAGACGTCAATAATGTATTCTATGCACAACACAGCCATCATTAAACTGTCAAACACCAAGCAGTCACCGGTGACCGTAACCTATTGTTCTATAATTATTGTGTCTATAATGACGGTACTCGACGAGTTAACCCGTTGAAAATCATCCCCTAAATTTGTTCATATAAAAGTACTCTCTCAGCATTGGATATAAGGTCTACAATGTAGTTAGTAGAGAGTGGTCACCGGTGACTGCTTGGAGATATATGGGTTAATCTTAAAAATATGCAAATAATTTGGTTATGTGCAAAACATCAATACATTATTCATATGTTAAAATGGAACAATGATTTGGAAAAATGGCATGTGATGTCATAAATCACCACACAGTAGATAAGGTAACTATCATTACCGAATAGATACATTTTCATATTCAAAATGTAATTTTCCAATCTGTCCGCTGCTTCGTTTCACATGAAGTATTAAAAATGTAATCTAATATTGTAATAAAGATCAGAAGTTAGGGAGTATTCGACATACCTTGCTGAATAAAGAGTTAACTGTGTGTAAATTAATCTTGTAAATTAACTCATACAAAAACACTAACTTGATTTGAAATGTGTAACCTTGACTTTTTTGTCAATAAAAGTACACTCTGCAAAAAAACTTAATAGGTATTTCATTAGGAAAGTATTAAGACAAAACAAGCGAAGCGAAAATTCCAAGGTATTGTGAAACCAATTTTTTATTGTAACAAACCCATTCCTCAAGGACCAAACAAAGATGGGTTTCACATGTTTACTAAGGATATTTGTTTAGTCTAACACATTGTAAGGAAACGTATTGTTTATTAATAATTAATGATTTAAGGAAAACGAAGGGTCAGAGTTGTGAAGGACGCCTGTCAAGTAATGCAACCAATGTCCTAAGTCTACTCCTTTCATTGCAAAAATCAATACTGATTGATGCAGTGATGCGACGTAAATGCATATCATACAATATAAATGAGTATATACCTCTGTTGTACAGCTGAGCTCCGAGTTATTTCTCCCACACAGCCCACTAAACGCAGCTACATATTGTAGAAAACAAATAAACACAAAAAACCCAATGCGACACATTTTGTCCTAAGGTATTGTCCGTCTAAATTCCAGTGTAAGAGGCGAACATAAACATATCTAAGACAAACACATTATCACTTGCACATCTTTCCCGGTTAATTACATCTACTGGACAAATAAAAACTTAAAAAATAATAAAAAGTGTTTACAACACGATGGATGTTTCCGAGTCTCCAACTAAACCACAGATAAAAGATTACAGATGATACAGATCGTAAACCTGTATTTCTAGAAGACGTAGTATCTACGTTCCGTAGTACGCATGAACTCCAATGTTAAACAAAAATCTTGAAGGTGGCAGCACTTTAGCAGACAAAAAAAGACAGACACAATGATATTCTAATAATTTCTTTATTTTATTTATTAGAATATCATTGGACAGACATAATGTGGAAAACGTAAAACAAATAAAAGATACAAATTAATTAATTAATGCTGCATATTAGGCTGCATTTCCACAGAAGCTAGGTAAAGATTTATAAAAATTCACTAATCACATTGCTTATAAAATACATTTCTTATCTCCTCTCCGATTAAGTGAAATCAGCGTTAGGGGAGTTGAGAAAATTAATATTTCCTTATCTCTGTTATGTCTGACTGTTTTTAAGGTCTTTATACAACTGGGATACAGTCGCGAGGCTCAACAACTTGGCTGGTAATGTATGGTGCGTGGAGATAAGCGGGACACATCGGTGTCGAGCTTAATGAAGCTGTGCTGAGTGAAGCCGAACTGTGTGGTATAAAACGGGGCTGTGCCATATAGAGCAGTGATACGCCCAGCAAAGCTGCAAACATTTATTCATTTTTAAACCAAGAATTTAGAAACCATCTCAGTCGTCTGAGCTACACCCAGTTACAAAGCTCAGCTCTGCACCGCTCAACTTCGCACAGCTCCGCTTCTGTGGAAACGCACGCTAACAATTATTGGTCGTGTTGTAGATCATAGACTTAAAACAGATAAGCAAACCAAACATTACCTAAAATTTGTGAAGCCAAAAACACACTTGCACAATTTATAGCTTAAACGGGGCCGGACTGAGGTCGGCATTAGAAATAAAGGACATTATTAAGTACCTACATAAAGATAAGCGTGTTTTTGGATAAATTGTCAGTATTTAGAAATACTGAATAAATATCTATTTTCACTACCTAATCCTATGAAATTTATATTATTCCGGAACAAGGTATATAAGAACTGTGAAAAATATAGTTTTAAAAATTATTTAATACGTAGGTAAATAATTTTAACATCCTCATAACATAGAAACTGTATAAAAGATTGGTTTTTCTAATAAAACAGGTTGAAGGGAGAGTAATAATTTTTAAAAAGGCAATTGTTATGGTTAAGATGCAGGTAATAGTCATCTCCTTCCTCTCAATAACACTGAACACTTCCAAGACAATTTTTTTCCTGTTAAATTTTGTTGTATATTCCTAAGCATTTCAGGTATATGATGATATTATTTGATGATAATAGGCAATTGTGATAAAATTGATACATAGTGGGTAGATAATATAACAACTATAATACATTTCTAAAAAACAAGTTAGTATGTTAGATTATACAACTTTGTAATAAGTATTACTCAATATGAAAACAACATATTTATTAGTTTAACATTTCGAAATAAATCCGTCCTCTGTTGATTCTACAAGTACTTGAACTGTCATGAATGATAAATTAATATTTTCTTTTATAACGAGATTGACACAGTTCTAGGGAAACATAGTAATATATGTGTGTCAATATTTATCAATCTATATATATAAAAGAAAGTCGTGTTAGTTACACCACTTATAACTCAAGAACGACAGAACAGATTTAGCTAAAAATTGGTATGGAGGTAGCTTAGAGCCAGGAGACGGACATAAGATACTTTTTATCCCGTTCGAAAAAAAAAAGTTTAGTTAGTTTTAGTTTCCGGGAAAAACAGGATTGCGCGTACGAAGTCGCGGGCAGAAGCTAGTATTTATCTATATGTCAATATTTATCTATGTGTGGTGCAGTGTGGCTACAGGTAAAAGAACGAGACGCCATTATTAGGTTGGTGCTTCACAGACCAAGGACAAATAATGATGGATATAATATACGTATAACTAGGAAATTTATGTTTGATCTACTTATTGTAAGTCTATGTTGAAGATAATGTATATAATTCAAACTATAACCAAACTATAAAATAAAATGAAAGTAAAAAAAAGGAAACAACAAAAATTATACCCTCAATTTAGGCGTCAAAGTATTCACTATCACAGGGGAACGTTCCCAGGAGACTGGCAGCATTGCCACGTTGAATGACAATGCTTATTTTCTGTCCGAAGAAGTAATGTCTACACACGTCGCGTCCCACACCAAAGGCCTATCCATTTTCCAAGGCAGCAACGACATACCATCTGGTCTTTTGCCGTCATCACGTACAAAACCATTAGGTTCTAATACGGCTGGTAGACCGGCTGAGGCAAGAGCACGACGAATCATGTCGTTGATGCTGGCATGGCAAGCTATGCGGCCTGCACTTCTGCAACAAGAAAGACCATGATGTCTCAAGCCATCGACTCTTTCTCCACAGTGACAATAATGCGGAGAAACACAAGGAGCACCTAAACGTAAGCATACAGCTAGGCGGAACGTAATGTCATCCAACATAGTACCTATGAAGGGTGACGGGAGTGCCTGAAGCCACAATCCTGATTTCCATTCTCCCACAGTCAATAAGCGAGCTCGCTCTGCAGTATTAGAAGACGAGTTGATTAAAGACTCACGAATAACACTGCACAGCGGCGCGTCCCACTGTCTCTAAAAAGATGGGTAAACAGGTATCAGTCAGGTATGCATCAGTCAAACACGGGACCTCAAAACTGGTCAGTGACGAAGAAAGAATTTTCTTGACTAATCCAGAGGTACTGTGGACCGATGACAAAAAAGCTGGTAAACTAATACTTGAAATTTTGCGGACGCCGAGCCCTCCCATGCGAATGGGAAGAGTAGCTTGTTCCCAAGCTCTGTCATCCAAAGCCACATTATGGATGACAATGTGTGTCTGATAATTCTGTCTACTTTTTCTAAAATGTGTGAATGTTTCCATAGATGTGAAGCGCGGAGAATATAAGTATACCGAATTAGGGTGAAAGCCGAATGTTTGTTGATTTTATGTAATCTATCCGAAATGTGATTGAAATTTTCTATCTTATCCTCGATGAATTTAGGAAAACATTCATCGAATATTGGTGAACCTAGGAGGTGAAGTGAGTACTTATAAATAATTTTGATATTTGGAGCTATTTGGTTAAATTTTGCTAGAGGCGTTAGTCTGTCTGTAGAGTCAGGAATGTATAATTCACATTTTGATAAATTTAAGTCAAGCTCAATAGAACTCAGTTTTTCTTTTAATATAGTCAAATTTTTTAAAACAATGTCGACGTCACCTCCTGGAGTTCCGTCGTCTAAATACCATACATTAAACTGTCAAACACCAAGCGGTCACCGGTGACCGCAACCTATTGTTCTATAATTGTGTCTGCAAAACCGGTACTCGACGAGTTAAACTTTGAATTTAGTTCACGAATGATAGGATTTATGGCTAGACTGGAAAAAAAATCAAAATAATTAAAATAATTCAAACTATTAATAAGAAAAGTTGAAACAAGAAACATCAAACCGGAAAACGGCGTGTCGGCCAATTTCCGGTTTGATGTTTCTTGTATGATGTATGAAATGTATGAAACTGATATATGAAACATTATTTATTCTCTCTGCTGCAGGTCTGCACCTTTTCTAGTAATATAGTTCTTACCACTGAACTCTTATTTGTTTTTTGTAGAATTTCAGTTTATGATATGAATAAGTAAGTACCTATCTAAAATATACAAATTTATAAATTCTACAACATCATCCCAATTCGTCAGTTACCTCTCGTATTCGGGCGTGAGCGAGAGAGAATATCAGACTCTTACAGACTAAGATTGTTTGTTCCAATGCCTCGCGGCTCACCGTGCGTGGTTCGGTAATATGTTGCATTTTGCCGAAACCTGGCTGGGCAATTCAGCTCTATCTTACCACCTTAGAGGGTATATCACCATGTGTAATGGTCTGATGGCTCTTTAAGGTGTACGTGAAGAACGCGACACGGCGCAAGTACTAAACTAAAATAGCATTAAAGATGTGTTACATTTTATGGTCGTAAAAATATCATTGGGATTCGGAAAAAGTTCCATCATCATGAGGTAGGGTGCCCAAAAGACTGGCAGCATTGCCACGTTGAATGGCAATGCTTAACGTTTGCCGAATGTAGTAGCCAGCCCTTCGATCACCTGAGATGTCAACCATCCTCATTACAATATTATTTTTAAATTAGAAAGATACTAAATAAAAAGCCTAGTATTCGGAAATTAAAAGTTTATATTGCACAGATTAAATCTCACAGCACAGATTAAAATTTTTATCTTTTTGTTTTGACATTGACTTTGACGTTTTTTTATTGATATCGTTAATTTCCGTCGCTATCTTAATAATGGCCATGCAAAATTACCTAATTTCTGAATATTGATGCGCAACTGATCAAATATGAATTAATTATCTAAAAACCTAGAATAAACATTTGAAATATGCCCTACATTCTTAAAAGAAAGTGTTAAGGGAACCGCTACGATGACAGTAAGTGTAGCTTTATAAAAGCTTTTCTTTTCGTAAGTTCTTGCGGATCTTATAAAGTATTATCATTAGAGTTGGTTAATATTATCGACCAAATAAAGGTCTAAAATTACATGTATTTCATTTTCATTACATTCTTATTAGAATTAATGAATCTATGTATTTTTAGTAAGAACTAATTAGCACTTCTTAAGACCAACTTTTGGTTAGTGGATATCCTCAGTGTTTCTTATGGGATTGGAATTCAAATATCTTTATGAATGTACTCATATCAGTTAAGGAGGGAGAGGGGGAACTGATCTAAAATTTTGTTGGATTTTTATCAAAGCACTAACAGTTTTGAGAAAAAGCTTGTTATGTATCTTTGTAGACAACATAAAACCTTTTTTCTCTCTTGCACAGGTTTTTGGTTTAATCATAAATCTAATCTTTTTTTTATAAAGATTTATTAGTTATCTGTATTAATACAGTATATATAATATTTCACCACCAATTATTCTGCTAATTTTGGGTTAATTAATGTTTAGGGAAAATTAACATAATAATAGATAAAAGTTTTAATTATTTGAATTGCCTGTATGTGATTAGTAAATAATTAACTTATCAACATGATTACATTGCAATCAAAAGCTTTTATGCTAAATATAGGATATACTATAGAAAATGATAACATAATATCACACCTTTTTATCCCCGAAGAGGTAGGCAGAGGTGCACATTACGGTGCTTAATGCCACTGTACAATGTAACACCCACTGTTCACTATTTATGTTATGAGTCCCTTGTGGTGGTGGTGGTGGTGAGCCTATTGCCGGTCACAATTCCAGACTCCATGCTACTACTGTGATTTTTAAACCCAGTAATATTTTACCCGACCCGGGAATCGATCACGAGACTCCTTGCCCAGCTGTCGCACTTGCGACCACTCAGCCAATAAGGCAGTCAAAATTATATCAAGTTCTTAGCCAGAATATTTTGTAATATATATTATAATTAAAAATCACAAACAGGTAAATTAAATAAGAATAGCTATCCTCTTGCCATCTTAATTGCTATTTTTTTATATTCATGTGGTCAAGGTAACATAAGACAAGAACATGATTATTTAAAAAAAAAAGGTTTTATTTCAATTTAAATGAAACAATAAGTAAGGGTTAAAAAATAGACGACAGCAAAAATATTATCTTAATTTAATGAATAATAAATAGATAATTATGAAGTTAATGCTAAAATACATATTCGGATGTACCACATCTTATCATTCCATAAACATAGGATTCTTTTTATTTTACATTATTTATGCTCTTCTCCTACCAAGTACTGACATGCACTGATAATAATATATTAATGCATCCTATGAATAACAGTAATAATTAACATTATCACAGGATATAATAATTAGCTTTTTGCTAGATTTACAATTTGTTATAAAACTATATTATTATGTCTACTAAACTTCCTTTGGAATTTAGTTCATTGAATGTGTTAGTTAACGACTTTTGTTCTATGTGATAACATTATCCATTAAAAATAAACTGCTTAAATAACTTGTCTGTGTTTTTAAAAGACTTTGAATACATGTGACTAATTAATATATTTTAGTTGAATTGCTTAATGTTTTTTCTGACATAAAGAAAATCTTATTACGTTGTGACTTTGTTCCGTTACTCAATTTTAATTTATTTATTTGTAGGTAAGTTTTATTTTTGCCTTATAAGCTAATAGAATAAGAGTTGGGTATGTACATAACCCTATTACATTTTCATTATTTTATCATAGTAAATAACGGAGCAGTATTTTGAAATTACTGTAAAGAAAACTGAGCGATTAATTTCTTATCGTCTATATTTTTACAGAGATGTTTTGGTAATTGGTCATAGGATAAGCGTTTAATGGGCAATTTAATTGCCGTATAGCCATTTTTATTATCAATGGTATAATTGAAAACGAATAAGTCATGAAAGTAAAGTATTTTATTACGCATAGCAATAGAATTCTTTTATTGATTAGAGCCGGTTTTCTTATGTGAATTTGCAGATATATTTAAAGCCATGAAGCCTGAAGGATATATAGAACTCGAAGCTAAGATTACAAATGTCGTATGTTTTATTAATTATTCATTCATGCTATAGATAATATTTAAAAATAATCGATTTCAGAGTATTGAGGGTTCAATTCCCTCATAGATATTAATTGGCATTAGTTTTGTCGTATCTACATGGCTTCGTATTGTTTTGTAAAGACACAACGCCGTCCGATAAAGAGAGAAAGAAAAGAAATTAAATGCTTATACTAAGATCTGCGTTGTTGTAAATGTGTAATCATCTTAAATATGCTGATTATGACAACATAGTACTGTGATGATTGATGGCAATGTTAAATAAATAAACAATAGTAGGATCTGTGTTGTGTTAGAGTTACATTCAAGTAGGCAGTCGTGTAAAGTACCATTGTTCAAGAAAAATGTTGAGATCCTCGTATACATATTTAGTAAGTGCCTACGTTACGAGTCGTTGAAGATTTTTATATAAATATAGTGCTTTGTACACCAAAAACATAAAAAATACTTTTTTTTCTAAAATATTTGCAAATTAGAGCGTGAGCGCGGTCTCCAGTGTTTATTTTCTTGTGCAATTAAAAATGTGAACCAAATAACAACTCGCGATATACCTAATCGTAAATAAAAAAATCAGTGAAAAAATATGAACGTTGATTGTTTCCATTTCATTAAAATCGCTTTCATCTACCCGATTATTTAAAGTAAATGTAAAATAGGGCACCAATAAAACGAAATTGGTGTCATTGGACAGTAAAATGTACAATCGACAAAGTTGGCGGTCGACCATCATTAGGCGATATTCGCATGCACTCGGCGCGAGCGACCACAGTGAAAACGCCAGTTTGCCACAGGATTATTTAAAAATTGTACAACTATAAACTTTGCCGATAGTACATACTGGTCGCATATTGGTCGATGTATAATACGCAATGATGTGTTATTGTAAGTGTTAAATTGATAACGAGCCTACAACGTCTTCGTATCATCAACAACAATTGACAAAGTGCAATGTTTACCGCGAGAAATATTACTTTAAACATTACATTACCTATCGTGTGACTAATTGATTAGGTAATAAAAAAAATAAATACGTACTTCAGTGTAACATAACAGTCTGTGTGGTGTAGGGACATGAAATTATAAATAAATAAATGGCTCAACGCTCTTTTGTCAGCCAGGACTTTTATAATATACTTTTTTGTATTCCTTGATGCACCCAAATCGAAATTTTACAACAATCTAATTAGCAGAATAAAAACTCAATTTAATTTCTTCTTGTTTACGTATAAAAATCATAACAACCGTGTTTACACCAAAACAACTTATTGTTTGAATTAAGATGACGCAGTTTGGTACACGAAGTGCGACCAAACCATATATCACCAACTTCCCACCACTGTTAATTGTTACCAGCAAACTCATGCGAACGTTTAATATTACAAGCACTTTTATATGTTACTTGCACATGAAATAAATTGTATGTAAACGTATTGACAAGTCTAATTGGTGTAAAGTACAAGTAGAGTAAGGCCGCTTCGACGACTCGTCGCGTGGTCGCAGCCGCGAGCAGTCTACGAAAAAAAAGTTTTCAAAATAATTCGAACGTAACGTAGATTGTAAGCGATGAACTATGTGCAGGCGGAAGGTCGGGTGATGGGTCGACGTTTCTTTTTAACGCTGGTGATTGGGATTTCTGCTGGATTTAGTTTTGCATACATACTTTTAACATCGACTGGATTCTCACGGCAAAATGTTTGGCATACCTACAGGTAACTCTATCTAAAATTTTGCATGTCGCATGCTCTCTTTTCTCTTTTTTTTTATTAATTTTGCATGTAATAGCACGGCATGTTGTACAGCTAATTTTTTGTTTTTGTAACCTTTGTATACCTACTTATGCAACTAATGTTTTATTTTACCTACATATTCTTATCGTTAAAATATTATTCAGAATTAAGTGCATGATGAGTGATTTGATTGAAGTGATTGATATTGTGATCATTTTTACTAGAACAGGAGAATCCATAATTGATTATAACGTTAAAAATACATACCGAGGGGTAACGGACTATTTGGTTTAAGCGACATTTTGGGCGATTTTGAGTTATATATATATTCGGAATCAGCGAATCTTTCTCCGTCGAATATATGTAATAACTCAAAATCGCCCAAAATGTCGCTTAAACCAAATAGTCCGTTACCCCTCGATACATACTTAGTTTTCTTAGCGTCACATTTTTTTTATGAAATGGATATTTATATCTTAAATGCATTGTTTAAATTCCCAATGTTTAGTATACCATACCTACTTACGACACAGTATAAGTCATTGTGTGTATTCAGCAGTTTTTCTTAATTATATTGTCTTCTACCATGTATTCTTATCTACAGTAATCTCTAGTTCAGTTGTAATATAGAACTACGTTCAATTTTCACTGATATTTAAATGAAAGTGATATGAACGTAACCCTTAATTAAAAATGAAATAAAATAGATTTCTCTAGAAAGCAGCCTTAATCTTAATTTGGTATTAAAGTAATACTAAGAAAAATATGTTTTGTGCACAATTTCAACCCCTTTCGAGAACATATTATCGATCGACTTTTTATCTCTCGGAAACTGAAATTAAAAATAAATTATAAGAAGAAACTCAACAGCCGTACTCTCTGATAAACCCGAAATTGTGAAGATAATGGCTAATCCTTCTCATGTAGGAGGAAGACCATTGTTCGACAGTGGACTGTCACTATAGCGATATTCTTTTTTAAATTTCATCTTTATCTTTAAAATTAAACAAAGAACGGATTCGTTTGATTACATTTTCAAATCGTATGCAATTAATCGATTCTCTTGCATACAATTAGAATAGATGTCAATTGATTCTCTTTACACTTTGAAATAGTAATTGCAATTGATGTTCGACACTCCTTAGAATGTGATAGAGCGTACCAAATGCAATCTGATATCTGTGTTTCCAAAAATGCTGATAATATTTTCCATAATTTTTAGGATCTTGTATCCAAAACAATAGGTCATAATTTTTTTCCTACTAGGTGGCCTAACTCAGTTTCGCGTAAGATTGAAAAACAAAATATATATTCCTTATTTTGAATTGGGCGTGACTCGAGCCCTGCCATTGAAGCCCCGTAATATTTATAACACATTGTCTTTGTCTTAGAAGTAGGAATTTACCGCTGACGATTTATTTGTCAATTTCGAAGAATATACGGAAATAGGATGACGGTGCCATTAATTTTTGCGCTATTTCTGTTTTCTGATTTGTCGTATAAGTGTTCTTAAGTGTATTGAGCGAGCAGAATTTATTTAAAGCACTTTGCATCGCATTCACATGCCACAAATCATACGTTATCTGTGTTAGTTGACGTGACCTGTATTATTAGTACTGCTGACAACGACCAAAGTGATTTTGTATTAATGCAGATGAGAATATTATTATTTTTGAGCCACGATATATTAGATGTGGTATCTTCTGGATATAAATATGGTGCATCTTCAAAAATCTACCTTATAATTAATGATGTTTATGAACCATATTGCAACAGTGACTCGCTTTTAATATAATAGAAGATGGGAAGCACGTAAAGTTTATAGTTTTGGTCTTCTGAATGAGTTTCACGTTAAAAGGGATTTTTTTTTAAATTAGGCTCATTATGTAAAAAATATTAAATGTTGATATGTATAGCCTTTTGTTGACTGTACTAAGGTCTGTTCTAGGTATAATGATGCTACATAAACTAAGAGAGTCTAGATTTTTATCTTGACTGGCGTAGTTTGGAGACTGATTCTGATATATAACATTATTTGTTTAATTTTATTAAATTTGGTATTTAACATACCTAGTAAGACACTGTTAAAAGTTCTTTCTTTTAAGAATTGTAATCTTGTACTCTCTTTATACATAAAGAGAAATCAGCTCAAAATTATCCTAAGACCTAAATCTAAAAATAAATACATCGATATTCTATTTAGAGAGTACACAGTACACACTATACCGATTCTCTTCCAGCTGGTTTCAGTAATCCGGAACAATCGCAATCGCATTTGATTGAATATATTTATTTATTGCTGCCTATTTTAATATAATAATATCATTGTATTAAGCATATCAACCGTTTAGTTAGTCACGCAGTATAATACCTGTATTACAATCTATTACGTAATATTAAAGCAGCTGTAGCGAAATGCCACTTGTCTACTTGCAGAGTAGACAACCAAAATTATATGGGATTGACGTATACATTTAGTTTTCTACTCTCTCGGTAGACAAGCGCTAAAGGAGCGTTTGGCTAATGGGCACAGGTCTTTTAGCAGTAACCTATTTCGTTTGTATGCCAACGTAAATAAATACTAGCGCCTTTTTTTCTCTGTAGTCATAGCAGTGTGCAGTAGATACTCTGTGTCATTTTCATGCTTTTTGTTTGACTGCGCCGCATTTTGGAGACGCTAAACTAAGTATGAATGAAGTTTTCAAGATTTTTTATTAGATTATACCTGTTTTTTTTAATAGTTTTCAATTGGAGTGTTCAGAAATTGAAAAGTTATGTCTTGGTAGCAAAGGCGAATTAAATTTAGACAGCGCCTTAGACAACCATAGGCGCCTTTATTTTTTTTGGCCCCCCTCTGCAACTTGGCGCCCTAGGCCTTAGAGATAATACGACTCTGTCTTGTAGTCCAAATGATATTTTATTGGACTGCAAATAGACTCATGCTTTCTTAAAGGAATTTGCACGACACGCAACAACTTATATTACAGTGCAAGTACAATTGATTCTAACATTGAATAATTCTTTTATGAAAATAGATGTCATTGTAATAGTTAATTTCATGCCTTGAGCAACATCTCGTTAAATTCGATATTGCATGCTCAGAGGTATGTTTTAGTATGACTCTTGAACAGTAAACGCAGTTTATTTAAATAGCCAACCCGGGAGATATTTTTCCGATGTGCCTTCGTATTATTGTCTCCATATTTGATGATAAAACAATTATATGGGTACCTAACTAACGTGTATGTATCCGAATGCATTTAATGAAAAAGTATCGCTTATACCGATACGGGTAGGATGAAAAAGATAGAAAAAATAATCGGTTAAGAGTGATCTATTTAAATTAGTGTTTGCATTTAGTATTAAACTAAAAAAATGTCACACCGTGACGCCGTATAAATTAGTCGTCTACCCTATCAGGGTATACGATTAATTTATATTTTAATGTCCGTCTGGTAGATTATTTAAAAACATTAGACACGTATTTTTTTTTCTTACGGAAACGAATAGTTTCGAAGATATATTGATTTGAAATGTCGCGTGACGTCACTTATCAGTACATTTTATACTACGAAATGACGTTTTAGCCCCCACTGCTAAACTTTAATTAGTTTTTTCTAAATATTGTTTTATTATACGAAAAAATAATTTTGATTACCTAACTTACGGACTAATTATATTTTTAATTTTCATACCCTGTCATCATCCCAATTCTTTTAGCTTAGCCATTTCTCTATGTTTTATAAATAATCAACATTCTTGCTAATATATTGAATGCCAGTTATATTGTGTTGAATGTTTTAAATACAAGATTGCAATTACTTAATGTCTCTTATCACTTAGTAGCTTGTCCGCTAAAACATTGTTAGCTGTTCATCCATGATAAGAGTTCGAATTTGATATCGCCCCTATTTCATTACATTACGGCTTAATTTGGTAAATCCAAATAACTTTCAAGGTCATTATGTTAGACACTTAAATATTAGCTTGTTCTCAAAATTCTGAATATTTTTTTGAACACTCCATTTGATATTTTTAGTCTATTATGCAATTTATAGAAATACATAGGTATTTAGAATCTTAATAAAGACTGTATTCAGTAGGTACCTAAGTGGTATAGTTCAGGTCAGGAACTTGGGTTAGATTCCCAGCCTAGATTTTTGTCTTTGGGACCACACGTGTTCGTATTCGTATGTGATTTGTGATGCTATGACAATCAACTTATTCATTACTACATGGGATTAAAATGGACTTATAGTGTTAAACCATTGGGAAACCGAACAACGGCAACAACAGTTTAATTCTATACGGGATGGAAATATTGTGCAAGGTTCTAGAATCAATCAAAGCCTTATATAATTCCAGGGAATCAGTAAGAGATTTGGATAAGCACCCAATCACAGCTATTGGAGAGCACAGTAATGATGAACCAGCGCATAAGGATGAGGACAGATCGGTGGCTGATGAGCTATCCCGAAGAGTCAGGGTGTTGTGCTGGGTCATGACACAACCGAAAAACCATGAGGCTAAAGCGAAACACGTGAAAGCTACTTGGGGCAAGCGGTGTAATAAACTTATTTTTATGAGCAGTGTTGAAGGTGAGTACAATTCGTCGTAGTCTATTTTTTCTCCGTCCGCCCTGGGTGAGGCGAGAGAGAGTGTCAGCCTCTTACTGACTTAAACCACCCCGTTCCTACTCTTCCTATTCCTGCTTTGACACGGAACCCCAATAACCCTTGTGGTTGTCGGTAGCCTATGTAGACCTTTACGAAAAGCAAAATCCTTTTTCGAATTTTTGTCGCTGCTTGAGACTAAAATGACCCTTTATAAGATCTTGTCAACATTGTTTTTCGGCTTGTTTAACAGGAAAAATGACTTGAACGACACATTTTCAGTTAAGTTTATTAATAAACTAACAAAATAAGCTCCTAGCAAAATATCACACTAATAATTTTTTCTTTGCTTGGATGCTTTTCCGTCAATCAGGCTGAAACTACTGCTACTGAACGGATTTTGATGAAATATGGTATATACAAAGCGTATGGTCTGACTTAGGTGGTAGGACTTTTTAATCCGATTACACGCTCTTATGGGATAAAACAGGAATACGCGAACATAGTCGCCAGTAAAAGCTAGGTAGTTCATAAAAGGATCGCCTTGTATGATGAGTATAGATAACACTAGAAGTAAAATACTTTAATTCTGAAAATATATGGCAATAGGCTCACCCCCTATTACGTGGGACTCATAACATAAATAGTGGAAAGTGGGTGTTACATCGTACAGTGGAATTAAGTGCCGTAATGTGCACCTCTGCATACCCTTTCGGAGATAAAAGGCGTGATTTTAATTTTTTTTCTGTGGAAATATAAGTAAAACAACACAATAGCACTCAACTAAACTTCTATTTATTTATTTATTTCATAAACCATAAATTTATTAATACCAACTTAACAAAAATATTGCCAATCTAACAATAGTATTGCCAACCTTTTTGTATAGAATATTACATTGTTACCAACATTTTAAATATTTTTGTCTGACGTAGGAATAATAGAAATATGTACTGAAGTAAATTGATATATTATGGCATTACAACTGGGTCTATAAAACATCTTGCTGCAATTGCCGTAGGTGTAAGATAGCAATTGTGCTGCACGATGATATGTTATGTACCTACCTAGTATGAAATAAGTAGAAAATATTTAAACAATCAATCAATAGCGCTAACAACAACAGTTATAAACACCTTTGTTTAAAGTTTCGTTTGATACAAATAGTACAAGAGTAGCGCGCACAACACAATAAAATGTCACTCAAGTAACATACCTACCGTGTCATCTTCTTCATTCAAAGAGGAAAAAGTACTCAAAAGCAAAAAATCAGATCAACGGAAGATTTTAATGAAGGTAGAGGGATTTGGGTAGAATAAGGGTATTCGAACTGATGGATTACCTGATGGTAAATGATCTGCACCGTCCATGGATACCTGCAATATAAGGAAAGTTACAACTGCATAATGATTGATGACTGATGAGGAGTCTTCTCCTATCTTGTAATCTTGTATTAAATATATAAAGTTTTATTGTTTGTTTGTTTGAAGGCGTTAATCTCAGAAAATATTGGTCAGATTAAAAAAAAATCTTTTTGTCTTGGATAGTCCTTTTATTAAGGAAGGCTATTTGCTATAAAACATCACGCTACGATCAATAGGCGCCGAGCAGAGGGGGTGAAACCGCGCGAAAGTAGCTAGAGATAGCTTCATACCTTCGTCAGAATATTTACGAACATGTTATATAAGGAATAATTAGGATTTAATTGGAATCTACAGTATCTAGAATTATATAGCAAATATATACCTAACACAGTATAATTTTTATATTATTAATTTAATTCATATTTCCTTTCATACAGACGCGAGCCTGCCAACAGTAAAACTCCCAGTGAACGAAGGGAGGGACTTCCTATGGGCAAAAACGAAGGCAGCATTCCGCTATGTATACGAACACCATAGAAGAGATGCCGACTGGTTCTTGAAAGCTGATGATGATACGTAAGTCCACACCACATTTTATTTAATTAAGTATATGTATCTAACATATCTAAAATGTTATGTCTTTGTCACTTATTATATTGACGTAATTGTCATATTGAATGGGTTTATAAATTTATAACATAAAACTTGTTAAGCGAATGTGAGTACCAATACAAACCAGCTGTGGTTTAATGGTGCAAATAAGAAATTTTAAACTGTACTGAAATGTAATAATAAATAAAAAAAAGTCTATAATAATATATCGTGGTGACCCCAAGGTTTATGACCCCCGCTTCTCATGCGTGAGAGTGCGGGTGCGAAACTTTCCAGCCAATACCAGTACCAATGTGAATTTTTCCGAGTTATATGTACTTTCTAAGATTATTTAGACACCACCACAAACGGTGAAGGAAAACATCGTGAGGAAACCTGGGCTTATACGATTTCGTGCGACAAGGCGTCGCCCAGGGTGCCCGTTTCTTCGACGACCGCCAACCGTACTAAACGGAATTTAGATTGAAAACTAGATCGTGATATGGATCGTAAAAAGAAGTTTGCACTTCTGTTATTGCTTCGGAGATACAGGAAAAAGAAACAAAGAATATTTTGGAAAGAAAAGATTTTGCTGCGCGATGCGAATCAATTCGCAAGTTCTTGCGATGCGTAGAGGGAACTCGCAACAGTCTTGTCTTCGAGGCCTTAGTACGAGTTTGTTTTCGCATTCAGCGCTATTGGTTGCTTTTTTGAGCCGGCCAATCAGAGCGCCTAACGCGTACTCCTTTGCGTTAAGGATAATACGGCTCTGTTTGCAAACATTGCACATCGAGCTTGGCCTCTGTAGAGTATAACTATAGTACCTACAACAAGGAAGCTGCAAACTATTTACTTTAACACAACAATTACAATCCACGTGATATTCAATCGTATTGAATTTACATAAGAAAGCGCATTACACCCTTTTTAGATACGGTCGTGGTCGGCTCGGTATGTGTTCTATTGACGGCTTACCTTTAGTATAGGTATTACTGTTTACCAAGGCTCTCTGATAACTGGAACTGAGATATTATTGTTCCTTGTTTCTTGGAGGAGGTATGCAAGCCTCAATACTTTTTTTTTTCTTACGCAAGGTAGCATATGAGCGTTGTAGTGATAGAATTTTGATTTTAATACACACTAGTTCTTAATTTAATGCGTATACTTGGTCTAAGTTATATCTTGTTGCCCATTGGTCTTGTGGAGAACTTCGTTTCTTAGGCTGATCAAAAATATCTAGACTTTAATTCCAATTCGTGTGTTTCGTTGCTTGAAAATAATATAATGAATTGATAAATAATCTATATAGAATTATAGATCAATAAAATTGGAGTTTCTGTTTTTAATATTGAAATAACTGATTTTTACTACATACAATACATATACCGAAATAATAACACTTTTTGTCAATTTTTATTTGTCTGGCTGTCTGTTTGTTTGTATTGGCTAATCTCTGAAATGGCTGGACCGATTTTGTCGGGACTTTTAATGGGAAGTAGCTGACAGCTACAGTTAGTATTGAATAATAATGATGAAACATCTTTGAATATTGATATGTTTACAATGTAATGTAATGTAAACATCAATTAATATTACGTTTCTGTAGCAAATAAAACGATACCAAATAATTTCACGTCACAATCTATACTTTGATCTCAATAACGACTTTATTTCTGAAGTCTTAACAACTATTTTCGTAGTCCACGTTATTTGGTGACGTTTGATCAAATGGAAAAATTATTCACCTGTTAAAATATACGCTTGGCAAATAGATAATATATTCCGGAACTGTCAATGAAGTTATATTTATAGTAAAAATAAGATCGTATTTTCCTTGAAAGTAAGACCGTGTTCACACATTTTTAACCGGGTGTTTTGCCGGCACGGTAAACCTAAGTACTACAAAAGCTAGGATTTTTTTAAGGGGGGAAAATCATCGAATGACTGCACCCGCCTGGGTGAGGCTGGAGGGAGTGTCAGACTAAAAACCACCCCGTTCCTTCTCCTGCAATGCAAACTCCTTTACAGTTACGTTGTACACACGGCTACACATCAATCTATACAAAGCCAGTTTATCCTGGTGCCTCGTCGCATCATCTTTCCGCACATTTAACGTTCAGTTTATACTGGTTATGTAGAGCTCGATGTGTAGCCGTTTGTATCAGATCCAGCATTAATATTAATACCGCTTTCGGCATTTTAACGTTATCAGGGACCCTGATCCTGTAAATCTATTGGATCAAAATAATGTGAATTGGTCTTAAAAGTAAACATATTGTTTATAAATTAACTAGCTTTTACCCGCGGCTTCGCTCGCGTCACAAAAGGATAAAAAGTAGCCTATGTGACATATACCAATACACACAGCGCCATCTATACCAATAATTTCGTTTTCCCTCGAGAATATCAATTTTTCCGGGATAAAAAGTACCCTATTATTTAATCCAGACTTCTAACTTTACGTCTGCAAAATTTCAAAGCAATCGGTTTAGCAGTTACGGCGTGAAAGTGGAACAAACAAACTCACTTTCTGATTTATAATATTAGTAAGGATATTTTAGTTTAGAATTATGACTATGAAGTGCCCTTCTTTTAGAATTTGCATTTTTGATATCGGCATCCAGTTTTGCTGCTGTAACGGACGTGTTTAGATAAAAAGTGTTTTTTAATTAGGGAGTTTTGCATACGAAAATTTCTATAGGTATGTATTGTTTTTTTAGTTTTCGCTTTATACGAATAAACGTGTAAGTACTAGGTACAAACGGCAACCGGATAGTAAGGTTCAGGATTCAGTTCAAGGATTTTTACATGCATATCTATAAGATTGCCGGCCCGTAACCACTACCGGCGCGGGACAAGTTCGCGTCTTGAGTCCTTAGCCTTATTTAGTTGGTCTTTCACCAAAAAACACTTGGCCCTAAACTAAAATTTTGTCTTGAGTAAAGTACTTTACAAACATACACAATTCACGTGCACATCACACGCAGACTCGAAACAATGATTTGTAAATCTAGATCACTTAAAGGAGGGACTGGGATGCCGTCCCCACCTTCTGCGAAGCAGTCATGTTAGCTAAGAAGGGGGCGGGGACCGTGAGACGATCTCCGGCCACCGTAAGTATGGGCCTGCGGACGGCGAGCACGGGTTACTCGCCGCCCGACCAGAGGCCATAGTACGAATTTATTTTACGTTTAAAGTAAACGTAACAAGTACGCATTCTGCGCTGTCATTGGCCGGTTTCAATAAACAAACCAATCAGAGAACAAAACGCCGTCTCGTTTCGATTACTTTAAACGAAAAAGAAACTCGTACTAAGCTCTCAGTACCAGGCTGAGCGTACGGCGCGTCGTGTTCCGCGCGCGTCTCAAATAACCACCAGACCACCACGGATGGCGACCAACAGGGTGCTTGCTTACTCTTGAAACCAATCTCAATGTCAATGTCAATGCAATTTCAATCCAATAAATTCTCAATAATTATTCAATTTGAAAACTATGTAACCCTTATCGTAGGTGTTAAAATAGCATTCAGGGTACGGAATATAAAGTCAAACTCAATACCATTTAGTTGATTCAATATCCATGCATTACGGATTTAATGGGCGCTAGTGTTGCAACTCAAGTGTACGAAAGTTCACAATACCAACGTCGATCGGAATTGGATTCAAGAGTAAGCCCCCAGAGCTGATGCCGATACGGAGCCGCGAAGGACTTAACGGGTTACCGTGGCTCCGGCTCGAAGTGCAGGAGTAGGAACAGGGTAGTTTTTAGTCAGTAGGAGTCCCTCTCACGTCACCCGAGAGAGAGAAGTCATTGGATGATATTCCCCCTGCAAAAAAGATCACCTGAAGAAAGAGTTGTCCCTTACGGAAGTCACCCTATTATATTTTTAATGAACTTTAAAATCACAAAGGTCTGTGTTTTACTGCATATTTATGAGGGCCTTTATAATGCAGCTTCTTTTATAATTATGTAATAACTAATGATAATAAATATAGTTACCTACGAGTACATTAGGAGTGCGACACATTAGCTCAACTAATTACAAAATATGTCAATTCGTCCGTCTATTGTCCGTGAATAGCATAATAATTTCCGTTTCATTCATTTGATAAAGATTAAAACGCTTTTTAGACATAATGCTGTGTGTTTATGACACATTTTGTTCCCCTGATAAGCAGAGCAGAGGTGCACAGTGCACATAATTATTTCATTTTATTCACCGTAAAATCTATTTCGTTTACGTCCAGAACAGTCACGTCCAGAACAGAACAATTTTACGTTGTTCTGTCTTGGTAATACAATATTTTTACAAAGAAATAAAATGTTACAACAAAAAAAAAACACTGGTGAACCATTGCATAAAGCACACTTCGAAAGCACATACTGCACACTTCGAAAGAACTCATAGTACATTATCAAAACATCACGCCATTTAATTCTCGATTTATTTATCGTCGGGTGATGCGAATAGTACCTACAAATTTACATCTAGTGTGTTATACATCGAAAATATGTCGAGTTGTTGTGCCGCGGGACGAAAACAAAATAGATTTACATAATACATAAGTACGTATAACGCCTATTTGTCGCAAGTTGTGTTACGATTATGAGATTTAGGCAGAGCCGTATTATCCTTAAGGCAGACTAGACAAGTGCCTAGGGCGCCAGGTTACAGAGGAGCATATAAAGTGACGGCGGGCGGCGCCAATAAAAACTAGGGGCGCCTTTGAGTACTGTCGAGGGCGCTCTCTAGATTTAATTTGCCCCTGGATTTATGAATCGCAACATGTAGCTATACTTAGGATCTAATTCTTAATAATAATACCTTGACCCTGTATTATTACTCTGAGAAAATAAATCATAAAACACTCTGTGGTTGAAGTTGAACGTACTAATCTCCGGAATTACAGATCAGATTTGAATAATTATTTTTATGTTTGATAGTGCATTTATCGAGGAAAGTATAGAAAACTATAATATAGGCTATGTCTATAGTATATAGTATCGGCTAAACTGCAATACGAGCAGTCAGCCCATCACATACTCTGGAAGTGTGTTCTCTGGCAGTATGAACGTAACACTATGTTAAATAATTTAATTGTTTCGTCAGGTGTAGCTTATTATACGGACCTTGTGGAATCTAGAACAAATTTCCGTGCGTTTAGGCGCTTTTGCCATACCTATTATTGGAAGCAAGTATAACAGCTCACACATGGAACCTACTTAGATTTTAGTCAAATTTCCGTCAGGGCTTCGCCCAGTTGTATAGTCCCTTTTTTGTGCCTTTAGGCTTAATTCATTCTGTCTCTTAGTCACCGAGGGAAGTGGAAACTATCGTTTTTTTCGTCTCCTCTTATAATATCTTCTGATTCACTTCGTTGCGGGAACCAAGACAGTTATTCATGTCCCTGGGACTTTAGTGTTCCGGTGTTTTCATGGTTGCAGCGGTTTTGGGAGGTTGTGGTTGGCTTCTCCCATTAAAAGTATCGACTAAACATCACGCTATGACCAAGAGGAATTAATAAATTGTGATGTTTTTCAGCCAAAATCAATGATTAATCTTCAACTGAAACATTAAAACGTGTGTAGGTAATAATAATAATTTATTGTAATTTGACGTTGTCGTTGTTTTAAATATGAACAGCTGTTGTACTGGCAACGGCCATGTTTATGAGGGTCGCGTATTGTGTGCTTTGTACTTGTGTCATTCGAAATGGGTTGTGTATGGTTTTTATTTATTTATATTCTACTATTATAAAACGATGGTAATCTCTCCGACTGCCTCGTTGGCGAGTGATCGCAATTGCGACTGCCGAGCAAGGGGTCTCGGGTTCGATTCTCGGGTCGGGCAAAGTATTACTCGGTTTTTAAAAAGTTCTCAGTAGTAGCACGGAGTCTGGAATTATGCCCGGTATATGGCATTAGACTCACCCCCTACTAAATGGGACTCATAACATAAATAGTGAAAAGTGGGTGTTACATTGGTATTAAGTTAATACCACTGTACAATGAACGGTACTTAATACTATTAAGTATTAATACTATTAAGTAAGGAGTAGGCGGAGAGGCCTACTCCTTCGGGGATAAAAAGCGTGATGTTATGTTGTATCTATGTATTTTATGATGTAATCTCTCTGTTGTAGTAATAAAACGTGTAAAAAGGGTCTGTGTTTAATATTATTTTTGTATATTTTCCAGGTACGTGGTGGTAGAAAATCTAAGATATATGCTGGCAGACTACGATAGCAAAGACCCAATATACTTTGGATGCAGGTTCAAGCATTTCTCGCCGCAGGTATGTGTGTGAAACTCGTATTGTTTGTTAGAGTAGGTTACGTTTCATCTGGACGCCATGGCGGTGTAACCAATCGCTGCTACCAATAAAATGTATAAGCTGGTTGCGCGACCAAGCGGACACCGTTTAGCAATTATTCTATAGAGCTGTATAACTGGGCGACTGGTTGCGCCGTTGGTTGGCGCGGTGGCTGGTCTGCCGCGCAACGTGTCGCGCTTTGGATTCCTGCAAGGAACTCTTTGTGTGATCCACAGTTATTATGTTTACGTGTGTGTATGTGAACTTGTATGTTTGTAAACAATTAACACCGTCCATGGACATCCATTACACTAAAGCTTCGGAACAAATGGACCGGCTCTACCGGAGTGATACCACGTCCTTACAGAAAACCGACGTGAAGCAACGCTTGCTTTGTGTTTCGTCGCATGAGTGAGGTTACCGGAGGTCCAATTACCCTCTTCTCCCCAATCCCTTAATCCTCAACAATCCTCAAATTCGTAATCCCCAAAAGGCCGGTAACGTACTTGTAACGCCTCTGGTGTTCCAGGTGTCCATGGGCGACGTCGATTGCTTACCATCAGGTGATCCGTCTTCTCGTTTACAGGCTTATCCCATGAAAAAAATATGACTAACAATGATGATGATGTCATTACAGGGTTACATGAGCGGTGGTGCAGGCTACGTGTTGAGCAGAGAGGCGCTGGACAGGTTCGTGAACAAAGCGCTGCCGACGCCACAGCTCTGTAACGCGGGAGACCAGGGCGCTGAGGACGCTGAGATGGGTGAGTTGCTTCCCATTGCTTAATTTCGGTGTTTCGATTTAGTTGTTACCTTTTTGAGGAGAAAGAATATGGAGTGTGGGATTCGCACCTCACTAAAACCACCCTGGTGGCCACCCTCAACATCTGTAAGGGGCACCGGGTCCTCTGAAAATAACTTCTCCGGAGCAACGCCTGTTACAGCACATTCCTAGGGAGCTATGCGCATTTACGACACCTCTAGAGCGCGTTTAGACTTTCTTGCCGCCTCAGCCTAGCGAAGCCACTCCTGGCACCCCCTACCGCCATACAGATTTGATACGGTATCCTCGTGTGATGCGATGAAAAATATGTTACGAGTCCCACGTTATATGGGGTAAGCCTTTTGCTATATACCGGGCATAATTCCAGACTCCGTGCTACTACTGAGATTTTTTTTAAAACCCAGTAATACCCTATCCGCCTACTTGGCCTACCCGGGAATCGAACCCGAGACCACTTGCCCGGCAGTCGTACTTGCGACTACTCGGCCAATCAGGCAGGCAATAATACAATATACTAGTAACTAATATCGAATTTGGTTCGAAGTGACTGCACGGTTGGTGCGGTGGCTGGGCAACCGGCTGCCGTGCAACGTGTCGCGGGTTCGATTCCCGCACGGGACAACACTTTGTGTGATCCACAAATTGTTGTTTCGGGTCTGGGTGTCATTGTGTATGTAAACTTGTATGTTTGTAAACGCACCCACGACACAGGAGAAAATCATAGTGTGGGGCAACGTTTAAAAAAAAAAATGTATTATAACTTTCGTGAGACATACTACGGCGACTGTCGCGATGCTATTGGCCAATAGCAACGCGACAATCGCCGCGTCGCGGGTCGCGAAATGCTGCTCATGAATGAGCCTCTAGCTTGACTTGAAACTAGTCGAGTTCCTCGTCAAATAATTACGTGAGTAAGCCGAAAACATAATAATATAATATCGAATCTAATCTTATACTCACATGCATTGCAGGTAAATGCCTCGACAAGATAGGCGTCCGTGCAATGGACTCGCGCGATGAGTTCCACCGCGGTCGGTTCTTCCCGTTCGTGCCCCAGGACCATCTGTTCCCCAATAGAGACAAAGACTTCTGGTACTGGAACTACATCTTCTATCCTACTGATGAGGTGAGTGACTTTCAATACATGGCCTAGATTTAACTCGTTGAGTACCGTCATTATAGAATAGACACAATTATAGAACAATAGGTTGCGGTCACCGGTGACCGCTTGGTGTTTGACAGTTTAAAAAAAAGTAGAATGTAGACATACCCGATTGTTTTAAATTCATCATCATCATCATCATCATCATCATCAACAGTCTATAAATGCCCACTGCTGAGCGAAGCCTCTTCTCACACGGAGAAGGTTTGAGCATTAATCACTACGCTTGCTCAATGCGGGTTGGCGATTTCAAAATTATAATTAGAAATTATAAGTCCAGGTTTCCTCACGCCGTTTTCCTTCACCGTTTGTTAGTGGTGTCTAAATAATCTTAAAAAGTACATATAAGTTGGAAAAAGTCACATTGGTACTTGTCGTTGGTAGGTTTTGAACCCGCACCCTCATGCATAAAAACTCTCGGGGTCACCACGACCTCATTATATTGTTTAAATTATTTATTAACTAGCTTCTGCCAGCGGCTTCGTCCGCGATCCCAGGGGGAAAATTTCATTCCGGTCCCTTCAGTCATTTTAATATGACTCAGTAACAAACATACACAAACACATGAGCTCACATATTTTCACATTTATAATATCGAGTCAAGCTAATTTCAGCCATCGACCATACAGTTACAGCGTCAAGTCTATGGATGAGTATTGTAAACGTAAGAGTAAACAAATGTAAGCAGAAAGCTCCGAACTGCTAAGCTATCGGGAGTTACACGTGTTATTGTAAGTCAACCATAAAAGATAGACATGTGCTGTTGTGGGATATTATTTAGATAATTTTATGTAGAACATTTCTGTCATACATGATTTCTATGTAGCTTTAACTATTAAGCCTGTACACGCGACGGAAGCTTAAAAAATGGAGTAACTTCTCCCGTTTTCCCAATATTTCCCTTCACTGCTCTGCTCCTATTGATCGTAGCGTAATGAAAAGTATACTATAACCTGCCCAAGACTATGAAGAATAATTGTGCCAAATTTCGTTAAAATCCGTCGAGTAGTTTTTGTTTCCATAACGAACATACAGACAGACAGACAGACAGACAAAAATTTTACTGATTGCATTTTTGGCATCAGTAGCGATCCCTAACCACCCCTTGATAGTTATTTTCTAAAAATATTTTATGTACAGAATTGACCTCTCTACAGATTTATTATAATTATTTATTTATTAATGAATAATGTCAGGTGCAACGAGAAATTTCTTAATTGGATTTAGCGCCTTCACATAATTGTAGTTTGAGTGATAAAAATCTATTTTTTCTTCCGTTTGCGTCATTGTCATTATGTTGACACACATAACATCACGCCTTTTATCCCGAAGGGGTAGGCAGAGGTGCACATTATGCCACTGTACAATGTAACACCCACTTTTCACTATTTATGTTACGAGTCCCATGTAATAGGGGGTGAGCCTATTGATTATATTGAGTTAAATGTAAAACTATGCATTGAAGAAGAAATTAGTTTATTTTAAATAAAAACCTTTACTACTTAACTAAATTGTCTCAATTATGTCTTTATGAGCCCAATGAATCGGATCTTAGGCTGGTTTTGGTTTCGCGCTTACCGCACGCTAATCGTCGGCGCTGATAGCCGAAATATATCAACTTCTGATAGCTACGCGTCATTCAAATACGCTTACTAGAAATTCACATATCTCGACTCCTCATGGTTTTATAATAGTAGACTTTAAGTTAAAAATTCAATAAAAAAACCATACACATCACCCATTTCGAATGACACAAGTACAAAGCACACAATACGCGACCCTCATAAACATGGCCATTGCCAGTACAACAGCTGTTCATATTTAAAAGAACGACAACTTCAAATTACTAAAATTATTAATTATTATTATCTAGATACGTTGGCTGTCAGCGCCGACGGTCAGCGAGCGGTCAGCGTGACTCTAAACCCAGCCTTAATTAAATATACTACTTCTACATTTCATACTAATATTTATTATATCTTTCCAGGGTCTCGATTGTTGTTCAGACCACGCAGTGTCCTTCCACTACGTGGGCCCGCAGCTAATGTACGTACTCGACTATCTAATATACCATTTAAGACCCTATGGAGTCAAATACGGCAGCGGGGTTATGCCCAAAATCCTTAAAGGTAACGATACCAAAGATTTAGAAAATCGTTAGCTAAATGTCGCACTGAATATAACAGAATAAACTCTTCAAATGTAGACTGTAAAGGTAATGGGATAAGGTTTAAAGTCACATGTATGTTATGGAACTATAAGGTTCGTTTTTGCTTGTACTTGTAGCAGTTTTATAAACTGATTTCTCATGTAAAACCATATGGTTTTAATTGAATTTGTATTTAAACTTACAGAATTTATTTAGGCATTATCATGATAAATAGACACGTAATAGTGAAAATGTCATCAGTTATTCTATACATTACAATGCAATTTCAAACTTCCGAAAATATTTTTCAATTTACTCTCAAAATTGATATCGACACTAATCCAAAATAATTGAATTTGGACTCAAATTCAATAGAAATAATGACAAAAATCGATCGGTTATTATTATTATTATTATTGCAGCCGTGTTGATTTCAGGTATAGAGAATAGTTCATACACGTCTTCTATAACGGCGTTCTAAATTCAAAATCTGTTATATTCAGTGTTAAAATAAAAAATAAATAACAGAACGATCAGAATCTCCTGTTTCCAATACATTCCGCAATGACTGCTTTCGTCTGAAGTCTGAGAAACATGTCTAATTGTAGATATAATGTGTATATATATATTTGGGAGCTTTTACTGTAAATTATTAGAAATAAATTAATATAAATAATTATAATTGTTAAGACATTATGTTACCAAAAATACGGCATAATATTTTGTTGCTTATACAGTAAGATGTAGAACTTTGTGACTTGGAGTTTCAGACTATATTACTCTAAATAAAAAAATATACAATGTTCCAACGAGCATAGTAAAGTCAACTTTATTTCGTTGCAGTTAAAGTAGATTTTTCAATAACGAAAGTAAAATAGGAATATGTAATCTAATTTTAAAAGTGACAGTTCTATCATCACAACTTTTAGTTAAGTAGAAACAAAATATTATATTTAGCTCATTTTTTTAATTTCTTGCCATAATAATTTAAAATTTAATTTATTTGAAATGTCATAATAATTTTGATTTTGCGTTCAAATCAGGGTGTTCGCGCATTTATAAGTGAGTTTTATATGAACTATAATTTGATATTTTAATGTTATTTTGTAAGTTTTAATATCTGTACTAGAATGGGTGTCAGAAAAGTGACGAAGAATCGAAATAATATTATGAAATTAGTTCTACCGGTTATTCGAACACTAGATGGCGCTAAGAGCAAGCTAGAGGTCAGTTTGTCCAATAAACTGTCAAAACTTGAATGACGCTAGCTTATATTCCCTTTTGGACGAAAAGGCCAGAGTTTCAAACTAGCTCCATCTGGTGAGAAAAAAAATCACAATTTTCTTTCTATCATTTTACAAAAGAAACAATTTTTTTTTAATATTTGATCGCCCAACATTTCTTGTTCTTTCGCCATTTCTGTTCAAAATGCAATCTTTTTAATTAGTTGAATGTTCTTTTACAAAATAACTTTTAAGGTTTAAGTCATAAACGTTCCTTAATGTAATTTATTTTAAGTTTAACGTGAATTAATATTTATATGAAGTCGTCAGCCAAAGTAGTATAAAATTTATATAAGACAGCTAGTCTCGCAGTTTTCATAATGATATTCGTAAACAATAATAATAATAATCGGGCATTCTCGAAATTTGCTCAGTAGATGGCGCTAATCTAAAAAAAATCATTTTGGCCAATCAAGCCAACTGTCAAAAATTGAACGTTGAAAGGTAGCTAGCTAATTTCCTATTGGACGAAAAGACGAGAGGTTTACACTAGCGTCATCTGTTGAGCGAAATCCGGTAGCTTGTATTGTCAGAAAAACGTGTGTACCTACAAGTTGCAATTTCAATAACAATAACTGCCTCTTAGATATATATGTTTTTTAGAAATTGATTAGCTAGTTTAATAGACTAAAAGTAGATTTTTACACGTTTTGAAACAGCCATGTTTATAAAAAAGCACGTAGTATAAACGTAAGGAGGATTTTGAACCAAAATTCAACAATGTTTGAGTAAAATTTAATTTGTTATTATTATATTTTCTTTTCATTGGCAGGATAACATAACATACGAGTATGTATTTAAATGTCTGATAATATTGGCAAAGCCATAATTTTTAGTGTAGTTTTATAACATGTTTAGAAGGCCTAAGATTTTGTATGGAACATACCTGTTTACCAAAGAATCTTCATACAGTAGGAGTAATGTTTTACATGATGCACGGCGGTATAACTCGGTTCATTAAAGAAAGAAATCTAAAATGGCGGTGCTTATCATGTTTTCTCGCTTGCACACTAGTGCCGTCTATACTCACTCTCACGCGTACCGTACATAAAAATAATCCCGGTGAAGGACCGTCTCATAGATAGTATTAATAAATGAGTTAAAAGTAATATTCATTCTTTATTTATACCACCAAAATCATAATAAAGATCCTCAAAAGTGTTTTTCAAATCTTCAACTGGTTTGAAATAAATACGGCTCGATCATGTTTTTATTATTTCCATTTTGAAAAAAATATTCAACTTTATATGCTAACTGTACTACTTGTCAACGCAAGTACAAGCGGCCATTTAAGATTCCTTTCTTTAATGCATCGGCTTATAGTTGTATGTATGATTATCTCACTTAGTTACCATTGTAAATTGTATATGTCACATACAGCTATGTATAACCAGTAAAAAGTGACCATTGAACGCGTGGAAAGAGCATATAAAGCGGGGTCATGATACACTGGTTTGTTTAGTTCCATGTGTCGTCATGTGTGTCTTGCAGAGTTGGAGCGAATAGGGTAGATGACTAATTTTTATTTTAATGTCCGACTGGTAGATTATTTAAAAACATTAGACACGTATTTTTCATTTTCTGACGGAAACGAATAGTTTCGAAGATATATTGATTTGAAATATCGCATGACGTAACTTTTGAATACGATTCATACTCTAAAATAACGTATTTTAGACTGATTCGTTTTGTCTAAGTATTGTTTTCTTATATGACAAAATAAAAAAAAATACGCGTCTAATATTTTTTCATTACCTAACTGACGGACTAATTAGATTTTTAATTTTCATCCCTATTATATTCCTGGTTGCTATTTTTTCCTGAATCAGTTATGTTTTTATAATAACTATCGGGAGACATACTAAATACGCGGCGATGTCGCGCAGCCTACTGAGTAGCCGCGATTTTTAATTAGTCTAGTAGATTATCAGCTACTATACATATTATATATTACGATCTGAACGATATTTTTTCCGAGGGTCAATTTCGCTGTATTAAAAAGACTCGTACTCATTGGTGCGCGCGTACTTTGCGCGCATCTTTTTATATCTCCGAAGTAATATGTGCATTATGTTGTAGGGATAAAGGTTGAGTTCATTATGCAAATAATTGGTTATTTGCTTCGATGCCAGCCCAAATTGATCCTTAAGGAAGATGCTATCATAATAGTGATTGGCGACGTTCACGTCAAATTAAGTTATTGGTCAGTGTTGTATTTGATACTACATTTTATAACAGTGGCCAGCAAGATTAACCTACTCCAGTCGGTCAAATTTATTCATTGCATTTGCGACTTTATGTCAATACAATAAAGTTGAAAATGTAATACAGAAAAGGATACGCTGAACTGCTGGTCACCCCATTCGTAAATATGATCTTCCAACTCAGTGAGTCTTCATAATTTCGTTAGCGTTTTCTTATTCAGCCAATTTATTTTAGATAATCATTTGTAATATATTATGATATTATCCATAATAATCGATATTATTTATCAAAAAATTAAAATTAAGTAGTAAAATCACTTTTATATAAAAATACCCAGTGGTATGTTTGATTTTGAGATTGATTGAACTTTAATATTTAATTTGGCTGTAATTTATTTTTTAAATATTTTATTATTATTATTATTCCTACATTGTGATTATATTCCATTGAATATAATATATTATGTTTATTGTAAACAACGATAATTTTATAACAAAATTATTGTGGATAACCAAAAATGTATCAAACATAATATTTTAATTATTTTCATTTGTGAAATTATTTGCTCAATATTTTATTTATTTCTCAATAAAGACAAAGTGATATGAGAATTGGAATTTGAATTTTATTACCACCTTGTACTGATATTTTACTTCCAGGTTTCCTGATATGAATACTAAAATAATATTTACTGCATTATCAGTTATCGCGGTGGCTGGGCAACCGGTTGCCGCGTAACATGTAGCGGGTTCGATTCCCGTACGGAGCAACTTGTTGTTCCGAGTGTAGATATCATGTGTATACTAGTATGTTTGTAACCACTCTCACGACATAGGACAAAACCCTAGAGTGGGACAACGTTTAAAAACTGCTGCACTGTTGGCGCGGTGCCTGGGCTACTGGCTGCCGCGCAATGTGTCGCGGGTTCAATTTCCGCACGGAGCAGCTCTTTGTGTGATCTACAAATTGATGTTCCGGATCTGGGTGTCATTGTGAATGTGAACTTGTATGTTTGTAAACGCACCCACGACACAAGATAAAAACCTAGTGTGGGGCAACTTTTATTTAAAAAAAGAAAGGAAGCAAGAAAAAATTGCTTTTAACTATGGGCATTGCTGAAAACCTTCTCGTGGAAAGAAAAGTAATGAGAATGACTACTGATCACCATATTTATTAACAAAAGAAACACAAAAATTGAGTTAGACAAGTTTATTTCATTTTACGGTCAGCGATTACAAAATATATTAAATCTAACTATAGGTACACATGTATACACAATACTAGTGTATAACTAAAATACTAGTCGGTGACTAGGCACAAGTTATTTCTATCAAAACGTAAAAAAACAAAATGAAAAAGGTAAACAAAATGAAAAATGCAATTTAAACCTAATTTCTTATATACTTAAATCACTTTTTAATTTGTTTCAGTGTTCTAAAGATACGGTAAAATGGGGTGAATAGGGATCGAGAGGTGAATAGAGTCAAAAGAGGAGTGAATCGATACTATGACCAATATCCCAATAACTATTTAATTCTCTTTTGACCTCTCGATCCCTCTTCATTCGATCTCTATTCAGCTTTCGATCCCTATTCACCCCATTTTACAGTAGGTATATTAGTTTACCTATTTACAATGTTGAAGAAACATAATACAAAAAATATTATAAAAAAATTGTGATGACAATCTAAAGAACAGACCAAGACAATATTAACAAATACTGAACGAGAGGATTTTATGAATGAGTAATAATTTAAAATCATAATAAAAGATAATGGTATTTCACAATGAGTTTGAGGTCATCAGGTAAAAATCCTAATAAAGTGATGAATGTTGCATACATCACATTACGCCTTTTATCCCCGAAGGAGTAGACAGACGTGCACATTACGGCATTTAATGCCACTGCGCAATGTAACACCCACTTTTTACTATTATGTTATGAGGCCCATGTAATAAGGGGTGAGCCTATTGTCCTATACCGGGCACAATTCCAGAATCCGTGCTATAACTGAGACTTTTTTTACTGACTAAAACCCAGTACCACTCGTTCAACGAGGCAGAAAACAATTAATGTTGGTTGTTGTAGATTTATTTTCAGAACTGAAAAGGATCTATTTCAAAATAATCGGAAAGCAAATGTATGAATACAATATTTACTGAGAAAATCCTTGTCAATATTTCTAAACTGGATTGAATAATTTACTAGAAACTTGATCGTAACTTACATTGTTCTTGGCCTGCTGTAATAATAATTTTTAAGTAATTACGAATACAGATGGGTTGGTCCCAAAACCTTAGCAAAAAACTTAATATACACAACTGTCTTAATTAAATAAAACATAATTTGAACAACTATTTATACATACATAAGTAACTATTGAAATATATACTGATGGACAATCAAATCGTAATTTTCTTTTTCTAATAAAACGTTGCCCGGCCTCGATTTTCTCCTGTATCGTTGGGTGTGTTTACAAACATACAAGTTCACATACACTACACCCAGAGCCGGAACATCAATTTGTGGGTGACACAAAGAGCTGCTTCGTGCGGGAGTCGATCCCGCTACACGTTGCGTGGCAGCCGTTTGCCCAGCCACTCCACCGACCGTGCAGTCATATAAATTGATTGTATGTATCTTGTCCTGATGTCACAGTGGCATCTGTCTAACTAGAATACCCCCTACGTAGGAGGTAGTATAGTGAAAATAGGCCTTAGTACGAGTTTAATTTATGTTTAAAGTATTCGTAACAAGTACGCGTTCGGCGCTCTGATTGGTTGGTTCATTGGCGCCGGCCAATCAGAGCGCCGAACGCGTACTCGTTACGAATACTTTAAATATAAATTAAACTCGTACTAAGGCCTCTGTGTGCCAAGCACGAATAATTTATTGCATTTGTATCGAGCGAGTTCGGCGTTCTGATTGGTTGGTTCACTAGAGCCGGCCAATCAGAGCGCCGAACGCGCTCGATACTATTAAGTTACGAATGCGATAGTTATTTGTGCTTGGCACACAGGGCACAGATTATTTATGTGCCTTAATACAGGTTCACTTACTTACTATTGACATTAATTACGGATTCCAGTCCAAAATCTTTGTTATTAAGATCGATTTGTGACAATAGTTGTTTTGAGTTTCTGTCAGAAATTTAAACTAATCCAGAGATTTATTTCGGCGTCTGAGACCGGAGAGAGATCACTGATCAAGTAGGTGGTCTAATTTCATTGTCCATCAGTATTTTATATCAAAACAAGCTGCATTTTATATTCATACAAAAATCCGCTGGTATCACGAATCTTTTTGTGAGATTAGCGTGGGCTGAATGTTTGAAATTCTCTTCTTTAGCAGAGGAACCACTTTAATGAAAATGGTTTCATTTTTGACATCTACATTTGTTGTGCTGTTAAATGCTAACGAATAGTTTCAATAACCTATCCATCTCGTAGAAATGTTATTTGAAATTGGACATTAAATCACAACAATTAAAGGTTAGTTTCGTATAAACTTAACGTGTACTGAAGAAGAAATTTCGCCCATTTTATAACAGCTATATAATGCTAAGGATAAAATATATATTACAGACGTTCATCGCAGGCGGGTGTGTGACGTCACGATAACGGAAGAGCCTTAAAATATACTACAAGTAACAAAAACTTAAATAAGAAATCTTCTTACAGATAATTTGACGGTATGTTTCATAATACTTTAAATAAATATGTGATGTTTATATTAAAGGGTGTCCATAAAACATTATGCTGGAAAAATATACTATTAAAATGATAGATGAGAGTCGTTGCGTGCTTATTTATTTCAAAACGACGCTAGCGGAGTATTTTATTTGCCTTCAACAGTGCCACAAAACTGTAACTAACTTACCCCGTATCGTGTGGTTAAACGGGATCCATACGAGACGAAATACAATGAATTTTCTAGTGTTTTTTTTATGGCATAAGTCGGTAAACGAGCAGACGGATCACCTGATGGTAAGCAATCGGCGTCGCCCATGGACATCTGGAACACCAGAGGCGTTACAAATGCGTTACCGGCGTTTTGGGAATTAGGAGTTTAAGGATCGTTGGGGATTCAGGGATTGGGGAGATTGGGGAAGGGGAGGGTAATTAGGTCTCCGGTAACCTCACTCACACGACGAAACACAACGCAAGCGTTGCTTCACGTCGGTTTTCTGTGAGGCCGTGGTATCACTCCGGTCGAGCCGGCCCATTCGTGCCGAAGTGTGTCTTATATACAATTGAAGCGGTTAAATGATGTAACGAATCTCTACCAACTGTACTGGCACTTTATAATGATCAAAATTTCAATAGTAAGATGTCCAACATAAACGCGACTTAAAATATTAAAAAGATGAGATATTCTTTTTTAAATGCTACTTTTACCATGAAGTTAACTGTAAGAATTTTAAATAAAGTTATGAACTAGACAATGTCTTACTGTCTATTCTAGTCTTAATTGAGGTACTGAATTATTGTCCATTTTCCCATGAAAAGCGCAAAAAATCAGTAACCTTATAATTTTAATGTATACACAAAAATATAAACTAATTACAAAAGAAAAATTAAGTACAAATTATTTTTAGCTAGGAAAGTAAATTAAAACATTTGTGTTTCATAATACTTGCTTCGAAACAGAAAAAAAAACGATTTGGGATACTCGAAATAAGTGTAGGTATGTGATTAAATTTCGAAAAGCAGAAATAATTAGCTAATTATTGCAAAACAAAATATTGTATTACTATGAAAAAAGACCAACCAAATAATTGCAAGTACACACGACCACATATCGATCTATACAAAACCAGTTTATCCTGGTGTCGCGTCGCATCATCTTTCCGCACATTTAACGTTCAGTTTATACTGGTTATGGAAAGCTCGATGTGTAGCCGAGTGTACATAGTTCTAATTTTCATAAACCGCCCAAGAACCCCAAGAAGGGGTGTAAACGTTAATAAAGTGTTAAACAACAAAATGTCCTAAGTTTATAATGATCTATATAACTTAAGTTAGTCAAAACGTATGAATATCAATAAAAACTAAGAAAACCCTAAGTAGTTATAAATAAGTAAGAATTTACAAAGTTAAATGGTTAACAGAAATGTTCACTTACACGAACAAACGAAAATTAATTCTAAATGTTAACAATAAAGTTTAATTTTAGTGTCACTGGAAATAGTTCCTCTTTTTCCTGGATACCCTGTGGAATGGGAGAATAATATGGTTATTAATTTGGACGCCATTTGCAATATTTACTGAGAAGACTTAAAAAATAAATTGTATTTTATAAACTGATTTCCAAAATGCATTTTATTACTATACTAGCTTCAGCCAGTGGCTTCATCTGCGAACCAATGGCATAAACAGTACCCTACGGGTTATTCCAGACCGTAATCTATTTGTATAACAATAATAAATAAATATTTTCTATGTAAATATTAACGGATGAATTAATAATGTATAATTATAGTGCTGATATTTAATGTATAAGTGTAAATTTCAAAATTAATTAAATCATTCACAGTCATAATAATGATTTTATATAATAGATATTTGCACGCCATGATAGATGGCAGACTTGTCGTGACCTATTTTTGTCTAAGATCTTGTATGCATATATTATTTTAATTCTGTATGCACATACATGTTTGAGCAAATAAAATTCTTATTCATATTCCTGTTCCAAAATTCATACCGATCCTTTCAGCCGTTTTGTCAAAGTCAAGTCAAAGCATTTATTTCAACAATAATTTTTTTGAAACATCAACATATACAAAATAAATAATAGTCTGTCAGTGAAGCTAGGTGAAGCTAGGTACTCATTCCAAAATGTAGATTCAAATGGAGAAGAACGAGCAAGAAACTCCATTCGTTACTCTTTTTAAAAAGTATGTTCTACAATGTCTCTGATACATATCCCAATATCGTAATATTGTATGCATATGTGAGAACTAAAGTTAAAGCGACTGAGTAACAACGATACACACAAACTCACAACATTCTTTCTGAATTTATAATGTTAGTATGATTCAAAAACGTATTATAGACACTTACCCAGTATCGGCGGGTGAGAAGAAGAATCCTCGTGGTCGTGGCAGAGTGCCGGCGACGGGAGAGGCCGGGTCGTTGTTGGGACACGCCCACTGAGACCAGTAGTCGCATGGCAGGCGGAGCAGTAACTGCATCACCTGGGTGTATCAAGACGATATTTATGGTATTTATATTGGGTCGTCTACTTACAAAAAGAGGTTTTATATCACACTTCAGTCAGAGTTTTCATGGTAACTATAAAGACGTTGAAAAAGCCGGACATAGCCTCTTGAAACAACGTCTGTGGTCTGTGGCACCGGCTACTATAGACTTACACGTAGAATACACACCACATTGACACTAAGAACATCTGTAATTTTCTTAAGTCTGGTACTGTGGTAACCCATTACATACGCACACATAAATAACCCACTGACATTTTGGTGCTTCAATCATTTCAACTGACAATATGTTCGCCTTTTTTTCGTCGTCGTCTTATTTACAGACCATCAAGGTACAATTTCAAATTATTGCGCAGAAAATATTTTTCGTATTTAGGACAGGTTTTTTTATTTTTTATGGAATTACTGTGGACAAATCATCCTGATGGGCCCGCAACACCAGTTACATGTGTGTTTCTTGCCTTCTGAGGGTAAGGAGGAAAATCATCGAATGACTGCTCCCGCCTGGGTGAGGCGGGAGAGTGTCAGACTCTTACTGACTAAAAACCACCCCGTTCCTTCTCCTGCGCTTAGAGCTGGAGCCCCGGTAACCCATTAGGTTTTCCACGACACGGTTAGGGCTTGGGGATGGGATCATTTCCTAAACACTTACATTGAACATCTGCGCAGTGGCGTTGTACATCTCGGTGGGTTGTGACATGAGGCCGTAGCCAATAAGTGTGGGACCAAATATCTTCGCCAGGTTGTCGATGCCCATCTCACAGTCTGGACTTTCTGCTACTCTGTAATAAGTAATTAAAATATTAATTCCTTTGAATAATATTTGATGATTAAATGACAGGTTTGTAAATTACATAACCAGAGTCTGCCAAGTAATACAATCAACTTTGAGATATTTGTTGGTTAATTGCTAAAGTTGTTCTCAATAGTCTAGGGGCTTCTTGCGCTACATTACATACAATTAACGATTATAACTTCTAGGTTTTAACATCAAACTTTGTGTCAACCAGGCTGCTTACAGGCTCACAGAAAAGAACAAAAAAAAACATTATACAAAGAAAATGGTCATAGTGACAAGCAGACAATCATTAGTAGTTTGCCATATGACCATTGCTAAGGACTTGACAACGATTTCTACTGTATTATCCACTAACTTCCCTCTATAAAAACAATACAAACTTCTGTAAGTGCAGCACGAGGAAGGCGAGAGTATCTCTGTTAGGCTGCGGCAGTTGACTGACGGCCTGGACGATGGCGGCCGTGGCGTCGCTGGGCTCGCCGAGCTTGGCCGCGTCCATGAAGTCGGCCCACAGCGCCGACGTCACGAGCGGCTCGCGCAGGGAGCGCAGGAAGTCCTTGATGCAGCCACACAGCACGTGCACGTCCTCGCCCGACAGCGACGGCGACCCGCAGCCGCGGAGGAAACGCTCCTGGAAACATCACGATCGAACAATGTTAGAAAGATGAGTATTTTCGTAGTAATATCTTTGTACTCTTGACAAGTTGACTGTCTGCGGTCACATATGACAGAACTAAAGAAGAAACGGTCTGCCGAAATGGAATTACAGAAATTGATAGTTTTGACGTTAAACATTTGCCAATCTATCTACTATATGTACGAGAGAATGTTCATAAATCCGTTTACACTCGATATTTGATTCTATTCAAATTACCAGTTTAGTCTAAAATTTTTCCTAAAAAGTATGATATATATCCCCAAAATTTATTCATACAAAAGTAGTCTCTAAACATCAGAAATAATGTCTATAATCGAGTTAGTGGAGATTGGTCACCATTCACTGCTTGGGGATTGATCAGTTACCAACCTTAAGTCGTTTAACATCTTTATCGGTAGCACTGATGCGGTATATTCCTTTCTCAGTGAGTCCTCGCTTCTCCACTTCGTTGATACAATGCACCAGTAGCGCGGGCACCATCGGCGGCGTCGACGGAGCGTAGTCTGAGATACAGCCCTCCTGTAAACACAATAGGAAAATGTTATTTACATGTTTCTTTTTGACCGCGACTTCGGATATGTGTGGCTATTTTTGCCTAGGAAGATGCTATCCTTGGTACAACAGAGAAGTATTGATGATTTTGAAATGTTACAAATAGGTATTTTTGACCGCGACTTTGGATATGTGTGGTTATTTTTGCCTAGGAATATTTTATCCTTGGTACAACAGAGAAGTATTGATGATTTTCTAATGTTACAAAAAGTATGGAAAGTTTAATTAGTCAAGAAAACGATTACCCCCAGGAGAGTGGTCAAACGTCGGCCCATCAAATATAAATACAAAAACAAACTGAAAATACATAATCTGTGTACAATGGTCTATTTCTTCCCTTCAACTCCAAAAGTCTAATCTAAGAGGTTGTTAATACACATTGTAAGGCCTGGTTTCCACCAAAGCGGAGTAGAGATATGTTTGAATAAACCAATCAGATTTCGTTATTTTCATCACATCTTTTCTTCGCTAAGCATTGGTGGAAATAGATCGAGCGGAGAAGAGAGGAAATGTTTCATTTTTTTTATAGAATTTTGTGTCGAGTCAAGCGGCCGGGCGGCGGGCGCGCCGGTGCACTCCACTTCCTTCTACTGGCGCCTTGCACATCCGAAAGCGTCATTCGATTGACTATTTTTATTAATAAATTTATTTAGTGAAATTCTACATGGGTGTGGCCTTAAATCTAAACTCAGCACACTTTAACGTATTGACTGCCTTGAATGCTCATTTTGATATCTCTCCGCTAAACTTCTCTCCGCTTCAATGGAAATAACCTGCCAGTTCTGCAGCACTCGTGTGTCCTCTACTTTGGTGTGAAATGGCCGTTTCTTCTCTAGTATTAGAGGGGTCCATGAGCGGCAATTGCACCCCATCAGAAGATTCATCAGCGCATTCGTCGATCGATCTATACTTATTACATACTCCCTCTTTAATGAGGTAAATTTAATTTGGCAGTGGAAAATTAATGTCTCATGTTTTTTTATAATAAATATGGTAAGATATACTATGTAAACGGCGATGTAAGGCTATAGGTAGGTAGGCTGCGCGTCACCGCCGCGTCCGCGCACGCTGCTCATGAGGAAGAACCCCTCTGTGGTTCGAAACTAGTAGAGCTTTTCTCAGTATATTCACGTGAGTAACCCGCGATTTTTAGTTAATGTATGTGTGATGATGAAAATGAGTAGTATATGTACCTGCGGCGCGTGGACGCGGCGCGGCGCGGGCCCGGGCACGCAGGGCAGCGGCAGCAGCGCGCGGCACTCCGCGTGTGTCTGCGCGCGACACGACTCGCACTTCACGCCCAGCTTCGCGAACTTGATGCTGCGTATAGTGGACGATTAGTGCCGACATTGTACACACAATAGGGTAGACGACTAATTTTAATTTTAATGTCCGTCTGGTAGATTATTTAAAAACATTAGACACGTATTTTTTATTTTCTTACGGAAACGAATAGTTTCAAAGATATATTGATTTGAAATGTCGCGTGACGTCACTTCTCAGTACATTTTATACTAAGAAATGACGTTTTAGCCCCCACTCCTAAACTTTGATTCGTTTTATCTAAGTATTGTTTTATTATGCGACAAAATAAAAAAATACGTGTGTAATATTTTTTAATTACCTAAGTTACGGACTAATTATATTTTTTATTTTCATACCCTGTCATCATCCCCATTATAGAACAATAAGTGTGTGGACACCGGTGTCCCCGCGGTGTGCGACAGTTTAAGACTCTTATATTAGGTTTAAACTGTCAAACACCGAGCAGTCACCGGTGACCGCAACCTATTGTTCTTTAATTGTGTCTATAATGACGGTACTCAACGAGTTAAGAAAAAAAACTTTAGAAAAACTAAAGTAATGACAGTTCAAAAATTTGGGCAGAAAGAGTTGCCTGGAAAGTTTTTTGATTTTCATACAAATTATTAGTATTTTGTGCAAATAAATTTTTTTCTTGCCACAAATCTTTACTGTTCCCAAACAACTTTTTATTTCAAGGAACGCTACGCCACTGGCACTAGTTAGATCTTTCCCAGATCCAAAACTAAGGTCTGTGTTTAGGACCCAATGCCCAATAGAGGTGTCGATAGTAACCACAAGGACAGTGTTAGTAAATATGAAAATAAAATTTCAATAGACGATACAGAGAGTATTCCATCTATCTACCCAAAACCCAGCTGCCTAGTGTTCTCCTTATAAACAAAAGTTCCTTAACTGGTTAGTACCATATTACTGTTACAATAAGGTACTTAATTGAATGTGCAAAATGAAGTAAATACTAACGTCTTCCCACACGGGCCACAGGTCTCCCTCTTGTAGAAGTTCTTGGCGACGAAGTTATGTTGTCGCGGGCGAGCTCGCGGCGAGGCGCCGAAGCCGGCCGACACCACGGACGGGGTGCGCTGCGGGGCCGCGCGGGGAGTCTCCGACCCACTCTCTGTGTCTGTATGTACAACTAATGGAGATTAATATCACATTGTTTTATACTGATAACTGTGGATGAAGCGAAAAGGGGATGTAGGAATCGAAGCAAATGTTGGTCAATAGTCTCTGCCTACCACCATAGGAGATAGGTGTGAGGTTATTTATGTATATAATTATGTTGTTTAATATTCTTGATAAAAACGTCACTTTCTATTGCGACAATAGCCACACGGCCTGAAAAGAGATCGGTAATTCAAAACTTACATTGCACATACAAAAATATTGAATTAAATCGAGATAGCAGAAGTACTCATTTGGGCGAATATTGAATATAGGATATTCAGCCTAATACCGATTAGTTAGTCAAATTTCATGGCATGACAAATAATATTAGTCCCACCAGTGCGCGGTGGCGCGGAGGGCGTGCAGTCGTCCTTGCCGTAGTGCTGCATCCTGCCCGACAGACGCGCCGACGACTTGCGCGGCGGGGGCGCCTCGTCACTGCTCTCTGATATAGGTTGCTGAAGATAAATATTAACATTAATTCAGAAGCACGGGTTTGAATTGAAAAGCTTTTTGTGTTGGGTAGGTCATTTATCGAGGGAGGCTATAAAACATCACGCTTCGAAAGGACCTTAGGCAGCAACACTGTATGATGAATTTGAACTTTATAAACTTCCTTTTCCAACGCCTTTCGAAGAGATTTTAGTAAACTTCTTTTATGTAGAGGACACTCACAGTCCAATGTTTTGTAAGTGATATGATAATCACTACATAGTATAAAACAAAGTCGCTATCCGCCGTCTGTCTGTCCCTATGTATGCTTAGATCTTTAAAACTACGCAAAGAATTTTGTTGCGGTTTATTTTAATAGATAGAGTGATTCTTAACCCATAAATCCCTAAGCGGTCACCGGGGACCGCTTTCCACTAATATTACATTACATTATAGACCTTATTTGTAATGTTTAGAGGCTACTTTTGTATTACCAAATTTAGGGGATGGATTTCAACGGGTTAAGGAAGGTTCATATGTATAATACATGCATATTGCACCCGTGCGAAGCCGGATGGGTCGCTAGTTATGATGATAATAATGATAAAGAAATGTTAACTTACGAAGTTATTAGGCGGCTTCAGGTCATGGCTGGTGGGGGCGCGCTCGAGTGTCAGTGTAGTGGTGGCAGTGGCCAGCACTTTACCACCTTGTAGCTCTACAGTCTGTTGGGGAAATAAAGTAATTAATAAGTGAAGTATTTCTAACCATATCTAGATGTTCTAGACTAGAACAATATTGAAATATTGAACTACAAGTACCAAGTTGGTTTAGAGATAGTTCTGTGACTTTCTCCTTCATTGAAAAGAATGAGAATGGAATGGAATTAATCAATACATAGTATAAAACAAAGTCGCTTTCGCTGTATGTCCGTATGTATGCTTAGATCTTTAAAACTACGCAACGGATTTTGATGCGGTTTTTTTTAATAGATAGAGTGATTCTTAAGGAAGGTTTGTATGTATAATACATGCATATTGCACCCGTGCGAAGCCGGGGCGGGTCACTAGTAATGTATAAATTATTTTTGTTCCTGTTTATCATTGTTACCTTGTAACTTAAAAAACTATATGTGCTTCTAATTATTATAATGGCTATTAAGTCGTAATAAAGAGTATTTTTCTTTGTCACCTTAGTAGCAGAAGACGTAGAAGACCGTCGTTTCTTAGGTACGGGTGCGTTTTCACGCGCGTTCCACCCGCCGCGAGCCACCCAGGAACGGCGAGTCGACGCAATCGAGAGGTCCAAATCATCCTCAGATCGGGAGTATGACATCTCTGATAGAAGAGTACCTGCGGAGTAATAGAAAGTTACGTTGTGTGAATCTCTTCTTTTTGCCGACTTCAAAAAAAGGAGGTGGTACTATATTCAGCAGATAGTTATTATTTTTTTATTTGTTCGCCGATTACTCCGCTGTTTGTGAACCGATTTCCAAAATTCTTGTTTTGTTTGAAAGGGTACACTCTCGAGATGATCCCATTACCATGAAGTCAGGTACTGATGATGGAATCCTTGGGAAACCGAGGGAAACTTTCGAAACTTGTAGGAGAGAGTAATGCGTCTATTATATTTTTCAATTATTATTTTTAACCACTACAATTTCGTCATTTAAAAGGCGTAACCAAAGCATAGGACTTTCTCCTGTGTTGTAGATGACTTTTAGAAACATGATTTGGGTACTGCCCAGCAGTCGCACTTGCAACCACTTGGCCAACGAGGCAGTGAATATCATCAGTATGAATAAATTAAAATATTTACCTGTAGAATTAAGCTCAGGCACGCAATTAAGCTTAGCATTATGGTCCTGTTGAGCAGTTCCATTCAGAAAGGCGAGTTTCTGCAGAGTCTCATCATTCAGCTTAGCACGGTTATCATTGAAGAGGAGGTCTCTAGCCATGTCCAACAGTTTACTCTGAAAAATAAAATAAATTCTATTTAGAAACAAAAATTGTGATGACAATCTGATATTTTCTTATACTTTGTTAATACAGGAAAGGATTGTTAGAGGGATGTTAATGTATCGCCAAGTAAATCAATCATCTTACTTTAATATTCTCTAGTAAGACATAAACATTTCATTTATGAAGCCCATATTATATCTCTGAAGGGGAAGGCAGAGGTGCACATTACAGCACTTAATGCCACTGGGCAATGTAACACCCACTTTTACTATTTATGTTATGAGTCCCATGGAATAGGGGGTAAGCCTATTGCCATATACCCACATATCCAGACTCCGTGCTACTACTGAGATTTTTAAAATACCAGTAATACTTTGCCCCACCCGGAAATCGAACCTGAGACCCTGCCTGCCTGCCTGGCACACACTAATTTAGCTGACTTGCATTCTAGTAGAATGGTAATTTATCATAAGTAAAAAAAATACTTAATTGCCGAGAATGGTGATAATTTAGATCACATACCAGTTCATTATACTTCTTCAGCACAATGTTCCTCTCCCTCTTCTCTCCGTCCAGCAACTTCCTCACATGTGCAAACTTGGCCTCCCACTTGGCAAGAGTGCGGAGTGCCTCATCAAGCTCCGTCTGTATCCGAGCCGCCTCTTTCTCTGCGGCTGCCCACTGACCACGGACCCATTCCATTTGTTTTAGGAAGGCAAGGAAACCTGGGTATTGATAAAGCAGGTTGTTATGTTTTATGATTAATAGATTGCTTTGAAATGATGTGTACTGTTGGTATGTGAGTAAGAGATAGATATGTAAGTACTTTCGTATTTTAAGGTCTTTTTAATGAAATATTAAAATCAGCGGACTAAAAATAAAATTATTTTTAAAGACGAGTATTTGATTTCAATTGGTAACAGTTATTAAATCCCTATTTTTATGTTTTTTAAAGTTAAATGTTATGAATTAGTTATAGAAAAGCACACAAAACTGTGAACATGTAGATATGTACAAGTCGTTCCATTCACACAAAAAACCTGTTTTAAGCTTTGTGACAAAGTAAACATGGAAGCCTTGGGAGACCTCAATCTATCAATAGATTTGTTTTGAATATAAACTAACATGTTGGTTAAGAATCTTGATGTATTATTATCTTAATTTTAAGTAATATGGAGTAAAATGAGTATAAAAACGAAGAGTATGTATTATAATAAATAAAGTCATCATCAAGGTCGCAGGATGAACTAAGTGGGTGTATCCATTGTTGTCAAGTTACATTTTTAAATAAAAATTAAATTCAGATTTACTTGGTTACATTTCCTGTTACAGAAGTGGGAATTTGTCGAACCGATTTTATTATTTATGAAATACTGATTACACTTATCGGGCTAGGATGGCGGTATCAGCAAAAAAGCAGGCGGTTTCAGAAAAATGTAGGTGGATGAAAATTAACACGAAATTACGGAGTTTGATTAAAAATTATATTTCTTAGTATTTATGAGAGAAAATAACAGTTAAAACTCACATTCTTCAGCCGCCCCGTCGTTTAGGATTCCGTTCAACCGATTTATATCATCGAATTGAGCCACCAAAGACAGCGTGAGCCCAGGGCCCGAATCTGAGTTTTCTGAACTCATTTTGATTAATTCTTACTCGCACACACAATAACAGAAACACTCAAAGAAACTTTCAAATATTTCACATTTCACTTTGCAATGCACAGCAAAACAAATTCGCAACCGAACGATCTTGAAAAATAACGGCTTTACGCTTGAAAAATGTCGATGACAGATAAACGAGAACGCAAACAGACAGGGTGTCGTTCAAAATTTTGGTTCAGAATTATGACAGTATCGATCAATATTGCACATTATTTTATTTAAAAACATAAATAAAAGATAATTAACTCATTTACTATTAAAATTTTATTTGAATGATATATTAATAACTGTTTTTAATATTTCTTTAATAATAAAATACCAAAATTAAATGGAAAGAAAAATTAATAAAAGTTTACGTCGTTTTTGAACGCACATCACAATGTTACCTGATCAAATAAAGTCATGCGTTATAGGGGAATATAAATAATTATAGGAATATAAACCTATAACGAAATTGAAGACTGTGCCTAGTACAAAATTACGTGACCTTTACTATGACCACGCTTATAACATGAAACTAGTGCAGTGGGGTGTAACAGTTTGTTCACATCTACCTGTTCCTTCGGAAGGTAAAAGACGTGATATTGTCTCACTAAGAATTTCTCCTGTTTTGTAGGTGTCCCAGACAGTGAATTTGTACTTTTTATTATTATTGGATTCTTAAGGTGGTTTGGTCTTTGATCAAAATTCTCAAGTTCACAACATGAAGTTCGGTTTATATAAGGGAATGCGAAAATCAAAAACTTTTGCACAATTTATAGATCACTCGTTACACTTGGACGCGTTAGAGCACATCGAGAGGCGTACTAAGAGGTTCATCAACGATGATACACTTGGGAAGGCCCAGCTTCAAAACCTCGAACACAGCTTTTCGACTTTATACCGGATGTATTTCGGTGAGTGTGCGGGGGAATTGCACAACTTGAATCCCCCTAGTCCTTTCCATCATCATACCACAAGACAATCGGCGAAGCCTCATCGATTCATGGCAGATGTTCCACCCACACGCACAAAGCGCTTTGCGCTTACGTGTGCGCACTGCTAAGAAGGGGAATTCTTTGCCAGAGTACGTATTTCCTGAAGGGTGTATGTAAACTGAGTGTCTTCAAGGCCCGAGCGAATAGGTTGCTTATGGGTCAACGTGCTCCATCGTCGACCGCATTATCGCTTACCACCAGGCGAGATAGTGGTCAAACGTCGGCCCATTAAATATAAAAAAGAACTCACAGTACCAGTGGCGCAGTAAAATTACTACAACTTTGCAACTCTGCTGAGTTTCTACGTCTACTACTTTATAGCTTCAATGCCTTTGTACGGTAAATAAAATCTTAGTATGGCAACTCACGTTTGTATCTTTCAGTGTGACAGTGACAGCCAGTTCTTAAAACTGACAAATCGCGATGACGTTCCGTTGAGAGCGGTGGTTCGTTCGGGTGGACCGCGCTCTCAGGCGATTATTTGTGAGATAATTATTATTTCCGAGTTAACCGGCGCCCTAGCGACCGCGGGTAGCCATGGCGGACGAGGAGAATAATTGTGATGATGGTGGAGGTGAATATAAAGCAGGGCAGGCGTTCCGTTTGCGGGGCCGCAAGGGTGCGCTCAAAAAGAAGAATGTTTATCTGATAAAAGACCATAAGTTCATGCCGAGATTCTTCAAGCAGCCCACCTTCTGCTCCCACTGCAAGGACTTTATATGGTAAGTGTACATATTCTGCAGACTATGTCGTTTGGAGGGTAATAAAATTATAAAATTAAAAATACACTATTTGTTTACAATAAGAAGGCGCCTTGTACGGTTTAGGTTTTTGAGCTGTGAGGAGATGGTAACAAGCGGTTCAGCCTAGTTATAATTATTAAAATAAAGTAGACTGTATAAGGTATTGCGTTTGCTTATATGTGGTATGAATTTTGTATAGATCAACCTTTTGTTTGGGATGACAATGATTTTCCTCATTTGTATACCTATATTTTTTATTGTAAATTTAGCTGTGTAGAATGAACAGGTATGCATACAATGTTAGCTGAGTGCAGCTTCCTAATATTTTTCTTTTTATTTAATAATATTAATTCAATTAACCAAGTAAACTTATTAGAAAATATTCCAACTAGAATGGAAAAATTAAATTTATATTTAAAAAAATATCATCCATCTATTATAATAAATGAAAACTAAATGTTGCTAAATTTTTATCAGATATTAAATAACATCTGAAAAATACAATACTAAAAAATAATATGAGTTAATTTATTCATATTAATATTAATATCCTTTCCAATCTCAAAACATGTTTATAAATAGTTATTCCTTTCTCACCCGGCTCATCGAGGGCAAAGACAAAACCAAACTCCCACAAAAATATGAAAAAAATATACAAAAACAGATATAAAATAAAATTTTCTTTATTAATATGTACCAGAATACACAAAAACGATCAAGAAACTGCATATTTTATTAGAATACTGATGTAATAAAAATATTTCAATACACCGTAGTTGCTCCGTACCCTCATTTTGATAGACACATGTCTGTTCGAATGCTAAAAGCTATTGGATTGACAGACCCGTCATAATATCCATACACACCGATACAAAGTTATAATGTGCCAGATATTTTTACATTCTGATCTGGACTATTTATACTGCCTGTGTCATTGTAGGAGAATTTTTTAATAAACACTTTTTGCTAGGTATTTTAAATTCCACTGTTTGTAAATGAGTTTATTCAACTTTTTGATATTGGGTTGAATTTTCTCAAGCAGTTAAATGCTAGTTATTAATGTGTTTCATTGTATAAAAAGTATGACATGTCCCACTAACATTTTGGCATGTTTTTCATACATTTCATTAAGGACAAAAATGCTCTGTTTTCTTTCTTGTATTAACAGCGGCCCGTAAATATTGATAAAGTGCCCCACAAAGGTCTTAGGCCCTTTATAAATATAAGAATCGAAATCGAGCTCGAAATTCAAATAGTTACTTTCTGTAAACGAAAGTGGTCTAAAATGTGTGCGTAAATAACAGAATACTGTCGTATTGTACAGGTCTCACGAAACGCTGATAGATATTGGCCATTTGTCAATAGGCGACGCTAGCTTATTGCTGCTGCCTGGGCCGCATATTGAATAGTCCCAACGAAATAATGTTTGCATCAAAGATCTTTCCGCCATTTTAACCCTAACCCCTTTTGGTAGTCGCTTTTAACTTAAATTTTCGATACGTAATTGGCTTTTAGCAGTTTAACCAACCTATTACTGAGCCAATACGAAGTCCGAGAGCAAATTTGAATTCGGGTTTCAGTAACCAACGATAAGCTTGGTATGCGAATCAAAGACGTAGACGCTAATGCAACAAATTGGTTTCACTTTGAAGTGAGTCAAAGTGCCTAAATATACCGTATTACGAAATGTTCGCATTGTTGAATTCTTAATTATGAACCTGACACCAATCTGCAGGCGTCAGACAAACAATTTCCCCCTCATAATGTCTGTAACGGCTGCAAAACTAAAAATAAACAATAAAAGGAAACAGATTCTATTAATATCTGTTGTTATTTATATGCTGTTTGAATTCAATGTAGTTTCGTAGCTGCAAATACTCCGTCGTTATAAATTAGCATGTCATGATCTTGCGCACTCGGCATTTGTTTCACCTAGGACCCATCGTTCGTCTTTCGGCATTTAGACTTGATCTTGGCCTCAGAAGACATGTTGACCGGTTGGACACTTTTATCTACAACAATCGTAACGACTTGTCAGAACCCGCTGACAATGGGTCAGATTGAGAATGGCAGTGGAGGTCAGATGGGAATTACTCTGTGAAAAATACTTTCATTCAACAAAAACGGGTTCATGTCTTGTTAATGTGGGTTATTTGTAACCCCCAATTTATCGGGGATGGGATAAGGATATTCAGTAGATGGTAAAGATTGAATCAGTTAGACACAGTCGTGTTTGGTTGTTATCTATTGTAGACCGTCAAGTATTCTAGTTTACAATAAAACGTAATGGCAAAGGTACGATCTATATTAGACCGACGCCGAGTATTTTAACAGGAAATTTTACTATGTCTATGGAACTAAATATAACGTTCTTGTACTTGTTGATTTATTGACTCTATTTTTATAATAGAATGGTTGTGGAGTTGTGGAGTATAATTTGTTGCAGAAACCGTTGCGCAGTGACATGCTCTTGGCTCCAGAATTAAATTTATTGATTTTACCCACTTAAATGTTATATTATTAACTGGAGAGCAATGTCGTGGTGTATTTGAGGACGTTTATTGGGTAAATTTTGAAATAAGGCCAAGGTGTCGGAATGTCAGTGGCGTCAACAGGTAAACTTTGGTTTTGTTTGCGATTTTAAGAGCGATGATGTGTGGAGAAGCGTTGCTATAAATCTATCTCTCTTATCCGTTGGTAGTGTGTATATGATTGATATGATGTTCCTAGTCAAAACATCGGTTGAATGAGACACTATTTTATATTTTTAAAGTGGAACACAACGGATACATGCCCATAATTTTTCCAGTCGGCCATAAAATTATTTTAGATCAAACCTGAAAAAGACTTGATAGACTATCATTTGATATGGTATTCTATACCACCGATCAGTGGCGTAACTACAGGGTGGCAAGTCGGCAGAATGCCACGGTATCCCAGCTAGAGAGGGCCCCGTTGAGAGGTTTTCATCTGAACTTCTCTGTTTTTTATTGTGAAAGGGGGCCTATCTGATTAATTTGGCCACGGGCCCCAAACGGTACAGTTAAGCCTCTACCACCGACAGAACAAAAACTAAGCAAAGAACGAACTAGATAAATATAAATTCACTTATACGCAACGCAAGTAGAAATGGAAATAAGGGATAGAACCGGCCTTAGATATTTCATGCGTGGGTGTCCTACAATACAATCTCAATCGCAAATAGTTAGACGTGAAACAAAGATTTGTTAGACCATGCAAATATTTGCTCTCTTGTGGGAGTTGACATTTCGCCCTAGATGTTACGACGACGTATTGGATAGCCTGTTTCTGTTATACATTATCTATTTGTTTGGCGTCTAGTGTTCTAGAATTTAGAATAAGACTTTATGGGTTTTTTGGTTCAGAAAAGCAGTGTAATACTGCTCGATGTTTCAAATTG